TACAACCAAAAAAATATTTGTTATCAGAATTACTTGAAACTTGGTATAAATGCTCTTCAATACACTTAAAGAAATATGTGTTTTAGCATTATTCGAAATTCATCCCATAAGGGGGTAAAATTTAATATTTAAATAAATTTAAAATTAAGGGGATAAAAGTTTGTATGAAACCTACCTTTTTAGAGGTTTTTTGTAGTTTTAGCGCGAGCGAAGCCGCGGGTTCTGCTATGTAATAACGATGTTCTAAAATTTTCATTGAATGCTGTAATAAGCGATCTATACTAACGAGGAGTCGGATGAAATCGTGTAGTAAAACATATTACGTAACTAAAAGTAAAATCTAGAATCTAAAATATGCGCCCGAACAGGGACTTGAACCCTGGACCCTTGGATTAAAAGTCCAATGCTCTACCGACTGAGCTATCCGGGCTGTACGATTGAATACTAAATATCAAGACAACTTGTACTATGTGTAATACTTAAAGAATATCAATTTTACAAAAAATCTCAATATACGAATCTTATTATTTATCAAACTGATTCGAGAATTTACCGGAAATAACTTTTTTTTTGCATAAAATAAATTAGTAATGTATAGATATATAAAAGAAATTAGTAATGTATAGATATAGGCTTAATTCAAAAGTAATAAAGATTATAAAAAAATATTTCATCTTTATTTAAATTACACACATATCCCTATTCAGTCAAAATCAGAACCTCAATTTTTTAAGTCGGTTATAAATATATAGACCAGTGGCGAAGGGTGAAATTTTAGCAGAGGTAAGCCAAAAATTCCAAAAATATTCAATTTTTATATACGTATTAATGCAGAAAGAAATAAAGCTATTATATATACTAATATAATAAAGAGGTAAAGTTTGTGAATTATGAGTTTGTGACGTTGTAGGGGGTAATCTCTGGATCTACTTTACCGATTTAGGTGAAATTTAGTAAGAAGATAGTTTGAGACCCTGGGAAGGACATACATACCTAGGATACTTTTTATCCTGGAAATCATCCCTTAAAGGGGTTAAAATGAAATAGGTGTAAATGGGGTGGGAATCAACCGAGGGACGAACCCGAGCGAAGCAAGGGTGAGTCGCTAGTTGTCTAAAAGAACATTTATACATTTCAAAAATTAAATGTATGTAAAAATATAGCAAGCATAAGCATGGTAAGACGTCTTGTATGGACATTTCGCCACTGGTATAGACTATTTTTATTTAAGTTTTTTATTAATATCTTCTAAATCATACTATAAAGACCTTGATCTGGAACGATATAATCGATAAAGCGAGTGATCGTGTTACATCTCGATTATCGTTACTCGTGCTTTCGAAATTATAGTGATGGGCTAAGAATTACTATTTCGCAAAATGTATATAGGTATTTTTGTTTTTAATATCTCAGTGAAAAACATCAAATACTAATTTTTATTGTAAAGTATCATAGATAGTAAAAGAAGAATGAAATTATTATACAAAAATATCAATATGTATGTTTCTGTTTAAATGGGCAATACCTACTTGTTGTAATTTAGAAATTAATACATGTACCTAGGTATTTAGGAAACGGCTCTAACGATTTGGATCAAATTTTATATTTAGCTAAGGTTTTGATTTTTGAATTTAGCTATGAGGTGGATGTGTCTCTTCCGAAAAAACTCAATTTTTATATCTTTTCCGAAGAAAAACGTTTAAAAAAAACGTTGAGTGAAGCACGGTCGCGCAAGAACTATTTAATTATAATAAGTATCGATATTTAGAATTACTTTACACATCACTAACATTTTTTATCAATAATTGGCCTTCAATCTAATTATATGTTATTGTTTGGGAGATCGTTTAATAACACATTTTTAGAAAAGTTTCATCAAATTAATTATGTTACATAATTTATCGATACAATTTTTATTAATTAAAGCTTTTTATATCGTCTGGTGCATTGCATGTAGCCAGTGATGATGAATTAGAATCGAGGGGTCTTAAGTTCGATTTCTTATCCAGTTATTACTTATTACAATACTATTAGGGTTAAATAGAAAAAGGAGGAGGATATTCTATGTATGTGTGTGTATGTTTACCTTGAATTGGCTGGACGGATTTGAATGAAATTTAGCACAAAGATAGACTTAGACCTAGATATGACCTAAAGTAGGTTATATTTTAGTAATATTTATAACTAGGAACGTAACAAAGTGATGCGAGTCTAAGTAGCTAGCCATAAAAATCATATCCTGGTCGAGTAAAGCTTGGTGTAATTAATTAATGTACAGTTTTACTTAATTAAATGAAAATAATTAATTATTTAAAGGTTTTACGAGTATTAACAAAAATATTTTTACATGTGACCTTTCTTAATCTCCAAATTATCATACACTAGCAGCTCACCCTCGCATCGCTCGGGTTCGCCCGTTACCGTTACCGTAAACCGTTAGTATGGAATAGATAGTCTATATATTAGTATATTCTGAGCTTAAACCATTTAAACATATTATAAACATCAGTTTTACATTTGCCAGATTGATGAAATAAAAAAATTAAAGCTATATCTATTGTTAGTTAGTTTCATAGAAAAACAAGAGTAAAATAAAAAAAATGAACTACACTCTTACCACAACAGTGCTAAAAAATTCTTAGTTTTAATTAACTAATTCTTTTTCTAAAATAAAAGTAGCCAAAATTACTCATTATGACATCAGCCATTTGCCAGTTTCGTCAAAATCCAGCCGTTTCGGAGATTAGCTAAAACAAACAGACACACCGACAAACATTTTAAGAATAGTGTTTTTTTTTCTAAATACCGTATACAATTTCATATGCATTTAATAAAAAGCTGTTACTTTGACTGATGTTATTTATTTGTATAGATAATAATAGATTAGTTAAACGAAAGCGAATCCGTGTGCGAATGTTAGTCAATTATAATTATTGCAAGTATTGCGAATATGTTTCATAGATAATGAGCAATATTGAAATTGATAAAGCTCGCTCTAAACGTAATAAGTAGAGCACGCCGCATCAACTTTCGGTGATTGTAGCACTTGTAACATGGAGTATGCTCTACATTTGAAGAATACATATGAAGTGCAGGCAAAGAAGGGGAATGTTCTAATGAATATATTATGTGAAAAAAAAAACAATGTAAATTTAGAAGTTACAATACTTTTATTGAGACCAAAGCGTGCAGTAACTTTGAACTATGTACATTTTTGGACCATCCTCCTTCTGTAATGGTATGTCATAGACATTTCTATTTCTTTTGGATTTTGGCATTGATAAAAACGTATTTTAGTTACATCCATTGAGTATTTTTAAAAATTAGTGGTTAGAAATGCAATTACCATAGATATAGATTCGTTACCAGTACAAAACAAAAAAGAAACAAAAATTGTGACATACCCTGTTCTTTGACTAAGCCCTTCATATTATATTAAATAATTGTTTCTGCCCACGGTATTACTCGCTTAATAGCCATATAATACAGTAGCCTGTTTTTTTTAGTAATTCATATTTAATTTATTAGTCTACTAGCGACTCACCCTCGCTTTGCTCGGGTTCGTCCCTAGCTTGCAAATACAACTTTCATACCCATTTTCATCCTCTTAAGGGATGATTTCCGAGATAAAAAGTATCCTATGTCCTTACCATGGTTTCAAACTATCTTCTAACCAAATTTCATTTAAATCGGTTCAGTAGACCCCCACCCTACAACGTTATAACCTCACAAACCCACATCAGTAGACCCCCACCCTACAACGTTATAACCTCACAAACCCACAAACTCACAAACTTTACCTTTTTATAATATTAGTGTATTCGTAATACGTACGTACGTATATGCCTATATCAAGATTGTTGAAGGAATATTTTCTGATCTTATCTAACTTTATCACTTCACGATTTTTCTATATAAAAACATACAATAGTTGTTCGCGGGTTTAAACTCACGGCCTCTAGAGGCCTATTATTATATACAAAATTACTATTGAGATTTTATTTCATAATATAATTGAAAGTTGGCTCCGTCGATGTAAAACTTACCGAGATGTAACTTGGAAACTCTTAGTGTTATTTAGCTAACTACCCTTTCAAAAGTAAGTTTTAAAATATGGGGTGACTATCAATAGTATACACCCTACACTCAAAATTCTTTCAATGAAACTTGTTTCAGAGATAGAGTATATAAATTTTGAGACATGCAATAAAATATAGCTTTGTTAATTTAGCGGTCTCGAAATAAACTTTGTTTTTCATAGGTATCTCAAAAATATATGAAATATAAAATTATTTTTACCACCATCAATCACAAAAATATTGCGATTATTATCATTAATGCATGATTTTTTTATTTTTATCCTAAACAAGCGAATGAATGAAAAACAATAATTTAAAAATAACACAAATTTTATATTTAGCAGAACAGAACCCTCAATGCCGGTAATTGTTTTATTTCTAATATATTATGATTATGGCGATATTATATTTTATTAGAGAACCCATAAGTCAAGAGTTAAAGTAAGAAAAACAAGATGACATTTTTGATAATTTCATTTTTAATTATACCTTAAATCTGCCTGACAGAAGTAGAGTATCATTCCGTCCGAGCTCCACACGCCATGGAAGCGCATCTCACGTGCGGTGTAGATGCGTCGTTAGAATCGGTATATAAAGAGGTTGTTACAAATTTTGCATCATTCCAAAACCATCATCTTATCACGATACATCTGAAAACGATACCGATATAAAATTATATATATATCGATTTTTATTGGAAATTTCAGGTGTGTTATACCTTTTATATAAATGTAAATAATAAATATTTTAATTTCTAATCTGTGATACTAAATTTACTATATTTCTAAAAAAAAGCTTTATAACTCACTATGCTTTTTTGATCGTATGGTAATTAATAATGGTGCCATTTTTATTAATATTAGTTATTTTTCCTGTAAAATTTCAGTCGATCCCACCGGACTACGTTCATCAGAAATAATCATGAAGGTATGTTGTCATTTATTTAGCTTTGCACAATATTTTCTGTTATACAAAAAAGCTGAAGAAAGACCGTATTGCTCTTCACTATAACGTTTTGACTCACCCATATATGGAATTAACTCATAATATGGCGATATTTTGAAACCTTTTGAAAAATTTCTCAAATAAAAAAATCTTCTTTACTCAAATATTCTTCTCCTCTACAAGATCAACTTTTACGATATTCATATTCTTACGATTCTTTCCCTTAATAGTAAGGGTGATTTCTAACGCCAATGGTTATTTAAATGCTAAACGTTTATGCTAACTACGAAAAAGATTTATATTCGGACATAATTTTTTAATTTAGTACGAGACATCATGTTCATTTTGTACTCTATGATAAGAGATATAGACCTTAAGGACAGTCCCATTTAAGTTTCATTCATCACAATCAAACCGACGCAAGCTATGAACCCTAAAGACGTTTAGGTTCCGCACCTCTGATATTCTCATGTGCTAATCATTTCCAACATAATTACTACCTGTCTTACGATGAAGGAAAACATCGTGTGGAAACCTGCACGTCTGAGAGAACCAATCTACGACCTGACTCCCTGGTATTGAAAGGAAAAGCCCTGCTGTGGGGCTATAAAAACGGTAGAATTAGTTACTAATTAACAATACTGTTCCTTGAAGATGTTAAAATGTCTTTTCTTTTATATTTATTTTACTTCACTACTTCTACTACGTTCAAACTTATCTAGCAATATAGGATTATGTAAAACAAAGTACTTCAAGGAAAATATTTTACACTCACGAATAAAATTTGTATAGCTTGACAAACCAACAAACAGAATTTCGTATTTTTAATATTTTGTAATAGTCATATTTTCAGATACTCATAGTATTTGCCGTTCTCATCGCGTCGACGTTAGCGGAACCTCCGGTCAATAGGTAATATCAACCTATAGATATAATCTATTTATTTTTTATTTATACCTATTCTAATGTGCCTTAAAGCACATTTGTCGTTTAGTTTTTAGACAAACAATAATATTTTTATCTATACATATTATAAAATTGTAACTAGGCCGAATCTGTACATTAAATATTTTTTTGGAAAATCTTATTGAAATAGACATTATTATCGATACAGAGGCAGAATCTATAGTTTTTAGAATTCTTGTCTGTCTGTCTGTTTGTCTATCTGTCTGTCTGTTACCGCGTCACAGAAAAACCACTGGAGGGGGTTTGATGAAATTTGGTATGGTGGTAGCTGGTTATCCGAGTCAACAAATAGGATACTTTTTACTGCGGGAAAATGTCTCACTTCTGAGAAAAAATACAAAAACTGCAATTTAAGAGTATACTAATATGTAAAACTTAAGAATTTGGTTTTTGGACATCTGAACGCGGGCGGAGCCGCGGGCAATGCTAGTTTTCTATAATTTTTAAATTAACGTTAACTAAAGCTATGGGAATAAAAATGTCCATACACATATGATATTAAATCCTTATTTATTTTCCTCTTTACTCCTCAGATACCTCCCTCCTCAGTCAAGAGCATCATTATCGACATCATACGGAACTCCTAACTTTGCCCAGCGACAGAATGGAGCTGGATTTAGGTAAGATAATATATTTTACACGTCTGATAGGTAAATATTATCTTACTATACACATATTAATATTACATCCTAGCATTGCCCGCGGCTCCGCCCGCGTTCACATATTATTTACATAATATTATTAATATACTCTTACATTGCAGTTTTTGTATTTTTTCTCAGAAATGAGACATTTTCCCGCAGTAAAAAGTATCCTATATGTTGACCCGGATAACCAGCTATCACCATATCAAATTTCATCAAAATCCAGTAGTTTTTTTGTGATGCGGTAACAGACAGACAGACACACAAAATTTCTAAAACCTATAGATTCAGCCTCTGTATCGATAATAATGTTTATTTCAATATGATTTTCCAAAAAATATTTAATGTACAGATTTGGCTTAGTCACAATTTTACTATATGTATAGATTATAAATGTAAAAGTTTACATGTTTGGATGTTTGTTACTCAATCAGAAACGGCTGAACGGATCTGAATAAAATTTGGAACAGATATAGATTATAATCTGGAATACCACATAGGCTACTTTTTATCCCAGAAAAATGTACGGTTCCCGTTTGTCTTTTTGTTTTTCTAGAAGCGAAGCGAGGGTGAACTTCTAGTCCTTCATACTTGTTAAAATTACATCAAAATTATTAGGGGTGAAATCACACAAACTTTTATAGGAATTGCAATAAGCAATACAGTTTGAATAGTTTACTCTATGTTTCAAAAAATCGATATGACATTAGAAGTAGGTAAAAATATCTTTTCTTGGTTTTCGAAAACGGGAGGCAGTTCGAAAACGGTATACTATATGTGAAGGAAAATTTTATGGGACCACCTTGGAGACCTACTTTAATAGAATAAAATTTTATCTAACGAAACCGGTCAAGCCGAGAATCTTCGAGAAATCTATAAACATATGTATGTACAATGTACATACATGATACAGATCCAAATAGTAAAATCAACTCAACAAAACATAAGTATTTACGCACTATAAATGACGTTGTTATTTAGCAGTTAAGTTTTCTTTAAAATGTTTGTTCCAATTTCAATTTTACATAATTTCATTTTATAGGCGCCCATCTTCCACCTATGGAGCTCCTAAAACTCGTCCCTCAAACCAGTATCTGGCACCAAACAACCAATATTTACCACCCAGCAATCAAAACTCAGCACCTAGCAGCCAATATTCAGCGCCTAGCAACCAATACTCAGCACCTAGCAGCCAATATTCAGCGCCTAGCAACCAATACTCAGCACCTAGCAACCAATACTCAGCGCCTAGCAACCAATACTCAGCGCCTAGCAACCAATATTTAGCGCCTAGCAATCAATACTCGGCACCTAGTAACCAATACTCCGCACCTAGCAAGCAATACCAAACTTCTAGTAATCAATACAATGCACCAAGGAACCAATATTTATCACCTAATGCAGGAATTCTAAATACACCATCTCAAGAATATGGAACCCCTGGATTTGGAAGGAGTAAGTGAACTGTGCTATATATTTGCTTTAGCTTGATTAATTATTATTTTAAATGTTCCATTTACATAAATGGAAAATGTTGAATTTTGTAGTGATGAATAGTTACACCAAAACCTAGAGCATTGATGCTATTTTCTTATATATTACATATTATTATGTAGATTTGTTTACTTTTGTACATTTTGTTACTGTTAGTTTCATTTCAACAAATATTTGCCTCCATCTGAAGAAAACGAAAACGTTTGAAGTAGAGTCTTCTTTTTATTATAACATAATTATATATACTATTTATATGTAAAGTTAAATCTATAAACTTAATGCTTTAATAAAAAAAAACTATGGTTTTGGTACTTATGCAGGTAATCAAGGATCTGGTGACTACAATCAGCAGAGCAGACAGTACCTTCCCCCCGGCGCGGGCGGAGGGTGTGACGATGGAAGCAATGGGGTAAGTTAGGGGGTTACTATATATACCCTGTTGAAAAACACCAATAGAATCCCATCAAAAACGACAAAAGCTACATAAAAACCAATCAATATGTATCGGTTTCTATGTGGTTTTTGTCGCTTTTGATGGGATCCTATTGGAGTTTTTAAATAGGGTAGTATGTTACGTATCCCATGACTTTATTCGAGCATTTCTATTTTTATGAAATTCCCTTCTTTGAAGATCTTGCAAACGCGTTCTTTATAAAAAGTTAGATTGCTGATTACTAATTTTTCACTAATCAGTAAAATTATATGAATAACGAGCTCATTGTTCCGTTTTCGTTCGCTTAGAATTTTTTTTTGAAAACCATAATATAACCTACGTTAGATCTATTTTTTTTTTGTTAATTTTACAAAACTTCAATAACAAATCGATAATGCCCATCTATTGGTATTTATTGGAACTATTTTTGCTTAAGTTCAGAAGCCAAAAGAGATTTACATTTACATTATTTTATTTTACATTTGTTTTGTATGTATAATTTAATGTATTTGTAATTTTATTTATTGTAAATAAATTATATTATAAATAAATACTTTTATTTCAAGGAACCTGCAAACTACAACTTTGAATATATGGTTAAAGACGAATACTCAGGCAACGATTTCGGTCACCGAGAATCAAGAGTAGGGGACCGTGCTGAGGGCTTGTATTATGTACTTTTGCCTGATGGCAGGAAACAGGTAAATACTTAATCGAACTAGTAATATATCTATATGCGAAAGCTTAAAAGTTTAAAGTGGTGGATTTTTAAATAAAACTATCGTATCCAGACGTCGGGAACCAAAAATCAAATTAATCCGCGGAAAAATCCGAAAAGATTTTGTTATTTTATTACCAGATTTTTATGTTTTTTTTTATTATAGGTATATGTTGATTTTCTTAACATTTTCAACACACTCCAATAAGTCGTGATAATTAGTAGTCGCTAAATAAAGTCTAAGTCAAAAAAACTGACAAAGCCTCTGAAAACTAATAATATGTATATAATTTCCTTTCAGACGGTAGAATATGAAGCGGATCAAGACGGGTATAAACCAAGAATATCGTATGAAGACACCGGCGTAAGAGCATACGACAGAACCAACCAAGGCTACGACCAAAATGCTAGTGGACCTTACTAAAATATTTAGAATAGTACTTAAAAGCTTTTTTTTAAACAATATTATTATATTCGATTGGTCTGTAATATTTTACAAAAATCTCATCTATAGAAAAATTTGCTTCACGCGGGAATAAAACCTGCAATCGTCTTTTAAGTTACTACATTAGAAATTATTAACTTACTTTTCGATTACAATGACTTAGGCTATGATAACGGATTTTGAGCTTTACATGCTTAGATATAAGGTATATTTTAATAAGGCCAGTAGCACCAAAATATAGTAACTTGTAATATATTGTGTATGTATCGACTTATTTTTTCATAATGAATAAATTGCGCCATATTTTTGTAAATATTTTAATAAAACGCTTTTTTTAATATATGTTCTTTCTTTAAACATCCTTTTAATATAAAATTTTCCTATTATGTACTACAATTTGTGGCTTAAAAACAAACTCAATATTAAATATATATTATTAGAAGGTGCTGGTAGCTCAGTGGTAGCGCGCTCGCTAGAGAAACCGAGTGAAGCGGGTTCAAATCTCGGGTCTCGCACCTCTGATATTTTCATGTGCGAATCATTTCCAACATAATTACCACTTGTCTTACGGTGAATAAAACAGCCTACGAAAGTCTAAAGAGAACCTTAGCAAGTTTTCGACAAACATGTTCAATTCGCCCGCGCTTGACCAGCGTGGTGGACTATAGCCTGATCCCCCTCGTATTGAAGGGAGGCCCGTACCCAGCAGTAGGACGTTAAAAAGGGCTGAATACATGAGTTAATAAAATATCAAATATTCGCCTAAATCTAAGAAAGTAATATACTGTGAATAAATGAATATGAATAAATTAATAAGACATCAAATGACACACAAACAAACAAAACATGATCATTTACCTACTATATAATTTCCTAGTTATTTAATACCCACTAATTTAATATCTCAACATATTTCTTAATTCTGAGTCGAATCTGTACATTAAATATTTTTTTAGAAAATCTTATTGAAATAGTCATTATGATCGATAGAGATCGAATCTATAGTTTTTAGAATTTATGTTTGTCAACCTGTCTGGGAACGCATCACGAGAAAACCACTGGACAGATTTTGATGAAATTTGGTATGATGATAGCAGGTTATCCGGGTCAACATATCGGATATTTTTTACTGCGGGAAAATATCTCATCTCTGAGAATTCTATACTAAACGTTAAAATAATATAATTATCTTTTTAATAATCGCAATCGTAAATAAAAACGGGCAAAGGTATAATCAGTAGTTAATTTAGTTATTTTTTTCTCATAAAGATTATATTGATAGAATATTTTGTTATATTTTTTATGTTTTTTTAAAACCCATCAATTGAAAATAAAATATAATAAATGGATTTATTTAATAAAAAACAATTTAAGAAAAAGCATTTTATTATTTTTGTACATAATTTATGGGATTAAGAACAGGACTAGATCCATACAATACTAATTTTTCATTTAATTTCTAAAATGAAAATAGACAAAAACATTTTTTGAAAACAATTTATTAATATAATTTAATAATATATGAAATAAAAGGAAAGTGTAAAAAATATATGTAAAACAAAAATGCAAGTATTAAAAGCATACAAATGCAGATTATATAAGTTTTTTGTTACCTCAGACTAAAAAATCATATAGACGGAGTCCACCAAAATAAATGTCGAAGTCAAAAATAGTAGCGTGATTTGCTATTTACGCTACTTTTCTAGATTTTGTCATACACATCATATATCAGATCCCTCGCTTTCTTTTAAGTATGAGGAAAATTTTATATATATATTAGTTAAATTAATGTACAATATTTGACAATAAATATAAATAATGAAAATAATACTATTCTTTCGTATTTTTGAAGCTTTAGTTCTATTTAATTATCTTATTTAATTTTTTTTCTTTATTATAATACTAGTGACTCAAACTCGCTTCGCTCGGGTTCGTTAATAGACGATTCTTTAAATTGACATAACTTTTTTATTTATGAATCGATTGAATAAACAAATACTTATGTTAAGTGAAGCTTACCACAATACATAAGTGAAAACCGCACTCAAATCGGTTAAGCCATTTCTGAGATTAGCGCGCACAAACGCAGAAACTGACAAAAATTCTAAAAATCTTTGTTTTGGGTTCTATTGCGCTAATAATGATCCCCAATATATAATAGTTTTCCTCAAATATCTTCCATGTACAGACAACGATCAGTTACAATTTTATTATATGTACAGATAACCACTCACTATACAAATTTTCATTGATATACTATTTTAAAACATTATTATTTGGGTTCATGTTTAATTCTATGACACTGTCTATATTATTTCTTAGTCTGAGATTGTTAAAAAAAATAACACAAATATGAACAAAATTATTCAAATAAAACCTGAGGAAAAAAAATATAATTGAATACTAAATCTCAATTGTTGGGACGTTAACACACAGCGCCATCTAATTCCATGGTAAGCTACGAGGCTAGTGTTATGGATAACAGATAGTTGATACACTACACATATATAACTTTAAATACATACATATTATAAATAAATATAAACACCCATGACTGGAGTACAGACATTATATATTTAAATTAGCTGCTACTTTTACATAATGCACATTACAAATACATTCTTTTTATACATATATACATTTTATAGAGAAACGGAGAGGATTTGATATTTTTTTCATATTCTCCGCTTTTAACACTTTGTTTATTTCTATTGTAATGGCTTTAACAAAGATGATATTTTCAAATCGCTTAAAGAACACTAAATATATTGTAATATTTGCTAGATTAAATTTTGATTTTGAACTTTAAATACATGAGAAATAAAATTCCATTTTCACTATAGAGTTGCAAGTACCGATATGAAAGCGATATGTTATGTCAGAATGTGTTAACTGTCAGTACAATTTTTTTTTAATTTTCTATAAGCGACATAGATTGTATAAAATGAACTTGTTTAAGGAGTCTATTAAATATGTAAAAAAATTATAATAGTCCTTACAAACATCCAACATTCCTCATGATTATTTTACAGCATATACTTAAAAGAATCGCAACACAACGAAAAAAGTCATTGATGTTAACATTTTTTATTCAAACAAAAGAAATATTGCTAAATACAAACGCAAGGTACAATTTCTAAGAAGTCAAAAAAAAACTACTTCTTTATTAATTTTAAATTACCATATAATAATTGAAAAGATTTGTTAAATATAAACCAAATAAAAAGATATATATATATAAAATAATAACGAGATTGAGTTTGTACATTTTTGACTTAGAATAAACATATATATAGGACTTAAGAGTCATAGAGTATAGTAATAGAATCCTCGCCGCCGGGGCGCCATAGTAGTTATGCGCAAGCGATCCTGCGGCGTCCCAGTAAGGCGGGGGGAAGGGATGTCGGGTTTTAGTGGGTAGTACCGGCTCTTCTAGCCGGTGAGCCCCACATCACCACCTGGGAGATCAGGTGGTATGCGTAAATGCATTTCTCAACGATAAAAAAAAAGTGATAGAAACCTAAAATGGTATTATAATCCGTGCCAATGTGTGTTTTAAGAAGAAAACTAAAGAAAATAAATGTTTTCAACATAAAAACTCTTAGAAAAAAAATATTCATGATTTATAAAAAAATTATTGGGACAGACAAAATATCATTGTTAAATCTATGTTTATGCTTAATCAGCTGAACCGACTTAAATGAAATTTGGTATGGAGATACCATCTCTATACCAAATTTCATTTAAATCAGTTTTATATGGGAAAAAAACCTATATCCTTATATGTGATAACTTTTATAATCATCCCTTAAGGCGGTGAAGGGGGGGGCTGGGGGGGTTGTATGTGGAACCAATCATGTCTCAAGTAAGGCATATAAAACTCATCTTACCTTAAACCTTTATATATAAGACATCTTACTAGATATAGATAGATATCTTACTCTGAGATATTTGTATAAAATATCTATTGAAATATTATTTTTAATTTGTAAGGCAGATTATCAGATTGATTGATTATCAGATTATTTTTGCGCCTCACATTAGCTGGACGGATTTCAATAAAACTTTGTGCATTGTATTGATAATAATATATTTAAAAAAAAACATGAATTACAAACCGAAAATTTCACAATATATCAATAAACTAGATTCGAAGTTACCACTAGGCTTCTTTATTATATTAATTTACAAATTTGATATATGGATTTGTAGAAATATGAAAGATTTTATTACCCAATAACAACCAATTAATCAAAAAGACAGTACTTCTTAAACAAAATCGCACAAAAACTAAAAAGTTTACATAAATAATTAAATAAGCATTCAAAATGGTAAACTTAATAAATAAATTAATTTAACAATGGTCGAACCTGCGACCCCTCAAACATAACTTACAATGAATAGTTATTTGACAACATTTATTCTAAACCCTAAATATAGTCCAGGAGACACTCGTTTTTTTTTGTTATTATTTAAATTACTTCCACAACACTATAAGCAATAAAAACCCATAATCCATAAATATTACAAATGCGAAAGTTTGGATGGATGTTTGTTACTCAATATCGCCAGAACGGCTGAACGGATCTGGATGAAATTTGGCACAGAGATAGATTATAGTCTGGAATAATAAATAGGCCACTTTTGATCCCAGAAAAATGTACGGTTCCCGTGGAATAGATTTCTTTTTGTTTTCAATAGAAACGTACCCGAGTGAAGCGAGGTTGAGTTGCTAGTATTTTATATAAATATTTATGATTAAATTCCTTTCAGTAAGAATAATACTTTAATAATATTGACAATAAAAACCTTTTATTAAATACATTAATCTCATATAAATAGTATATAAATAAAATATGTAATTTAATTTTTATGAAATGACATGACGTCGACAAAGATTTGTTGCTAGCTGGATTTGATTTTCTTGATATTATCGCTGAAATATTTTTGAACACAATATGTATAGAGAAAGTAAATGGAAAATTTGTTTATTTCAGGATGATATATGAAGTTAATTTATTAAATCGATAAATTACAAGAATTATTTTTGAAATGTTTTTGTTCGATGCTTATAAGGACCTTCTTCTAGTTCTGAAATAAAATATAAATCGTGTCAGAATTTTAGTGTCAAAAATGTTTTGTATTGTAATTGTTTGCTTTATATTTTCTTTATTTCAGGATTTCTAAAGTGAAAATAATGAGTTGATATTTTTTTTTAAAGATTTGACTAACAGATTTAACTATTTATCGACGGAAAATAAACGGACGATATTTGCGAATTATATTGGGAAAATTACATAGCTCCTTTAACTTGCGTATTCATTTCGGTTATAAAATTTTTATTTAGCAGTTGATACTAATTTAAAAATTTTCTAGCAGTCCATCAGGTAAAAGATGTTCCAAAAGAAATATGAGAAATAGTTGACTGTATTAATGGTGATACAGTGACAAACTAATGTTTGTGTACACTCCGAAGACATTCTCATACGCACGCTGAGATAGAAATCTTTGATTATAATACCGATTTCATATGTCCTTATTTGTTCCAAAGATTAAACATAATTGGATCGGGCCGATAGTAATATCAACTGTGGCACAATAATAAATAATATGAATTTTCAGGTGCTTCGTTTCTAGTGTTCAAAATATGTATGTAACGTAAAGAGGACGCCTTGCTTTAGTCTGTTTAGTTTACGCTAAGCCAGATCACATCAGACGTATACGATGCCCTAAAAGAAGACGGTATCCAGAGATGCTTGGGCTGTGCAAAAAATGGATATCTGTGGACTATTTCATTTAATCTAATATTCAGAATATTATATGGTGAGACGTTTCCATTTTGTTTAGGTGTGCGAGGCAAGTGATTTCCGAATGTACCATTAAAGACGGTTGTGATCGTAGTTATTTCCAATAATATCTAGCAGCTAACATTAATAAACCTACGTAGCACAAGCTAGGGTGACTGAACTGACGAAGTTATGTAACATTGACAAGCCGAAGTAGCACGATGAGGCTGTATGATTCTGATATTGCTGTGCGACGATGGTGGAAGGTGGGATTTAGACAATGGGGTGCCTATTTGGCGTTGACGAGTCTTTGTAGCAAATTTAGCCTGAGTGGCGAGAGTTGCCTGTGTGGCATCGGTTAGGTTGTGTCGCATCGATTGATTTTTGTAGCACCAACTTAACTTGATTGACATAATATGAGACACTTACTTCTGTAACTTGTACTCAAGTTGTATTTCAGTCAGTTTAAAAATTAAGTTTTGAGAAATTTGTCTTAAGGAAAACTAGTTAGGAAGAATGAATGAAGTATGATGTGATTCGCTCTTTATTGTTAACATATAAAGCTAAACATTTACCCAATACTTATTGTGTTAGGTACATTGGAATTTGAGGGTGTCTGTTTGTACTAAGTACACTTTTGCAATGTAATATCTACTGCACCGATTATTATATCAGTGAGATTGGCCACTGTGGTCATATTTGGTCAGGATTGGCCGAACAATGTTTTCTAAAAATTTGCTTTTTTCTGTCTACAGATGACGTTTATGCTAGACTTTCAAGATCACACGAGGGCGTGTGAACAGCAGGATGGCCGAGACGGAGGAGGATTTAGTTACCTTTTTCTGTTATGAAACCTTATTATTGTTTAAAGTCACTATGTTCTTTAATTTACTTTTTATTGCTTTTAAAGTTATTTTGAATTTAGAGCAGAGATTTAGTCTCGAGCGGGGTCGAGACGCCATCACGACATTCTTTGCAGATACGTGGTTTAGTAAAGACGGTTGATCATGGTGTAGCATACAGTTTTGCTTTGATATTGTAGTTGGAAGTCGATGATCGGTGACTGTGAACCCGCTAGCTCTAAATCATTAGAATTACCGTTTCAGTTTATAACATTGTGACTTCCCTGATTAAATTGTGTATAGAGCACTGAATACTTTATTATTTGAGCCCTAATAACACCCACAAGATGAGTAACCACCAAAGATGATGTTCGTCGTATATGGATAACACGACATATATATATATCAGACTGTCTACTGGACTATATCTTGTCAAATTGGAAAACATTAAACTTACGATTTAAATTATAATACATAATTTAAAAAAATACACATATAAAAATAAACAAATGTATGAAAAGGCTAAATCACATCGTTTAAAAAAAATAACAAAAAAATCAATTATGAGTTACGTCTTGGACGTACAAACTGATACGAAGTGAATATTCGCCCGATGTACGGGTCTACGGGAAACTTTCCCATAGTTGACCCGTGGATCGATTGAATTTAGCTCCAGCTTTAAGATCCAGATCCACGGAAAAACTTGCCACACTTTTACCATCATCAATTTTTACATTTAAATAAAAAAAAATCTATAATTTAAATAAAAAAAATTGATCATTCAAAAATGCTAGTTAGAGATTATTTTAATATTTGGTAAATTTATTGATTGACAAAAAATGGCCATTGATATAGAAAAACTCATGATACACAATTAACATGTCAAGTGTCCACAAAAAGAAGCGCAATTGTGCGCTTTTTTTCAAATCTCATTCGTTCATTGCTGTTCGGATGAAAAAAATTTCGAAGCGAAACGTTGTTTCGTTTAAATAAGTACTTTATATGGTGTGCTTTCAATTTCTAAATGTTACTCTTTGGTTTGACTTAACGTCACATGTCGACGCCACTTTTTGAAGAGATATTTGTTAGGAAATATGTATCTACTTATGTTTTTATATATCAATTCCTATAACATTCTCGCCCGAATCATTTACAATAACAGTACATGTTTAGATGTGGATGAGTAGCGCTTACACACGCCGGTTCATTGTTGTATCTGAAATAAAAAAAAAACATCTATACTAATATTATAAAGAAGTAAAGTTTGTGAGTTTGTGAAGTTGTAGGTGGTAATCACTGGATCTATTGAACCAATTTAGATGAAATTTGGTAAGAAGATAGTTTTGAGACCCTAGGAAGGACATAGGATACTTTTTATCCCGGAAATCATCCCTTAAGGGGGTGAAAATGGGGATGACAGTTTGTATTGAGAAGCATGCTTGGGACAAACCCGAGCGAAGGGAGCGTGAGTCGCTAGTATCTTATAATATTAAATGAGCAATTCTTGTATTTATGTCGCAGGTTTTGTACAAATCGTGAAATGAAAATGGAAATTAAACAAACAAATGTATTTGCGAATATGCTTAAATTTCAATTTCAGAATACATTTCAGATAAAGATCAAATCGTATGACATAATTTTTTTCGTTATTCGGGGGCGGAAATGTGGCCTTATCGATACCTTTCCTTTAATCTTTCATGCTACGAAATGTCTCGTACTATCAATAATTGCCCAATTCATTATATTCCACGAAATCGATGTTTTTGAAACCAAAGTAGATATAAAAAAACGTGTGTGTGTACGTTATGTACGCACGTAAGAAGTTATACTTCTTTGGCGTAACAGAATAAAAATAGCTAAGCATTTCGTCCCGTATGTCACAACTCTCTGTTTATAAAAGGAATGCAGCTAACTCCATCATGTCGCTTTTTGGCTGTCGGTGTGTTTTTTTACTCACTCTCATATTTTTTTCCAAACGTGCCAAGAGAAGTATCACTTCAAAAATCGTTATAAAAATAAATATATAATCAAAGTACATACGCATTAGTCCTCGATATATCTCTTGAATTAATCTCAAACTTATCTTCCTTCACTATATATGACAATGATGCTTCATATATACCGTGGCCGGGACCGACTGCCAACTGGAAATAATAAGAACTAATTTGAATGTTTGTTACTCTTTCACGGAAAAGCTACTAAATTTTAATGAAACTTTACAATGATATAGCTCATACATCAGAATAGCACATAGCTACTTTTTATCCCGGAAAAATGTACGGTTCCCGTGGGATAGGTTCGCTTATGTTTAGTTTCTTGAGGCAAACCCGAGCGAAGCGAGGGTGAGCCACCAGTTAATAGTAAGTATAAATGGGAAAGTTTGGATGGATGGATATTTGTTACTCTTTCACGCCAGAACAGCTTAACAGATCTGGATGAAATTTTTGCACAGAGATAGATAATTGTCTGGAATAGCACATAGGTTACTATTTATCCCGGAAAAATGTACGGTTTCCGTGGGATAAATTTGTTTTTGTTTTCCACTAGGGACGAACCCGAGTGAAGCGAGGATGAGTTGCAAGTTTATAATAAAACAATACCTATATATTGAGTTGGTCTGTGAGTGGAATATACTAAAAATACTCTTTTTCCAATATTGCATCTTTTTCTTATATGTCACATTGTACGTATGCAGTATATATGTAATAAATAAACGATTTTTTTTAATAAAACTATCTTCGGAAGAGACTCCCGTGACCATGATTGCTGTAAAGCATTCGATAAACGTCGGGAACCAAAAATCAAAATATAATATCCGCGAAAACATCCGAAGAGATAGTTTTATTTAAAATGTCAAATATTCGCGTAAATTTAAGAAAGTATTACATGAATAAATCAATGAATGAATTATTGAAACACCTACCTTGACCTGGTAGTCCTCCCGATCCGGTCTAACTTTAGCCCCAAACCTCCCCACATAGCCGTCAGTATCCTTCGCCTCCACAAAAGTTAGCACTCCGTTATTAGCTATTTTCTTCATCACCCACGTTATTGATTTTAGCGTACGTATTGCGCATTGTGACCTGGAAAAGATATGAAATAAACTATAATTTTATATAATTAATTATATTTATATTATCCATAGGTATTTAATGTTATAAATGTGAAAGTGTGTTTGTTTGTTTCTCCTTCTTTCAAGTCGAAACAGAGTGACCGATTGGCGTGATTTTTTGTGTGGAGATAGTTGGAGGGCTGGAGAGTGACATAGACTTTTTGCCGCGGGAGATTATCTCATTCCCATGGGTAAACACGCTATAATACAACCTAATACTAATATACCAACAACCCATCATACGTATGTATTATGTATACATATACTCGTACATATGTATATAACATAAAGTCTTATTTATTCAACACTAACTGTCAATTTGTTTATACTTATATATCTATACATATAATAAAATTGTAACTAAGCTGAATCTGTACATAAAATATTTTTTGGAAAATCTTATTGAAATAGACATTATTATCGATACAGAGGCCGAATCTATAGTTTTTAGAATTTTTGTCTGTCTGTCTGTCTGTTACCGCATCACGGAAAAACCACTGCAAGGATTTTGATGAAATTTAGTATGATGGTAGCTGGGTATCCGGGTCAACATATAGGATTTTTTACTGCGGGAAAATATCTCATCTCTGAGAAATCTATACTAAACGTTAAAACGTACCACGTACAACATAAACATAGTTTTAATATAAAACAAAAATAATAAAATATGTACAATGTACATATTAGTACGCAATAAAATGATCAATAAAACTCTTTATCGGTATCAATAAATCATTTTAATTTGCACTTAACTATAATTATTATTAATTTATTACAACGCAACATTTTAATTTTCTTACTTTATGTTAAAAGACTAGCGTCTTATCCTGGCTGTGCTCGGGTGTGTCCCTGAGTGACTTGTATTTATAATACAATATATCTATACTAATATTATATAGAGAAAATGTCTGTGAGTTTGTTTGTAAGGAGTAGGGACTAATCTCTGAAACTACTGAACCGATTCTGAAAATTCTTTCACTAGTTACAAGCTACATTACCCCAGAGTGTTTTGGGTTATCTTGTTTTAATGATATGAAAATGGGAAAAATGCACCTAAAATATTGGAGATATCACGATGAACTTAAAGTAAACAATCTATTATGTTTGAGAAAAATAGGAATAAATTGAAGAGTCAAAATTACTAATAAAAATATATTAAAACTGGCGACTCGCTGTCGCGTCGCTTCGTATTTCAGTAAGTTTTAACGGTTAGTATGGAATAGGTAGATTGTAATATATTATATACATAGGTATGATAAGATATGTGGTATGTATGATTTTGTTTTCCCATAGGAATTAGATAATCTTCCGCGGTAAAAAGTAGCCTATGTCACTCTCCAGCCCTCCAACTATCTCCACACAAAAAACCACGCTAATCCGTCAATCTGTTTCTACACGAAAGAAGGGCGAAGAAACAAAAAACAAACAAACGAACACACTTTTACATTTATAATATTAAGTATGTATAAAGGATAATTTGATTTATGAACAAGTGTAATCACAATACAAAGCACAATCAAAAACTCTAAACTATAAATAAAACTCACCGTTTAGAGTCAGTGAGTAAGTTTATATACGACACCAGGGCCTGAGCAGTCCTCTCGTACATATTGTCTGATGTGGAGACATTCTGCCATGAAAGGCAGGAACACCAATGGGGTTCGATTCCCGCTTCGCTACACGAACGATTCTTTGGTATCTGAAAAAATATCACACTATTAATATAAATGTGAAAATATGTATGTGTACGTGTGTTTGTTACTAGCAGGGCTCGGAATTTCATTAAATTCAATTCAATTTTTGAACCGCTTTTGGTTTTTGACCCCAAATCGAAAAGCTTTTCGGTTTAAGGTTTCCGTTGTGTTCTTTAACCAGTTAACACCCGGAAAACGTTTTTGACGAATTTAGGTTCAATGATCGAAACTTACTGGTTAAAATGAGTTTTTGTGAGTTTACATTGTGCGAATCTTTGCTAATCGTGGATTGCTTAGTAGAAGGATAGCTACATGTACGTTTATTACTTATACATGAAATAATCGTTTTATTTCGACATTTTCTGATTATTATTTCGTTAATTTTTATCAACCGGATAATAAACGAGCGATGAATTAAATATTACCGAAATTAGCTGTTTTTCTATAACCGGTTCCGAGCGTTAGTTCATAGTGACAACGGTTGGACAGATTTGTATGTAATTTAGGCTACTGAAGTCCTTAGTCTTTAGTACTTTTAAATAAATAATATAAATTATTGGGACATTAACACACTGCACCATCTAGTTCCATGGTAAGCTACGAGGCCTGTGTTATGGATACCAGATAGTTGATACACTACACATATATAACTTAAAATACATACATATTAAAAATATATATAAACACCCATGATTGGAGTACAAACATTCGTGCTCATCACTCAAATGAATGAATGACTCGAACCCGAGACCGCTGGCACAGCAAGTACAACTACAAGGGTCACTACAAACTGAGCCAAACGTATCGTCAAACTCACTACATTAATAACTATTAAAAATCGAACCTACGACCCTTTCAATTATCTATAAAATCTTTTACTTACCGTTTCTAACAAACTGAGGCCTCTCATCAAATCCGCTCCATTCACTTTGTAAGTGTTTCTATATTGTTCCATATCCAATACATCTAATATCGTCGCGTGTATATCGTGTGGGGTCGTCAGTACTTGGGCATTTTTTTCCAAATTCCTTTGTGCATTCGGGTTATTTTTTATGAAGACATCTGGCAATCGTACCGCCATTAAAGGCAGTCGTTCTTCTAATTTACCTTGCAACGTGTCTCTGACTTTAGCATATCTAGAGGATGTGATGAGAAAATTTAGTTATAGCAAAAAAAAATAGATATATTATGTATATAAACTTTCTATTTTTTCGGTAAGAGATCAGACACGGGTGTAAAAGCACCGCCAACAACCCATCTCTGAGCTGTTACTGAGAATTTCTTTATAGAAAAACTAAATAACTATATCCGGCCAAAACCGGGACTCGAACCCATGACCAGAACCAAAGAACCAGAACCCAGACCTCCGGAACTTTACATGGTAGCCATTAAAACAGTAGGGGCAGAATGAAAACTGACTGACTAAATTAACATATCAAAATAATATATAATTACTACGTTTTCTATACAGATAAATAAAATAGAAGTGTCTGTTTGTAATGTCAAAATAACAGCGTTTTACTAAATGCATATAAAATTATATACGGTACTTATAAGAAAAACTCAATTTTTTAAGTTATGGTCTGTTTGTTCCGGATAATCTATGAAACGGCTGGACTTATCTTGACGGAACTTTTACTAGAAGATAGCTAATTTTATAGGGAGTAACATATGCTACTTTTATTTTAGAAAAAGAATTGGGGTTACGCTCAAAAAAAATTGAAACGTACCCGAGTAGGGACGAACCCGAGCGAACGGGGGTGAGTAACTAGACATAAATAATATAGAATTTATTTATAGAACTAACCTAGGCCCATGGTCCCCCATAACAAAAAGCAAGGTGTCCCTCCCTCTTCCAGACTCTAAGAACTCAGATAGAAATTCCGCCGTGTCTTCATCTGCTGTAGATATCATATTGAAGTCATCATGAGTTATATCGGCTATGAACGTGAAACCAAAACGTTTGCCGTCGAGACGGAAAAACTGGAATAAAATCGGACACCTATTATAAAGTATAATCTATACTAATATTATAAATGTAAAAGTTTGTGAGGATGTAAGGATGTTTGTTACTCTATCACGTCAGAACGGCAGAACGACCCTGGATGAAATTTGGCACAGAGATAGATTATAGTCTGGAATAGCACGTACATTACTTTTTATCCCGAAATACTCCCGAAATGTTCGGTTCTCGTGGGATAATTTGTTTTATTCTAGGGACAAACCCCCGAAACAAAGCTAGGTTGAGTCACTAGTTTATAATAAAAATACTTTCATAAATTTAAACGAATATTTGACAATTTAAAAAAAATCCGTAACCATGATTACTGTAAAGCTAAATCTATATAAATCCGCGAAACAATAGTTTTATTTAGTATAATAGATACGAAAGTTTGTATGTATGTTTGTTGCTTCTTCGCGCTGTAACAGATAGACTTATAACCTGGAGTATCAAATAGGCTACTACCCAGAATCATACCTGCAGAGTAAACCGAGGTTAAGACACTACTATATGATAATAATAATTGGAAGGAAATAATGGTATCGGATTCAACATAATTTATGTCAGTCTGGCAAAAAAATCTATACTAATATTATAAAGACAAAGACGTGCGATATTTTATAAAAACATTTATAAATATGTTGGTGCATTATGTTGGGACAATAACACACAGCACTATCTAGTTCCATAGTAAGCTATGAGGCTTGTGTTATGGATACCAGATAGTTGATACACTACACATATTATATTACTTTAAATACATACTTATTATAATACAGACATTCGTGCTCATCACACAAATGAATGCCCCCAGCGGGACTTGAACCCGCGACTGCTGGCACAGGAACTAGGGTCAATAAAAACTGAGCCAAACGTGTCGTCAAAATTTTAATGCATAAAAACTTTAAACAAAACAATATGTTACCTGATCAGTTATATTAAGCAGTAGTTTATACTGGGGTGTGTCTCCGACGCAATATTTAGTTTTGCTATTGGACCATTTCTTTCCACTCCTAGATTCTTCTAGAAAGAACGATCTTAAATAGTGATCAGCTGGTTGATGTCGGAAACCGTTAAATCTGTATTGAAACGTACCTATCCATGGCATATCTTCGAAATATGCGGTTCGATATCTGGAAAATATACAGTATATTTACTTTCTTCGATTTATGCGAATATTTGACATTTTAGTAACTCATGTATTCAGCCATTTTTAACGTCCCACTGCTGGGGGTGAGCCTTCAATACGAGGGGGATCAGGCCATAGTCCACCACGCTGGCCAAGTGCGAGCGGACTGAGCATGTCTTTCGACAACTTGCTAGGTTCTCTCAGACATGCAGGTTTCCTCACGATGTTTTCATTCACCATAAGACAAATGATAACCATGCTGGAAATGATTCACACATTACAACATCAGAGATGCGAGACCCAGGATTTGAACCTGCTTCACTCGGTTTCTCAAGCAAGTCACCTCTACCACTGCCTATACTCTATATTAACTCAATATAATAAAACCCCTCAAACTTTAAAGTTAGGAGCCTTTAAAACTAACATTTCGACATATCTACATGTAAAAGAGATTTTTTTGTGGTGTATTAAAAAAATGAACTTACCCATCTTCCTTCAACTTGTAGAAAAGAAACGGCACAATATCTAATGTGGCATCATTCATCTTTTTTCTCATTTCTGGCAGTTCTAACTCAGTTTTTCCACACAATATCGGAAACAAAGCCGCTGGTGTACCATCCCCTACTATGTTGTAGCTAAAATATAATGAAAATATAGTTTATTATCTCTCTTAGATTTACGCGAATGTTTGACATTTCCATATAAATGTGAAAGTGTGTTTGTTTGTTTGTCCTTCTTTCACGTGAAAACGGAATGATGGATTGGCATGATTTTTTTGTGTGAAGATAATTGGAGGGCCGGAGAGTGACATAGACTACTTTTTACAACACTACAACAACATTAAAAGAGTTATACTAGCAATATCATTTATTCATCGATTTATTTTTATTTTTGGTTCCCGATATTTCGAATGATTTACGGCAATTAAAAAAACCTTAGTCTCTCCCTTGACCATGATTTGTTATTATGTATTATAGCATTGTTTTTTTTGTTAGATGTTGTCTTGCAACGCAAGCATTACGCATCTATACTAACACGTCGCGGTTGATTTCTAAGAATTCAATTGTTAACCGAGTCACCTGTGGCTCGGCAGTCGCTAACAGGCTAATATTATAAAGAGGCAGTGTGTGTTTGTTTGATTGAACGCGTTAATCTCAGGAACTACTAATCCGATTTGAAAAATTATTTTTGCATTAGGTAGCCCGTTCATTGAGGAAGGCCATAGGCTACGAGTATATATCGTCCTGGAAAAATCTAAGGTTCTCTTATATTATATATATATATATATATATATATATATATATATATATATATATTTGAATATTATTATAACACGTATGTATGTAAAAACAATAAATACTTTTTATTATGTTGTCAAGAGGGTCGGCATTGTTGCAAGCGCTATTAATAGTTATTAGGTTAATGTCAGTGACCATGAAAGCTTAAAGATTTGTTCCAGTAAGCTGTATTACAGTATTGTATAGTTGAAGACATTTTCGTCTTTACTTTTATTGAATTTAACCTTAGCTAAAAATAATCGCTATATGTATGTAACAATGTGCGTAAGTTTTTGTGTATCACTTCATATCTGCACAAAACCAGGGTCACTAATCTACACTTCTACACTACTATTATAAAGACGAAAAATTTGTACTTTTGTATGTTTGTAACGAATAAACTCAAAAACTACCGGACCGATTTAAATGAAATTTTGTAAGAGATAGTTTGAGACCCTGGGAAAGACATATGATATTTTTTATTCCGGAAATCATCTAGGGTGAAGATGGGGATGAAAGTTTGTATGGAGAATCAACCTAGGGACGAACCCGAGCAAAGCGTGTGCGATTCGCTAGTAATTTATAAAATATACTTACCCATTCAAAACAGTAGCACCAAGCGTTTCAGTCAAAACTTTGTAACTTTTGGGCATTCTCCGTATGAATCCATTTTTGGCAGTTGAATCGAAACCAAATATCAATACATTAAGGGTATCTTCCCTGCCTAAGGGCGGCGTTTTTGGGGTAGAAGTTGATCTAAATCCTATACTATGCCCTATCCATTTTGATGGTAAAATGCTGAAAGTAACATGTTCATTATTTTTTAACTGACTTTCAAAAAGAGAAGGTTCAATGTTCGTCTGTACGTAAGTTTTGTTTTTATTAATCATTAGGATAGGGTTATGACTAAAAATATACAGCTAATAACTATTTTAGTATAAGAAATATACATTATTAATATAAGAAAATAAATACAAAATAATAATTTAAAACGACAGACAGAGAATGTTGAAATATTATTAAATATTCGTAAGGAATAGAAAATATTATAATATGTTTTCAATAACGGTAGTGTAACAATCAATTCCCTAAAGATTTATTCCTACGATGCATCGATCATAAAAGAACTAGATACACAATCCCATGCAAAAGTTCTCTTAAAACTGTCACCGATTGTGTTTAGGTAATTATTCTAGTTGAAATATACAACAATGTAAATTAAACTTTAGATACAGTGCTTAAAGTTGTTTTCACAATAAAATAAAATAAAAGCGCGCTCAAATGTTCAAATGAGCGCTCATTCGTTGTTCCCTGAAGATTTATTTCTACGACGCCTAAGAACAGTTCAACATTGTATGTTAATTTATCACGTTCCAATGCTAAAGTGGCTTAAATCCACAACAGAATTTTTATCAGCTACATTCAATTCTAATATTAGATAAAAATGTTACCAATAAGATTCATTCATCTATATAGATAAATAAAACTGAAGTGTCTGTTTGTAATGCCGAAATAAAAGCTTTTTACTAAATGCATATTATGAAATTATATACGGTGTTTATAAAAGGTACGGCCGCACTCATCGCGAATGTATTCTATTGAAGTGCCGAAGTATTCACGAATATTTGGCTACATAAATCGCGATAACCTGAAAATTCACGCTATCGCCATATGTGCGGCCAGGTCATAAGAGCAACAATTTTTTTTACATTTTTGTCTGTCTGTTTGTTCCGGCTAATCTCCGAAATGGATGGACTGATTTTCACGGGACTTTCACTGGCAAATAGCTGATATTATAAGGAGTTATTTAGACTACTTTTATTTAAACAAGGGTTAGTCGCTAGTCAATTATATATTTCTAAATATGTTTACCTGTTCTTATGCTTTCCCGTACATTTCACTTTGACATGATCACTCTTTGTCAGCACATAGGCGTCACCGCCATAAACATCGAAGGACGGCCCCACGGTATATTTTTGATCGCTTTCATATATAATATCACTGTATTTACATACAATATCTTTTGTTGTTTTTAATATTTCAGGTACTACTTTGCATTGTGAATGCTGAAAATGTAAAGTTTTGTATAAATAACTAGCAAAAAACCCGCTGGGCTAATCTGAAGATTGCCTGAAATTTTCATTAAAATCGCTCCAGTAGTTTTGAAGTCCATAGTGAACATACATACGCACATCAATTTTTATATATCTAGATAGATATAACACAATGAAAATAGTTTTTTTTATCTTAACGTTTTGAATACTGTCTAACAAACATAGTCACGGGAGAGACAAGATTTTTTAAAACTCAAAAGTCATAGTTATTACAGTAGGTACCTATCTATCTGTCCATAAATTACAACAAATTGAAATTACAAAAACAAAAACCCGACTTTATAAAAAGTGAACTAAAAAGATAAGAACAAATTGACGAAGGGGCATAGTATTATGAAGATTCGCCAACACACTGCTGCATCAGTAAGGCAGTATTCGAGAGTTCTGGGTGTCGGCTGTTGCCTGGCCAGCCCGAAGTCCTGACCTCAATCCGATAGAGTATATATGGGACCATCTCAAAAGAAAAGTTAGAATTCGCGCAGTAGTCCCACACAACAAGAATTTGAAAGCGCCGTTTTGGAAGAATGGGAGTCTACTAAACAAGATTATCTAAAAAGCTTATCAAATCTCTGAAAAACGATTGAAAGCTGTAATTAAAAATAGCGGTGGAAATATGCATTATTAAAAACCTTAAAACCAATCGAAATCTTTTAATTTCCCCATTCATTTACGGCTTACATTTTTATACTAAACTGGCGAAAAATCATTAATTTTGTTTATTCTCTATTTTCGATCGATGATATTTATTTAAATTATTCAACGATTATCGATTTAGGTATCTAGGGCATGATTGATGACAAAATTAATATTTTATGAGAATAATAATAATGACTTGAACAAACTGCTACGTAGTTTGTGTATATTGATATGATAATTTCTAAATGGTTACCTGAAGATTTGTCTAACTATATATCCCATAAAACTTGGAAATTTTCAAGCACACCATGACATGGACAAGTTTGTACTTCATGAGCTCCTAAACCATTGACCCAATTGTAATGAAATTCTGGTGGTCTAATTAATAAATTCTGTATAAGCCTGCGAAAGTTCGTGGCTCAAAACAAAAAGATTTTTGACTCTTTGTCATTTACGTTTCTAAACCATTCAAGATGACAGACGCATCCGAGCAAAGAGAGGGTAAGTCATTGGTAGGTACAAAATAAAACTTGTATTCAGCCCTTTGTAACGTCCCACTGCTGGGGACGGGCCTCCCTTCAATACGAGGAGGATCTGAAGAAGTAAAACTTACATAACATTTAACCCAATCCGTCCCTTGGCAAACCACTTTAGGCATTTCCTTGTCGAATTGTGTCACTTCCTTGGCAAATGGATCTAGCTTAGGTATCACACATCCTGTGCCTTTATCTTGCTTTAGTGCTTGCTCTAACTTTTTTTCTATGTATCTGTGAAAGATAAATATGTAAGATAGCAATATTTTCTTATTTTTACGCGAATATTTGACATTTTAAATGAAACTATATTTTCATGGGAGACACCATGATTGCTGTAAAGCATTCAAAACGTCGGGAATCATAATAAGTCCATGAAAAAATTCGAAATGATAGTTTTATTTAAAATGTAAGAAGTATTTTTTAAAATAATTATTTAATTTTCCTAAAAAGTAAAAAACCCTCAATCATATCCTTTTTAACGTATAAGGCCTTTTTTTCTTCTTTCCATAAAGGAAATAAAAAAATCTTTAGATTCGCGTCGATGATGATAAAAACTGAAATGTATCAATAGATTTTAGAAAAAATAATAATTGTATTCACAAATCGAAACCGTTGTTATTGAAAAAATTACGTCATTATTACACCAGTCTATACAATCAATATGCGTATATTAAAATCGATGTGAATATGTATGTTCCCTATTGACTCCAAAACGGCTGGAGCGATTTTGATGAAATTTTCAGAAAATCTTCAGATTAACCCAGCGGGTGATCCTATGAAGTTTGGTAGCGATCGGAAGTTCGAACGAGAGCGAAGCCACGGGTACTGCTAATTTTCTATTATTATAAAGAAGAAAGATTTGATTTTTTGTTCGTTTGTTTGTACTGAATAGGCTCCGAAACTACTGAACCGATTTAGATGTAGTAAAAAGATAATTTGAGACCCTGAGAAGGACATAGGATAGTTTTTATCCCTTAAATCATCCCTTAAGGTGGTGAAAATGGGGATGAAGCGAGGGTGAGTCGCTAGTCACATATAAGGAGCCAATTGTGAAAGTGCTATAGTACTAGAAATTACTTGTTTCCATTTAGAAAGCCATCGATACCATGTCACTGATAACGTATATATAAATTAATTATCATTATCGCTCTGTAGTTTCACATGTTTGTGTTACTCAATCGTTTGTATATGATAGCATTGTGTGCATGGCTAATACAAATATTTGTAGGATATTTTATAATATATCAAAAAAATAATACTGCATGCAACATGCAATAGCTATTCTATTTTAAGACGAACATGCTCAGAACGATCAAATCCAATAAAAGTGTCATCAACCAAAGAAATAAAATATTATATTTTATGTATATGTAAAAATAATAGATATCTCATGAAACGTCATAAATATATGAAAAATGTAAATTTTTAGGGATGGATACCAACTTATAGATGTAACATATTTTTTCATACCTATTGAGTCCTTTTATATTCCTTGGAAAAATAAAAAGCCATTCGACACTATATATTATAGATGCTACATAGAATATATATATACATAGATCTATTACTTATATTAAAAAAGAAAAAAAAAATATTTACTTACTTTATAAGCGTTTCTCTGAAAAAATAACAAAATACTCAATTAGCGCATTCATGCTTGAAATGTATACAAAAACTTAAAAAAGCTTTTACATACTAAGATACCATAAATGCTTAATCATTAAAAAAATACATGCAATGAATGGCAAGCTTTATTATAAATAAAAGTAATTAAAAAAAATGAAGCTATAAAATAATTATTTTGATATCAAGTAATCAATTTTTGATATTTAAGCTCAAACTTTTAGATGAGTCACTGCAACTCTAAAAATACTTCATGTATTACATAAATAAATATGTTGGGACATTAACACACAGCACCATCTAGTGCCATGGTAAGCTACGAGGCTTGTGTTATGGATAACAGATAATTGATACACTACACATATTTAACTTTAAATACATACATATAATAAACTCATCACACAAATGAATGCCCCCAGCGGGACTCGAACCCGCGACCGCTGGCACAGTAAGTATGGTTACTACAAGCTGAGCCAAACGTGTCGTCTTTACATTTACATACTCATTATGTGTGAAAAAGATTGTCAATTTTTATTTCAAAGGAAGTATGGCCTTTAATCCTGTTACATTAAAAAAATCTAAACAAATTATTTTGCTTTTCTTTTCTTTAGGAGCATTATAACTAAGCGTATTTTAATGAAACTTTTAGTGATTAACACTACACCTATAAAATATCGCTATTCACATTAAATTCATTTATTAAAACTTAAAAATTAAAAATGTATAGATAATAATTTAAAATAACATTTTATAAACAGAAAATTATATGAGCTATAAATATTTTATATTGTACACTAAAGAAATCTAATATGGCCTTGTGGTTGAAACGGTGGATTGAAATAAAGACATGTTATAAAAAGATATAATCTAACTATTATAGTACAAAGCTATACTAATTCAATATATACATACATACATACATACAAAACATTGTTTATTTATCCATACTAATATTATAAAGAGGAAAGATTTGATTTTTTGTTAGTTTGTTTGTACCGAATAGGCTCCGTAACTACTGAACCGATTTAAATGAAATTTAATAAGAAGATAGTTTGGGAAGGATATAGTTTGGGGAGGATTATTATAAAAAGATAGTCTGGGAAGGACATAGGATAGTTTGTACCCCGGAAATCATCCCTTATGGGAGTGAAAATGGGGATGAAAGTTTGTATGGGGGATCAACCTAGGGACGAATCCTAGGTGAAGCCAGGGTGAGTTGCTAGTCTGCAACATAGACGTAGACAATGGATTGAGCAATACTCTCTCTAGAAAAAGAGAAAGCGAACGTGCAGGAATACCTGTCTTTTATTCCAGTTCGAACTTATAAATCGAATGTAAAAAAATATAATATTATAATTTATAAAAAAATATAATAATGGAATATAAAACGGTAACAAATATCTATCTTCATTATTCGTATTTTAATGAATACAGAAGACTTCTGGCCGCACATTCGTTGTGTCTCTGTTGCTTTTCCGCCATTTTTAGGTGACGGTTGGCAAAGAAAAACTCAGACCACTCTCTATGTCTATGGCCTGTTACTGTGTTACCTTTAAATTAATTTCACAGAAATTTAATCTTATATATCATCAAGTTTTTTTTCAGTTAACTGAAATGTTCAATTATATTAGTATACGGAAGAAACTATTTTTTTCTTTGAAGTAAAAATGAAGCAGCATAAGCAATGGTTATGATTGTACAAAGCAAAGAGTTACCTTTTAAAATTACTAGGCGGAGGGATTTCTGTCACATTAGGCAAAGAATTCTCAAGCTCAGATTTAATTGTAGTGCTAAAAGATACAAAAAATTACCAAGCAATTACAGGTGCGTCACTACTCTCTATTTAAAAAAAACATACATGATGTCTGTCCGTTTATATGTTTCTACACTAATACACTACTTTATAGCGGATTCACCTTTTATATATTTACCCGACTGCGGCCAAAAGAAAGAGTTATGCAATTGTATCATATATTGCATTTTCCAAAACTAGGAAAAGGATTTTGATAAATAAGGGATCTTCAGGTTTATTTCGATTCATTCATTTATATAAGGTCACCTGACTTCTATACATAATTATAATAAAATTGTAACTAAGCCGAATCTGTACATGAAATATTTTTTGGAAAATCTTATTGAAATGAACATTATTATCGATACAAAGGCCGAATCTATATTTTTTACAATTTTTGTCTGTCTGTCTGTTACCGCATCACAGAAAAACCATTAGAGGGATTTTGATGAAATTTGATATGGTGATAGATGGTTATCCGGGTCAACATATACCTTTTATCGCGGGAAAATATCTCCATTTCTGAGAAAAAATACAAAGACTACATTGTAAGAGTATACTAATATGTAAAACCTAAGAATTTGGTTTTTGGTCATCTGAACGCGGGCGGAGCCGCGGGCAATGCTAGTTTTCATATAAAAATGTATATCAATGTATTTTTGAACGCTGAACGTAGTTACAATAATTCGATTCAATTCCCTAGTTAATGGCTTTAAAGCGTGCCAGTTGAGTACAGAATACTTGGCCAAAGTCACGTAGAATAGAGAAGACACGAAGGAGTTACAATAATATGCGTTTATTAGTTAGTCTTTTTGTTTGTTAATTAATTACCATCACCGGCTTTAAAGCGCATGCCATGTATAAAAATACGCAAACAAAATAAGGGGTAAATCCGCTAAAAACATTTCAGTTTATTATAAATACTTAATAAATAATCGATAAACTAATGCAAATGTTAACTTCACTTCATTGATGCTTATATGCGCTCATAAAAAAAACATATTTTTAAATTGAAAATCTCATGAATTCGTTTTTCTCTATATTATATTGAGGATAAATTAATGTAACAACAAAACACAATTAATGTTAAACAGTACAAGTATATACAAATATAGTTAATTATATTTAAGATAATAGATAAGACTTTATCCCTAAATGATAAAGGACAATTTTTATCCTGGTAATTAAAGTACTTTATACCAATCATCAAGTTATTGGAAAAGGAATACCTAATAAATGGCATACAAGAGTGGATAGAGGGCGATTGTCCTTATAAACCCCGGATAGACTCATAAAGCCTTGACAAATCAAAAAACTCAAAAATATTTGAGCTTATCAAAACGCGTATGCAAGTTCAGAGAAGCAATTAAATGTATTTTTTCTACAAACGTATTTTTTTTAAATAATTTTTTTTTAAATAATTAAAAAAAAAAACAAAAAAATATTATTTCCGAAACAGCAATTTTTGTTTAAAAAACCTTATCAAGAAATGTTCATTTATCACCTACAGATGTGTTATTAAAGTGGTCATAAAACCATATCTTTATGCATAAATTTAAACAATCTATTTATTATTTTTTTAATTAACTCATAATACGAATATAACTACTCTCTTTCCATATACTGTCAAACAAAACTTGCAATCTTTAGAAAACTAGATACAACCCCTGTAGTCTAAACCTATAAAAATACACAAATATAAAACGTGTGTGTGTACGTTATGTACGCACGTAAGAAGTTATACTTCTTTGGCGTAGCAGAATAAAAATAGCTAAAGATTTCATCCCGTATGTCACAACTTTCAGTTTGTTAAAAGGATAAATTAATAAAATAATTAAATAAGGCTTATTATCCCGAGCGAAGCGAGGGTGAGCCGCTAGTAATCATATATTTATCATTTGTCAGACAATAACAACGGTCACCATGGCAACAAATAGTTATCAGCAAACTTCATCGTGCTTTTTGGCTGTCGGTGTGCGCGCGTATCGTAAAAATATTACTCTCATATTTTTTCCAAACCACCCAAAAGAAGTATAACTTAAAAAATACAGTAAAAAAATGCTGCTATACTTTTTAAAACTAATTTTAAATTATATTGCCCTCGTTATTCGAGAGCCACACTATCTTCATTATTTACTGCTAAAAAACCAAAACATATACGCCCACAAACTGATATAATTTACATTATCTATATATAGATGCAACCTAACTAAAAGAAATATAAACTATACGTTCATTTCACTGTTACCTAGTTTTTGTCTGACTTCAAAAAAGAGATATTCCATTCAATTGTAAGTTTTGCTTGTGATACGTATGTATGTCACACGATATCCTCATAATTATTTTTTAATAAATAGGTTATAACCTTAAGTGTGGTTACATATAAATTATAAAAGAACCCTTCAGGATGGAATAATTATTTTTAAGTGATTTGGAAGCCTTTTAAATTAAGCAGTAAATAATTTAATAAATACCCGAAAATTTTTAATATTAATTATTAACAGTAACAAAAATTATACCGTAACTATTTTGTCTGTCTGTTAATGAAGTCTAAATATCTCGACCAATCTTTACGTAACGTTTCTCTATTGAATAAAGGATGTCTTGTAGAGTCATGCGGTTTGTTCGGTCTTGTGAAACTATAGATAGAAGATTTGAATTTTGCTATGAAATATTTTTATTAATTAAATCTATACGATTATAAAAAGATTAAATTAAAGAGATTTTTATCTTTGTTAGAACGCGCTAACCTCTGGCTAACCTCTGGCTAACCTCTGGCTAACTACAAATTGGCCAGAGTGGTGGACTACGGCCTGATACCCCTCGTATTGAAGGGAGGCCCACGCCCAGCAGTGGGACGTTAAAAAGGGCTGAATACAATATTTGATAAGGGTGGTCCATCTATCAAGAAAAATAGAGAACGAAATGTAACCTATTATTACTATATGATTCTTAGGAACGAAGCTATCCTACAAATGTCATAAATGCGAAAGTTTGTGAGGATGTGTTTGTTACTCTATCACACAAAAACAACTGAACGGATTTTAATGACACTTTACAACAATATAGCTCATACATCAGAACAACACATAGGCTACTTCTTATCCCGGAAAAATGTACGGTTCCCGTGGGACAGATTTGTTTCTGTTTTCAATATACCACGCAAGCGGAGCAACGGACAAAAGCAAGCCAATCATAATAAGAATAATCTTAAGCATAGATGCATCAATGAAAGCTCTTATATAAGATTTAACATATATATAAAACAGTTAAAACAGACACACACCATCTAAAAGTGTCAGTGCAAAAATGGCTTAACGTTAAGACAATTGACTCAATGACATAAAGAACCTATAATAGCTAGGTCAATAGATCTAGTCAATAATACTACTAAGCATGTGCTAAATTAATATTTGAAAAAAAAACATTTTTAAAAACAAGCTTGTATATCATATATATAAATTGTGCAATCTGATAAATAGGTTTGATTTAATTATAGTTTAATTTTTCTTATATTTTTTTTTGTATTTATTCGTATTCTTCTCAGCAAAGCCTTTCATTTAATATCCATATCATGGGAGAGCATAAAAAAACATAGTCCGCCATCTTTGGGAGTCATCCATGTTGGATTTAGAATGACGATACTTAACTAGCATTGTCATCTAAAGTATAATCGTACGTGTATGCAAAATTTCAGCTCAATCGATTGAGGATGTTATTGATATGCTTTAGAATTCAGTTGCAAGGTTTGACCCGAACAAACATATGTACATACCTACAAACATTGCAGGTTAAATAAAAACTTGTAAAAATCAGTCAATTTTAAAATAAGTGTATGTTAGGCCATATTTGTGCTGACAACATTATACATAACTAGCATACGTGTATTTTAGCATGAGAAATAATAGGTGCTAAAATGATTAAAAACAAAACTAAATTTACTAATACAAACATACATTCACAAAGACAAACTTTAGCTAAGATCTATTTAAAGATAACATTTAACCCATTAGAAAAAAAATACTAGATAAATGATGTTACTGGCAATGCGTGCTAATCCGTTGATCACGGGTTCGATATCTACCCAGACCGTATATATTATGTATCATATAAATACATTAGCAGTTAACTAAAAACAGGCTTGAGCACCAAAAAAATAGTTTATTTTATTTTAATAAAATACCTACCGTATTTATTATTCTTCCTTTATTTATTTTAAAAATACCTAATGTACGTAAAGAACATAACAAGTAACAACCAAAACCATAAATTTTTTTTAAAAAATGAACAGACAGCTAGAAATATATGTAATATATTATATGTATACGAAATAAAATAATCTATACGATAACTTAGTTACTTATCGATAACGCTACTTATGCACCCCGTGCATTAACCGTATGCATTTATCAATCCAAGCGAAATCAAGGTAAATCAATTTTAAATCAGTACGGTGTAATAAAATTTTATAAGCGAAAAAAATATTTTAAAAAATACTAAAGAAGGTGTGTAATCTTTTTCTAGTCCCTATAGTGTAAAAAAATACTGAATAAAAAATATATAGTGTGTAATGCAGGTAAAACCGCGGGCGATAACTATGTTATATTATAATGTCACTTTACCTCCTAGTAAGATCTAAATCTTGCTCCCGATGCAGGCTGTCGCTTAAAGAAATATAATAGAGTATGGAAAATATAAAAACTATTATAATTATTATTTGATTTCTTCTGGAACGATACCACCTTTTCGACATTGAAACTGCCATCTGAAACAAAACATATATTTAAAAATAATTTATACACATATATTTTTGTTTAAAACATTTTTTATAATAAGATAGTATATTTCGCAGGCTTTATTTTTTTTTAAATGACATTTAAAAAAAAATTACCGACGAAAAACAAGATTTTCAAGCGACAGATGTATAAATTAAATGTGATTTTTCACTTTTTGTCTCTATTTTCCACCTGTTTTTATCGGATGACAAAGATTTGTATGTTTTAACAAACTTCTTCGCAAAATGACAAAATCGAACCCCTAACCTAAGTAACCTCAAGCAAAAAAGACAATGCCCAACAAACACGTGATCCTCCTCAACTCGAACGTCATCAGTTATTATTCTAACTTTCTCTCTATAAGACATTAATGTATTGTGGTAAGCTTCACTTGTATGTATGTATACGGCCCTTTTTTTAACGTCCCACTGCTGGGCACGAGCCTCCCTTCAGTACGAGGGGGTTCAAGCCATAGTCCACCATGATGGCCAAGTGCGGGTTGGCGGACTTCACATGTCTTTTGAAAACTTGCTAGGTCCTCTCAGACATGCAGGTTTCCTCACGATGTTTTCCTTCACCGTTAAGACAAGTGATAATCATGTTGGAAATGATTCGCTCATGAAAATATCAGAGGTGCGAGACCCGGGATTTGAACTCGCTTCACTCGGTTTCCCAAGCGAGCGCGTTACCACTGGGCTACCACTGCCTTCAAGCTTCACTTAACATTTAGTATTTGTTTTGTTTCAAACTGTTCATACCTAAATAAAAAGGTTATGTCAATTTAAGGAATTATCCTAGTGACTAACCCGAGCGAAGCGATGGTGAGTCACTAGTTCTAAAACATATATTTAAAAAAAAAACGTTTCAAACCAGAACCGTTACTCCATAAAACGCTTTACCACATTGAGCGTCACGATTGCCAGATGTTTACGACTTGAATGAAAGTATACGCACGTGGAAGTCCCTTCTCAAAAGCATTGTCGACGAATGCAAACAAATAACCATACTAATAATTATGTAAATATAGTGCCTATAGAATTTAAGATCGTGTCACGCAAATTGTAAATACCTACTTTTGTTTCATATAAAGACTTATAGATATGTAAAGTAGTGTAATAATCGGTCTACTATTATATTATTAATGCGGATATGTTTGTATATTTGTTACACTTCACGTTTCCTTAAAACTGCTTGACAGATTCAGTTGAACTTTTGTACACAGATACACTATGATTTGAATTAACACATAGGCCACTAGGTACAATGGTAGCAGACCTTTTTGGTTATGTCGAGACTCATCGGTAAAAAAAAACAGTCATGAAAATTGCAAACAGACTTAAAACTATAAACTAATAGTTGTTATTTTTAGATACACAAATTAATTCTTTGAACTGAAATTAAAATTTGTAAATTAAAACTGTTTAGATTTACCTGGTTTGACATCTATCGGCACTCCGAGTGTTAACACGCACGTGACCATGTCCACATGAATTTACTCCCCATCCAAAAAAACCTGCCTATACAAGTTTTCACTTCAAAAACAAGTACTACCCACTAAAACCCAACGAGACCATCATCGTCCTAATGGGACGGTGCAGGATCACTTACGCACTCAACCACGACGCCCCAACGGCAGATCTACCGAAACAGACCACAACAACCATGGGGTTGCTCCAATACTCCACTATGCTATCAGAGAAGTACCAAGAGCAACCCGCATACATCCCCTACCCACGATCACCGAGTGCATAGCATTAAAACTTTTGAATAACTATAGGAACCTAAGATATTTTCCTGTTTACGTTACCTATTCAGAAACACAGCTCACTATAATTTATCTAAGGATAAAAATACTCAGCGATGTTCTGTTTAATTAAATGTATGACTAACATACAGGCAGTTGTAGCCCAGTGGTAACGCGCTCACTTGGGAAACCGAGTGAAGCGGGTTCAAATCCCGGGTATGGTACCTCTAATATTTTCATGTGCGAATCATTTCTAACATGATTACCACTTGCCGTACGGTGAAGGAAGACATCGTGAGGAAACCTGCATGTCTGAGAGAACCTAGCAATTTTTCGAAAGACATGTAAAGTCCGCCAATCCGCACTTGGCCAGCGTGGTGGACTATAGTTTGATCCCCCTCGTACTGAAGGGAGGCCCACCCCCAGCAGTGGGACGTTAAAAAAGGCTGGATACATACATAACTAACGTAGCTTTTACGATTATTATTATTGAGCAAGAACAGAAGAAGAAATATCACCGTCGTATAAAGAATACTTTGCAGATATGTGTGGGACTATTAGCACATAATTTTATTGTATTGTAATATTGTAAACAAATATTATTTTATACGGAAAATACTTTTGATATTTATGGTCGAGTTTTGTGTATGTTATAAGATGGTTTCGCCATTTGTAAGCCGATTTTTTTAGCGAAAGTTTGAAATTAAAGGAAAACCATTAGAGTGGAATAATTACTTTTAGGGTACATAACTTTGAAGCCGTGAATCTTTTTAAGTGCAGTTTATATAGAAAAGATATATCGTCCATACTTCTATACTAATATTATAAATGTGAAATTGTGTTTGTTTGTCCTTATTTCACGTCAAAACACTAACGGATTGGCGTGTTTTTTTATATGGGAATAGTTGGAGGGCTGGAGAGTAACACAGGCTACTTTTTACCGCGGAAGATTATCTAATTCCCATGGGAAAACACGTTATAATACACCCAAAAAATATTTATGATCAGAATTACTTGAAACATGGTATTAAATTCATGCTCATCAATACAATTAAATAAATACATATATTACTATTTTTCGAAATTCATCGCATGATGGAGTAAAATATGGGATGATAGTTTATATGAAATCTACCTTTTTAGATTTTTTTGGGTGTTTTAGCGCGAGCGAAGCCGTGGGTTCTGCTAGTATAAATATAAATATGTTGGGACATTAACACACTACACAGCACCATCTAGTTTCACAGTGAGCTACGAGGCCTGTGTCAGGGATAACAGGTAGTTGATACACTACAAATATATGTATAACCTATTTATATATATTACTAATACATACATATAATAAATATAAACAACCACGACTGGAGTACAAACATTCGTGCTCATCACACAAATGAATGCCCTCAGCGGAACTTGAACCCGCGACCGCTGGCACAGCAAATAGGGTCACTACAAACTGAGCCAAACGTGTCGTGAATGCTAGTTTCAACCAAGTTTATATTATCCGCATTGCAGAAAAAGTAATTTTCTTTCACTCAATCTATTTTTAACTTCTCTCTATCTTTCCATGTTTTAAAGTATTTTTTCATTTTTCAATACAATAAAGAGGTAAGTATATTACATTTGTAAGCAGTGTTACAATTATAAAGAGTACTTACGCGAGACTAAGAATTAAAATTTTGACCAAAATTCTATTTTTCCCTAAAAATGTCATGTAATAATTCACCTTGTATAGAAACCGATACGACACAGTTTCTCACGGTTTTACAGTTTTCAACGAAACAACTTCTTGTATTACACAGCTTCCTCTTTTATGAGCTATTAACTTCAATATATTTTTAGATCATTTTTAAAAAGACTAGAAGATATGTAAGACCAGCGACACCCTCGCGTTGCTTCTCTAGGGTTCCTCGCTAGTGAAAAACAAAAACCCATTACAGACAATACAAAAACACACGGGAACCGTATATTTTTCCGGGATAAAAAGTAACCTATGTGGTATTCTATCTCTGCGCCAAATTTCATCCAGATCCGTTCAGCCGTTCTGGCGTGATTGAGTAACAAACATCCATCCAAACTTTCGCATTTTTAATACATATGTATATTTATGGGATAAATTTTTTGTAGGTACCTTGAAAAAATTTTCAGGCATCATTATATTTATTAGAAAATATAAAATAATTGTGTACTACTAGTACTACGGTAGTAATAAGTAAATTATAGATTAATTCATGAAGATTTTGTAAAACTTTGAACGCAGACTTCTAATATATTTAAACATAATAAGGAATACAAACACTGCCTATAAGCTATTGAAATGTTAATTTTTAAGAAACAGCATTTGTTAGGACTATTACAAAATACATTATTCATAGTCTCGTTTGGAAGCTAAATGTAAAATTTAAGAGTTATGAAGGTCACAGATGTGTGGAGTTTTTATATGAAGGTCACTAGGTTTGTAAATATCTAAAGCAAAATCTTTGAAACTTTTTCATGTGGGAATCACCAAGTTAGCAATAAATTAAATATAAAAATAATCTAAATCATATGATTTTCTAACACTTTTGTATATAAAGATCTTGCTTTTTGACCCCCAAACAATCCTCTTCATAAAAAATAAAAGTACATAGTTAAAAAACTTTAATTTAGAATGGAATAGAATAGAATAAAACAATTTTCACGACATGACATGACACACTGCTTTCTTTTTAGACATATTACAACTATTTAAATAAACATGCATCAAAAATATAAAGATCTCAAAGGAACATAATAATGTAAAATACACACAAAATGTGTTTACATTCAAAAGTTTATCCCTCAGACCTATACTAGACATAATATGAATATATAAAAAATGTATCTATAATGACACAACTTATGAATGAAAATGAAAAACATTCATTTAAAATGTGAACTCGTCTCATTAAATTAAATTAATAGCATGAAATTTGTGACAATCTCAAGTATGACAAATTTATTTTAAATGCAATTTAAAACAGAAAATGTCTAAAGATTTTGTAGAGTGTAAATTCCAATTTCCAACCGTAATAACTTTACAAGGGCAAAAGTAATAAATTGGTTATTCGGAATAAGAAATATTAAAACATAAGTTGTTAACGGTATAGTTAAGATATAAATGTTGTAACATATAAACAATTTCACTATGTCATAATAATTAATCTTAAGTCAAAAAAACCTTCTTTAAAATTAATTTCTTTAAAAACCGTGCAATATTACTACATTGAATAAATGTGGATACTATTACATATTAAGTAGTTTGCTTTAAATACTATTAATTCTAGTAAATTAAGCGGATCCTGTGGGATATTATTTATAGCAAAAATTTAAGTTAGGATGAAAGTGGTCAAGTATGTAGATAACTAGAATAATTAAATCAGTAACAGCTTTGTTTAGATTGATGTGGAAAATTCTCATGTTCTTTCAAGCTGCTCTACAAAAAAAAGAATTAATTGAAATAAACTTGTAGGTAGTGAATATAGACAAAATCTCTTATTTCTTTTTAAATGTAGTGCCTCATTACTCAATTAATAAATAATATTCTTTTGTACTTACGCTTAGCCTCATATGTTCCGTTCAAAATATAAAATACCTACAACAATTATAATTATTGTTAAAAAACACATTTCAGTCGTTTATCATTTTTATGAAATTCAAAAATAAAAAATATACAATATTAGCTTAACCTTTGAAAGAATATTTTAATAAATCATTGACTTTATTAAAAAATAAAAATACATTCAGCGTACATTTATTTATTATATTCTACGCAAAAGACGATACCAAGAAAAATGAAAATATCTTGTGATCTCTTCATAAAATGAAAAAGTGAGAACTAGGGGATATCGATATATTCTTAAAACTTTCCTTTAAAATTTAAACTTTGTATGTTATTATTAAAAAATTTCATCAATAATAAAAAAATGAAATGAATTACTTACGTGTTTGTAAATATTCCAAAATACACATAACAAATTATATTCTCCGCCAAAACTAAATGCACATACAGTGATTTTTTAAATATTTAGTAGGTACCTAAATAAAATTCAAATGTAAATATTTACATAACAATTTTGAATAATAAATTTTAGATATAAAGAATTTAATTTTTTTTAATTTATAGCAAGCACACTTAAAGTAGAAGTGCGACACAAAAAACTATCAATATTTTTCAACTTTCAAATGAGCTCTAAGTCCAATCTCGGGAATCTCCGTTTGTCATCTATGATAGATAATAGATATTAACGATATTAACTATTAGGTATAAACCATAGAGTATATTGCTACATATATAAATCATGGATGACATAAATATAAACCATAGAGTATATTGCTACTGACAACTGTACATATTTCTCTATGATAAAGGCAATATTATATGTAGCATTATACTCTATGAGCAATATGAATATCCAATGAGCAACGAAGGCCTACCCTACCCCAGCCTGCAAATTTATGATATTCGCAATGAAAAAATAATACTCATCGATAGATTTTTAATAGCTCAATTCAACTACGTAGCCCTTCCAAATTGCTCACCATTAATTATAAAATTAAAAATCAATAAAGTCCTTGAAAAAAAATTCATTTATCCGTATATTCAAATTTCTATATCTTTTGATATATACAATATTTTAAATTGCTCAAAGTTCTAAAATACTGCTCAAGTTGCATTTGTAATTACTCAAGTAGAGTTCTCACCAGCTCCACTTTCCTTAATTATTAAATAAATATAAATAGTTTGAATAAATTTAACGTATAGATAGGTGAGTGCTGCGCATGCGCGCAAAGAGTAACGCGAGTCGCAAGGCAAAAAAATCAAGTGTTTCATAACCTCATTTTTTTTAAATGTCATTAAACTATATGTATATTTAAAAATAAAAAAAGTTCCGTCTTGTATTGATGTTAATAACATTTTACTAATGATCCCTGTCATGGCTATTACCTTAATAGAATAAGCATTTGAACATAAGATTTTGTCTTAATTTATCTGTTGGTATTAATTTTCATTTATTGGTAGATTCCAGATCTGTTCTTTATGTTATAATATCTGAAGTGGAATCACGTAATGTGAACAATTCATAAATTCAATAAATTTAAAGAAATCCACCGAGAAACAGAATTAAGACGTTGAATTGGAACGATTGTCCAAAGCCCGCCGAGGCCGACCGACAATGCGCGGTGCGCATGCGCACGCTCACTTAACCTACGTTACATTTATTACAACTATACTTTTAATTATTTAATAATCAGCGAAAGTGGAGCTGGTAAAAACTCTACTTGAGCAATTACAAATGCAACTTGAGCAGTGTTTTAGAACTTTGAGCAATTTGAAATATTGTATACATCAAAAGATATAGGAGTTTGAATATACAGATAAATTAATTTTTTTCGAAAACTTTATTGATTTTTAATTAAATAATTAAAGGTGAGCAATTTGAAAGGGCTACGTAGTTAAATTGAGCTATTGAAAATCTATCGATTAGTATTTTTTTCATTGCAAATATCATAAATTTGCAGGCTGGGGTAGGGTAGGTGCAACGAAGATTGATGTTTGATTTGTTTAATTGAATGTTGCCAGAACATAAATTTCTCCACTCACGTATTTTCAATATTAAAAAGGGAGAAGAATTTTACCTTTTTTTCCGTGTGATGTTGCGATCACTATGGCCCTCAGTATATTTTAAAGCTCTATAGCGTGGATAGTTTTTTTCTTCATTTTATATTTAAAATCACAAATTGTGCAGTCCCGTGATGCCAAGAAAATGGATATCACTTGTTCCAAAATACAAAAACTGAAAAAATTGTTGGCTAAAGCATTAAGACGACCAAACTTGGCGAAATCACAATCTTTATATTTATAGCTATGTGGACATCATTTTAAAGAAAGTCATTTTAAAACTCTTAAATCGTCTACAGGTGATGATTTCCTTTTTTTGTACTTTTTTACGTATTAATTACAGTGTTTCATACAAAATTTCTTCTCCTATTTTACCCGTTTATGGGATTGAATTTTGAAAAATGTTAAAACACGTTATTATTTAATTGTATTGAAGAGCATTATTACCAAGTTTCAAGTAATCCTGATCATCAATAATTCTTTGCCCATATAAACTTTATTACCCTTTTTTATCCCTTTACAAATTCTATATTTCTTACTTTTTATCTTAAAGCTAAACACCTTATAAGGCAGTGGCATCCTTATAAGGCAGTGATATTTTCTTGTGCGAATCATTTCCAACATGATTACCACTTGTCTTAACGGTGAAGAAGAACATCGTGAGGAAACCTACATGTCTGAGAGAACCTAGCAAGTTTTCAAAAGACGTGAATTCCGCCAACCCGCACTTGGCCAATGTGGTGGACTATAGCCTGATTCACCTCGTACTGATGTGAGGCTCGTGCCCAGCAGTGGGACGTTTAAAAGGGCTGAATACAAACACCACTTTTTGTGTATTTCACATTAAGAATGACAGAATTTTATACAATCTTATTACTATCTTTAATCCCCTATCTTACCCACTTAGGAATGATCCTAAGTAATGGAATAAGTCCTCCATATTTCACGTTTCAAAACTATCATATACCCTGTGTCGATCTATCACTCAGTCAAGACCACCGCAGGATGCACTTCTCCTTCTCAATTCTTCTTTCAGCTGGTCTAACTTCCAGATAGAATACATTGCACAGGTAAGATGCAAACACGATAGAAACAAAAAACCAGACATAAAAGAGATAACACAATAAATTGGTTAACCTCAGACTGAATGTATATAGACCATTTTTTTTTTTTTTTTTTTTTTTTTATTTCTGTTTGGCGGCTTTTTATATCACTGCGACCATTTCTGGTCTATTGTGATCTCCGCCATATTGTACTAGAGTGAACCACTAAACCCTGCTGATGTTAAGAACTGCAGGATTTTCTTAGGGTTACACTCTTTTATTTCATCTAGGCTTGGAAATTGTTTACCTAGATGAATACTACGTTTGTGCATGAGCGGTCCACATTCCCACAGAAGATGCAGTGGCGTTTCGTCTGCCTCCCTGCAAATTCTGCAGGTTCGCGTTTCGCTCAGCCCCAGGTTGAACATGTGCTTATTTAAGCAGCAGTGTCCAGTAAAGGCCCTTACCAGTATTCGTAAGGTTTTTCTGTTTAGCCCTAGCATAAGATTGTTAAACCTTTTGTCGTAGGCTCTAATTAATGCCTTGGAGTGATTCATTCCATTTGATTCAGTCCAGGTTTTGTTTGCAGTCTTAAGACATGCTATCATTAGGGTTCTTTGAACTAGGCTCTTAGGTATCCCACAGAAGGGCTCAGGGCCCTGCTGTATGCCAAGAGCTCCCCCTCTAGCGAGCTTATCGGCACACTCGTTGCCAATTACACCTGCATGACCCGGTACCCATCTTAGCACTACTTTGTTACTTCTTGCTAAGAGGTTTAGTCGGTCCATGCACTGCTCCACTAACTTTGATGAGACTATGTTTGAGTCCAGCGCTAGTAGTGCAGCTTGACTATCTGAATTTATATAGATAGTTTGATTTGTGTAGTGCTTAGACAAATTAGCTTCTACACATTCTAGAATGGCATAGACTTCTGCTTGGAAAATAGAGGCAAATTGTCCGAGGTGTATGCTTTTGCTAAACCTCGGTCGCTCTCCATATATCCCACAGCCAACCTTTGCTTCTATTTTTGAGCCATCTGTAAACCAGATGAGAGATCCGTTTTTATGGATTACCTGGCTTTTAGTCCAGTCTTCCCTTGACGGAAATTCAATTGTATAATACTTTACAAACGAGTGCCGAATTAACATGGCATCAGTCGTCATACCAAGTAGCGGCATTTCTTGTAATGAGTCCTGTAGGGTCCTCATTTTTCGTGAGAGCCAATGAGTTCTGCCTTGGATTTTAGCTCTATGCATGCTGGCTTTTGCCTCCTTTTGTATAAAAAGGTCTAAAGGTGGCAGCCCGAGTAATGCATTTAGTGCCTGACCAGGGCACGTAGACATGGCTCCTGTGGTCATTAGACAGGCTGTTCTTTGTAGGCTGTCTAGTTTTTGAATGGCTGTCGTCTGTTTGGCCTTATTGGACCAGGCTACCGATGCATACGTGATAATTGGCCTCACAATAGCAGTGTAAGTCCAAAGTGTGTTTTTGGGATTTAACCCCCAATTTTTACCCAACATGCGGCCACTTATTCCCAATGCCATCTTGGCTTTACTTAGGACTGCAGTTAGATGCGGGTTCCACGTCAGTTTTTGGTCTAATGTTAGTCCCAAGTATTTGACTTGCGTGGAAAATGCGATTTGTTTGCCATTAAGCTTTGGCATGACTAGTTTGTCTAACCTTCGCTTGTTTGTAAAGGGCACAATGACAGTTTTGTCAGCGTTGACTGATAGGTCATTTCTAACACACCAGTCACTGACAATGTTCAGACCCTTCTGCATTATACTTGAAAGTGTGGATTGGCAGAAGCCCCTTGCTATGATTACCAAGTCATCAGCATAGCCTTGCGCATCAATGCGGAGTTCTGCCAGTTTGTGTAGTAATTCATCCACAGCAAGTGTCCACAGTAGTGGGGATAGAACTCCCCCTTGCGGACATCCTCTTGCTGTGGATATATAGATAGTTGTGTCGTGGAGGGCTAGTTTTGCTCTTCTGCTAGTGAGCATAGATTTTACCCACTTTACCGTTGTTGGATCAACATTTTTAGTTATCAACCCATTTATCAACAGCGAAGTAGAAGAGTTATCAAAAGCACCTTCGATATCTAGAAATGCACATAGTGCTATTTCCTTGTCTTCTAACGCCTTTTCCACTTGGTCTATAAGACTTGTAAGGGCAGTCTCTGTTGATTTACCTTTACGATATGCATGTTGATTAAAGTGGATTGGGCTTTTAGTCAAGATTTCATCTCTTATATACCTATCCAGTACCTTCTCCATTGCTTTGAGTAAGAATGAAGAGAGGCTTATTGGTCTAAAAGACTTTGGTTGGCTATAGTCTTTTTTACCAGTTTTAGGTATAAATATGACCCTAACAAGGGTCCATATGTCTGGTACATATCCCCAGGCGAAACTCGCTCTGAAGATTTTGATCAGGTGAGGAAGGAGGATGTTCACCACTTGCTGCAGTAAGATTGGTGGTATCCCGTCTTCCCCTCTCGCCTTGTAGGGCTTAAAGGAGTCTACGGCCCACCGAACATGGTTAGGTCTTATGATCTCGGCAGCTTTGCACCAGTCCTCACTGCGAGGTCTATGATAGCCTGCCTGCTGATTATTGATGTTTTCTAAGAGACACCCAGGGAAGTGTGCCGTGGCCAGCAACTCGAGGGTCTCTTTCTCTGTAGTTGTGAAGGAGCCATCTTCCTTCTTAAGAAGTCCGATAGGATTAGGTTTGGCTTTAGAGAGAAGTTTGTGGAGTCTTGCTACTTGTGGAAGGCTTCTGATTTCCTCACAGAACTTCCTCCACGATTCTCTTTTAGCCCTCCTAATCTCTTTGTTGTAGTCTGATAGAGCTTTCCTATAGATCTCCCAGACGTGCGTCTTTTTAGCTTTATTGAATAGTTTCCTTGTTTTATCTCTAAGCTTTTTCAGCTTTGAGTTCCACCAAGGTGCTTTTCTAGTTGAGGTCTTTATTTTGAGAGGGCAGCTCTCCTCAAAGGCTGAAATAATGCCCTTTGTGAGGCCTTCCACCGCTAGGTCTAGACTCTCAATAGTTCTAACTGTTTTAGGAAGGGTAGCCAAGTTCATCCTTAACCGGTCTTTGAATTCAATCCAGTTGGTTGCTCTAGGGTCCCTATAGGTTGTGGTTTCGGCTTCTAGCGTCGCCTTAACCTCAAAGGCTAGGTGTCGGTGGTCCGACATTGCATTTTCATTGCTGACACGCCAGTTCATTATATGCCTGGCTAGATTGTGTGTGGAGATAGTAATGTCTAAGACTTCCTGTCTAACCCGAGTAACAAAGGTTGGTTCGCAACCTGAGTTTAGCGTTATAAGGTTATTAGCAATTAGAAAGTCAAAAAGTAACTCACCTCTTTTATTCGTGTCACTACTTCCCCACGATGGGTGATGTGCGTTTGCATCACATCCTATTAGAAGCTCGGCGTTGTGATGTGCGGCATACTCTACCACTCTTGCTAAGTCTTCAGTTGGATTGTCTCTCTCTCCAGGCAGATAGGCTGAGCATATTATTACCCTTGCACCATCCCACCCTTTGAGTTTGACAAAGGCTGCGGCCAAGTCGTCATTGCAAACTTCTGAAATTGGCAAGAAATCAACACATTTATTAAATAGGATACAGGCTCTGGGTCTCTTGCCAGTGTTATTACTTAGGACCTTACCGGCATTATTAAGTCCCCGAACCTGAGTATTTGCTACCCAAGGTTCTTGAATTAAGGCAAGGCTTGCCTTGTCCTCAGCAAAGCATTGCTCCATCACCGCAGTGGCTGCTGCAGCATGGTGGAGGTTTGCTTGCAGGACCCTCACCCCCCCCCCTGAGTAGCTCCTAGGCGTTTCCCCCCTGCTTTGTCCGCACAAGCTTGGGACGCGGTCGTCCCCTGCTCGTACGCCAAGCGTCGCCTCTTCCACCCCTATGAGCTGTGCCTGTTAGGCCTCCCCTTTGCCTTGGTAAGGGTTCCTGAGGCCTTCCGGCGGCACCAGCTCTCGGATTTGCCACCCTTCCACCCTGAGCAGGAGGTATTTGTATACCTCTTGACGTGGAGGGCTGTGGCTCCGTGACATAGCTCCCTCCGCTCTGAGGTTGGGACTCGGACGTTATCCCGGCTGCTTGTTGTGAGCCGAGATTCGTCCTGTCTTGCCCCTCTGAGCCCCTGGATGAGGGTGCCTGAGGTTCCAGAATCCGTTTAGCAGGTCCTGGGCATGTGGGGCCAGCCATTGGGTCGCTCTTGATTTTAAAAAGTAATTTCTTAAAACCAAGAACGACCTCAAGGTTCATAGCCCGGAGAGCTGCGACAGAAGCGTCGTCTAGGAAGAAGGACACAATGTGTCCATTTCCCTCGGCCCTACTGTGCGCTACTCTCCAGAGCTCCGTGTTGAGCCCTCTATTCTGTATCCCTAACAACTGGGTGGCCTCGTCTAGCGACTCCGCCTCAGAGTTAGGGATAAATATAGTCCCTACTGCAGGCTTCGGTAGTTCGCTCTCAGGGATAATTGAGAGCACCGCCTCGCTCCAGGGCTTTAGGGTGGGGACCTTCTCGGACAGCCATTTGAGACTATCCTGGTCCTCACAGGTGATCACTATATACCCCGGCCTGTGGGTAAAGCCGGTGAATCTGGGTCCCTCACCCTTGTCAGTGATCTTGAGCATCGCAAGGGTCAGGGATCGGTGCACCAACTTCATTTGATCTCCGCTCATGGGAACTTGATTTTTAATTCCCACGCGAGATTGCTCCACAACCTTACTGAAGCTGGGTTATGCTACCTTTCCCTCCGCACGGGGAGCCTTTTTGATTTGCATCCCCGGCGATTCTTCCTCCGACCTAGGCCTTTTCTTGGCCTTCGGGTCAGGCGGAATATTTTTGATCGGAATATCCTTCCAAGGCCTAACGGCTAATGCGCGGGCTTCGTCGAACCTCACATTAGCCGCCAGGAGCCTTCGGAGTCTCTTCCGAGCAGCGCCGTTTAATCTGGCCGGATGGCTTAGGGATTCTTCCGTCCCTGGGTTGGAGTCATCAATGTCTCCTTCCCCGGCCGGATTGGTCCCTTCAGCCCTCAGGTTAGATACCTTTGACGGAGAGGCTAATAAAACCTCCTCCATCAAGGTTATGGTTTCTCCTAAAAGAGGAGAAAGAGGATCTCCAGTTGGAGATAAAGGTTTGGGTGTTTTATTTTTATTTTTATCTTCTTCCATATACGTCCCACGAGAAGCTAGGGAAATAAACATGCCCACCGACAGAGCCCCGCATGTCGATGGGAGGACAGAAATTACTACCCGATTCGTCCAGGTGTCGGGTAGCCACCGTTTGCGACTGAGCTCCCCCCCAGCCACGCATCCCTCGGCACGGTTCGGATCACACCTTGGATTGGGTTTATTTACAGATATATAAATATAATACATACAAATATACATATATACATTAACATATAATGTACTATAAATAAATAAATAAGTAAATAAATAGCAATAGCATATATAAATATATTTAATAAAGCAACAAGCGCTCGGTGGTTTCGGTTATGTCTATTTCCTAGTGAACTAGACCAAATAACAGGGCTGGCAACCTCGAGAAGGATAGTCCACCGAACTAGCCTTGGGGATCTTCGCGACTGAACATGTCACTCTCCCCCAAGACCAACGCCCCCCTACCGTCTCTGAAGGAGACAGTAAGGTAGGCCTGCGCCTATACTACCATGCAAAGCATGCCGTGCGGGAACCGTAAAAGCATAGGTCCAGGCCCGCCCCAATATAGACCATACGTATGGCGCCCTTCCTTTCGAGAAATTTTCCCCATTAATCGACTATCTTATTTTCTTTTCTCTCTGTTTCTAGAATCCAGTCTACATATCTAAATGCTGTTTCCTATAAAACTATATAAATATTTTTAACGCTCATTCTAACTAATTATGTAATACGAATGATATAATACAAGCATGAAAATCCCCAATATTGTTGATAATTGTTCAATCTTTAGTGTATTTCTATTTTGATTATTCTTTTATATTATTTTTATAGATAAATATTATGTATAATGGCAGCACTATGAGCTAATGCGAAATTACAATAACAGTATCCATTGCTATAATCTTGAGAGAAATTTGTAATTCCTTTAAAATATCTGCATATTTTCTATCTTTTGTTCTCTACGCCTCACCACCACTTAAAGTGCTAAATAGCATTTGCCTACTCTATTTGTATTATCTCTATGGATGGGACTTTCTCTCCGGGCATTATGTTAATAATTATTGTAATTATAAGGTTTTTTTATCTACAAAACCTGGCTTAAGCCGCGTTGACACGATTAAAGTCTACTTTGACAAAGTAGTTTTGATGACTACTTAGATCATGTATACCTATATGAGCATTGAGCTATCATTATTCATTAATCAAAGCGCACTTTGACTTCGGCGTTCAATCGAAGTGGACTTGGAGCCGTGTGTAGTATAGTAAACTTCGTTTCAAAGAGTTTTGTCAAAGCAGACTTGGAGCGTGTCTACGCGGCTTTATCAATATTTATAGTTTTTTAAGATTAATTATTTCAGGTACGGAAATTACCACAGACTAGAAATAGCATGACACATAAGAAGTGCGAAAAGTTTCTAATCTTAGAAGTACAAAATGTAATTACTGATTTAGTAATTATTATAATGTTCCATTATCTTATTAAACGCTTATACAGATATATATACAAAAAAAATGTTATACCAGTTTCCTCGTCTATAAAGAAACTTAGTACTCGAGAATCGAGATTCTCGACTAAAAATTCAAAAAGCGAAGTAAGCGGCGAGTAACGTCTTTTATTTTATATACTTCGCATTTTATTAGTGTTAATAGATTTACGACATGCACTAGTAAATACTAAATATGTTATGTAGGTATACATCTGTTACGAAAATATCTGATTAGGTATCTATTCTAACTGAAAACCCCCGTTTAGTTATTTTTTTACATTTTAGTGCCTGGAAGTCAGTTTTATTTATATTTAAAAAGTTTTTATTTACATCGTCGTATCATTTTATTAAAACAAATCAATAATAATTAGAAAAACATGTTAAAGTATAGTCAAAAAGTTTTAAAAGTGCACTAATAAATAAAGAACTGCAATAACCACGGAAGATAAAAAATTCCGTGGCAATAACCACTATTTTTTACATACATTAATTATATCCCTGTATTGTACCTACATACCGTACAAATATCTATATTACAAATCTATTCACAGCTTCTGACGTTACTTACCTACTCCTACTTACATTTTGTTCCAAACAATATGGTACTGAACATCGTTTTTTTTTATTTTTCTGCGCATATTTCACACTTTTTATATATTGTTTTAAGTACCTAATTAAATAATGATAAAACAAAAAGTTATTGTAAGCATAATATCCCGTGTCAATAAAAATTCGATTTAAAATAAATATTACAGACAATACTAGAAGTGACTTTAAATATGATTTTCCTATATGACATACATTGTTATTCTTGGCCTCAAACCCACGACCTTATTATATAATGTTATGATGAAGAAAGATATATGTATTATAAAGCTACGTTTCACTTCCCTACATAACGTACGGTTATAAACTCAGTAAGTAGTTGTACACTGTAAAGTAGTGACGTTTGCTGATTGTTGTTATAAAAAAAAAATTGTGGGTAAGTTTACACTTTATTTTATTTATATCTAGTGTTTCTATCTCTTCCTTACTCTATGCTATCTCTCCTATATCTCTATGTTGTCTTTTTCAAGATGAGCGACGTAGGCGTAATAAATTGTATTCTAATGACGTCCGCCATAAAAGCTTAAAAAAGTAATAATTCAAAGTTTATCAAGAAATCGTTTGTTTTGGTAAATTGAACTTTTTGATACCAAAAATATAATATTTGTTATTATAAGTTCAATAAAGACTTCATATTATATTCAACATAAACATTCATTATTTCATGACACATTGATGAGAGTTTTCCACAACTAGTTGTGCGCGATTTTTTAATTCGTTGTTCATATTCTCTTGGCTTGGTTCTTGTAATAACCAGTACAAGAATAGGTAGGAACTATTTGTGTTATTAAAAAAGGTTTGTAAAATCTATTTTTGAAATAAGTGTCACACAAGAAACTATTTTCTCGGAAGGCAAGTTTTCAGTACCTACCTACTAATTTTGCAATATGGCGTCGCAGTCGATTAAGTTCACTACAAAAAAATTATTGAGAGTACCAAAGCGTATAAATATACTAAAGTAGAGGAATCCTTGACCTTTTCTATCTTTTGTCCGAAAATAAATCAAATAATAATATAAACATCATTTTATTGTTACATAACGAATGATTTGTTTCTTACAATTAATTTAATTCTAGGTAGGTACTGACCGATAAAACTATAGAACAACAATAGCAAGTGATTTTATTAACCGAATATTTTAGTTTATATGCATGTTTTAAATAATATAGGACAGTTGTAGAGAAACTAGTGCTCTACACCTCCCGACTTCATCCGAGAATTTTCTGTTATTTAAACTTTTTAATCATATTAGTGTCTAGGGTCTAAATTTTCAAACAATTTAATATAGAAAGCCGAACTTTATGAAAGAACTAGCGACTTAGGTATCTGTTTGCCATACATTTTATTGTTTTATTTTAAACCGTTAAGGTAGCGCACAATAATAAAACAACTCAATGGGAAGTTTTTCCGGCCTTAATTAAAGTTATTATGATTTCTGACAGTTATCGGAATTGCCTATAGCACACGGCGGTAATGTAGCTGTGTTATTAGTTTAAGAATTTTCAGAATCAGATTAGTACCTAATTACAGAGATTAACCCAACATTACAAACGTTAACATTATAATGTATTATAACAAAGGTTTCTTTGTTTTATAAAACACTATACCTATTGTTAACAAATCATGTGTAACTCTAACTAAAGTTCCGGCTGTTGAATTATTTTTTGAAGTTATACTTCTTTTGGCACGTTAGGAAAAAAAACGAGAGTAAAATTTTTACGATGCGCGCGCAAAAAGCGACATGATGAAGTTAGCTGCATTCCTTTTACGAACAGATAGTTGTGACATACGGGATGAAATCTTTAGCTATTTTTGTTCGGTTACGCCAAGGAAGTACAACTTCTTACGTGCGTACACAATATTATTACACACACTATTATTACACATAACACATTAACAAGAGGATTGTACCTACGTGCTATTTCCATTTTATTTGTAATCTAGAAAATCGTGACATTTATATGTAAATATTATGTGTTTATTATTACTCGTTGCCGCATAGCTCTATTCATTCATTCATTCTCTGCTCGCTGCAGATTAGAGTAACTCGGTTTGAGTCCTAGGCTGGGTCAAGTTATAGTTATTGGGACTTTCTGTCCAGAAATTCTCATTAACTGTCTGGAATTGGCGGCGTTTCACCTTCTTATCTTTGATCTCCCAACGATCGAGTACAATTGTCGTCCTATCAAATTTTATCAAGCACAAGGAATAAAATGTGCAATGTCTTTAAGCACTAGAATCTAACGCCGAAAAATCATCCAAATCAGTTAAACCGTTTAGTAATCACGAGGGAACATAGTATCGGACAGATGTACACGCGTATTACGCAGGCCAAACACCAACCCAAGAACTACAACAGTAGTTCAAACATATTTTTAGAGAGTTTCTTATATAAAAGTCATAACAGGCAAATCTGGAGAAGATAGCTAGTTTTATTATGCTGCTGATAATAATTGTAGATACTTAGCAATAATAACCATATTGGCTTAATTTAGGATATTTTGAAATCACTAGTTGTAATTGTATATACAATGTTTATAATAGGTAACTACAGGCAATTTAAGAACAAATTATATTCTGAGAATGTGAATGAATATAATAACTTCGTTTATTACTTACAATAATTAGGCAGGTATATGAGAATAGAATAATATAATGAAGAATAGTCATTTAAATAAATAACAATACTATAATAGTATATAGACGAAAGTATGTATGTATGTATGTACATACAAATAGTTCTCTAGATAATAGAATTCCATATCAAAGATAGTTTGTCCCGTGACCATGATTGCTGTAAGTGTAAATCATTCAAAATGTCGCGAACCAAAAATCAAAATAAATCCGCGAAATAAACCGAAAAGATAGTTTTATTTAAAATGTCAAATATTCTCGTAAATCTAAGGAAGTATTAATTACTACAGGGTGGTACCGACAACTCCCTCATGTCATGCGCGGGAAAGCAAATGAATATCCGCCGTCCGCGTCATTTTTTTTTATAGATTCCTATCGGCCAAGGTCACATAACTACATGCCGTATACAGTACACATAAATCATTACAAATTAATCAAATATATTATTTTCCATTCTCAAATATACACATGCAACCTAACAGTCTAAAATATTTTATTTTTTTCCTCTACTAATGGGATGATTTCGCTAAGAAGTGGAGCACCAAGGAGGAAAAGGGAATTCTTATCGATTATTTTAACATTAGGGGCCATTTTCTTAAATTATTAAATTTATATTAGAATATTTTAAATTTAATTAATTTGTTTTTAGGTATATAATAAATTACTAAAAAAAATAAGGCTGTTGCTATTCGTCAAATAATCCGATGAATAAAAAATATATTATTCTTACACCGAAAAAATAATAAAATATTTTTATTTTTCAGGGGCAATGAAGATTTTGATAATATTCGCGGCTCTTGCGGCCGTGACTTTTGCAGATAAACGGTGTCATGGCGTCTACATCGATAACAGATACTATAATTTAGAAATTGTCAAAGAAGGCATAAATAATTTACACGATTTAGTAATAAATCGCAATGATAACTCAGTTTATTTTACTTATGATGATCTGGATAAGACTTTGTCGAGACGTGTCGCACATTTCGATTTGAACACTAAAAAAGCAACTGTAATAGACGGTATAAGAAACGCTACAGCTTTAGCGGTCGATCAATTTTATGGCAAAGTGTATGTTGGCGGGATGGATGGCTTGTACAAAATAAATGATTTAAAAGCAGAAAGACTGCCTCTACACGACGAAGTTATATCCATGCATTTTAAAGAAGTTCTATACTTCATAAATGGGAATAAGGAAGCGTTTAAATTCGAAGACGGCCATGCCACGCCTGTGTCGGAGTTACGTGGAGTTAAAATCGACAGACTAGTTATAAATGATGACGATAATATATTTTTCACAGATAATCAAATGTTGTATAGAGTGAAATTAGGCACACGTGCTATAAATACGCATGAGAAACTTAATGTAAATGCTATAGCTACTGACGCGTATTCCAGAACGTTTATATGCACTAAAGATGGTCTGTACATGTATAATAAGTATAAATTTGTTTTCGATAAAATGGCCGATTTGCGAAATCTTAAAGCTATAACTTTTAATAAAATGAATGATCCGATTTACGCTGCAAATGACTTATTGGTGAAACTTACGACAAGTTCTATTGGGTGTTATGAAGACTGAATATCGTATTTCATCTCAGGAATAACATATAGACAAAGTGTCACAGAGCTAAACATGAAGCCAAAGAAATAATGTTTTAAAATATTATATGATTTCTTAAAATAGTACTTATACAAATGATAATTCGCTATAAGTAAATAAATGCCAATAAATAAGAAATGGCTAACGGACTTTATTATAATAAAGCAAATTTAAATAAGCTTACATATAGCTCTATCTCTCTTTAAAGAAGAAGAGAACTCAACTTAAAAAATACAAAATAATATATTATTTTTATTATAAATTGTTCTCAAAAATTGTATATTAATTTAACTAATACATTATATACAAAATTTCTCTTTATTTATTAAAGAAAGTAAACGATCTGTAAGCAAAGCACGCTACTATTTTTAACTTTGACATTTATTTTTCCGGACTCCGTCTAAATAATGATTTTGTCTGTTTGTCTGAGTATTTAATTCAGTATAATAAATTGTATATTAAATATTTGTATATAGTAGTTTTAAGATTTAATTAAATTAAAATATATAAAGTACAAAATTTATTATTGATTACATATTACCTATTCATACTTTTATTTAACAATATTATGTCACGGCCAATATGCAAACAATATAGCCCAATGCAAAATTTAATTTAAATCAAATTATAAAAGGTAATTTTATGTCTCGATTTATCTTGGTTGTAATGATAATCGCACCGGAAGTACATCAACTTCCGCTTATAAAGCTGTTACGGTTGACAAACGACTCCATGAAGGTAGAATGAATGAACTATTAGAGAGCACTTTGTAATGAGTGTTCCTCTGCCAGCCTAGCCGTGAAGAGTAAAGTATAAAAAGTAAAAATTTTATAGACAATGAAAAATGTCAGAAAGGCGCGAGAAAGACAAAACGAATGTGCGGCCAGTAGTCTTCCTTAATTATGTAATACAATTAATTTGATCATGGACATTTATAGCTATATTTTTTTTTGATCTGAAACATCTATTGGCACACCTTGGCAGTAAAACCGAGCGATATCAATATAATACACGCTTCATTGTATAAGTCTCTATTAAAAAGACTTACATATTTTCTGTAATTATTATTATAATTAAAATAATTAAAAAAATAAATTGATTTTATCAACGAAACTCCTTTTTTCTTTATATTACTCCATATTTCGTTATAGGTTTTTAATTATGATTTCTAATATTAACATAGATGTCTCACATCTGCCGGGCGTTCCGTGACGGCCAACTTTTTTTTTCTTTTACTCTGTATTGTTTTACATTTCATTTATTAATTCAAATACAAAAAAATATATTTAATTAACAACTAAGAAGGTTAAATTACACAAAAATATATAATTGGCCGTAAATAAAGTTATGGTCAATAGAGAAAAAATAAAAAGTAATATCGACTTATGAAACTAACATTTTATACTATTTAAAAGTGTTGCAAATGATATTTATTTCGAGAATTAAATTTAACTATTAAGATTAAATTAGTAATTTCAAACTAAAAGATATCTTCACTATGAAATGGATGTGGCTATTATCGTCTGCTTTTTATAAGGTATTTCAACGATTTATTAAAAATATTGATTGACAAGAAAATTTAGATACCTTTGAGAGTCATATAAAAATTAATTTAAATTCTTAAAAACATAAACTTTAGAAAATTGAATATTTTTTAAAGTTTAGTAAACTAGATGATGCAGATGGAAGGAACATTTTTAAAGTTTAATGATAGTATTAAAAGAACAAGAACATACAAATACCTGGAGTAGTATCCATTTCATCCATTCATCCTATCCAGGTCATTTTATCCAGTCTTTTATTTTAAAATAGACGCCATTTTTTTGTTATTTTTTTATTTGAAACTTAACATAAGCTTAGGCTTACGTTAAAGTTATATTAATAAATGCTTTATTCCAAAAAATGTTATTATTATGTATATTGTATATAATTAATTACAATAGGTAGCTATTGTTGTTATATTTATTATTCTTGAACAAAAATAATAAAAATATTTTCTTGGTGAACTGAATGAAATTGAATCTGTGTAAAAATCATTTTTAATAAAGAACGATACTTGAGCGATTTGATGATCTTATAATATACTTTTTGGATCTTTTTTGGGGGTTTGTTTATTGGGGTCAACTGGATAATTCTTAGCTCCAATCCAGTAATCGATGCTATTGTCGAAATTCAAATTTTCAACAATAGTCTAACAGAACTTCTGGCAGTCGGGTCCGCTAATAAAAAATAAAACAAAAAAAATATTTATGATCAGAATTACTTGAAACTTGGTATAAATGCTCTTTAATACAATTCAATAAATACTTGAAATATAATAAACATTTTGCATAATTTTTGTAGTACATTCAAAAAACCATGTGTAATGTGAAGAAGGATTACCGTTGCATTGGTGTTATTATTTTTAGTTTGGTTAGTGTGTACATATGGAGTTGGTATAAGTGTCAAAAAGTGATTGAAGAAACTTTCAGACAACCGTGAGTTTATATCATTACATACTATCTTTTTTTTTCTTTATGGCTTAGAGACAGACTTTCTTACTAATATTATAAATGTGAAGTTTAGATGTTTGGATATTTGGATGGATATTTGTTACTCGAATCACACTAGAATGGCTGAACAGATATCGATGATATTTGGCACACAGATAGATTATAGTTTATCCCGAAAAATGTAGGGTTCTCGTGGCATAGATTTGTTTTTTTTATAACTATAATATACTACATCCCATGAAAATCGTTGGAGACGTTTCCGAGATTCAGATTATATATCTATATATATTTATTGGGAAAATGTTTAAATATGTGAAACTAAGCTTTGTTTAAAATATTATTTTCTCCACTTCAACAGATGTATTGTCCAAATGTAAACTTCAGTCCTCATATTAATATTAAACGAATCGAAGCGTTACCTAACGTCATCACTGCCAAAAAGACGACCTACCTGTCTACTGATGATCAAGTATAATTGAACTAATATTTTAAATTTAAAGTTTGTATCAGTGTATGCATGTTTGTTACCCCTTCACACTGCACCATTTGGACGGATTTGGGTAAGATATACCTACCTAGTAGGTACACTGATAGACTATGACCTGGAGTAACGCCTAAGCTACTGTAGGTCACCTTGATGCACGCACCCGAGCGAAGCGAGAGTAAGCTCTCTAGCTTAATAATATAATATAAATATAATATTTTAATAGAGTCCCAATACCATCTTCGGATATCGGATGTCAATTTCCGTACATTGATCCCTTTTCACCGATCGCAATGAAATATCACAAGGAAAAGCCGAAAGTTGTCTGTTACGGCGAAGACTGGGTTGAATGTAATGTAAGTAGACATTAAAAATCTTATCAATATCAACAAAACAAATATAAGTTTAATAAATAAGTAATAAACAATTTTTTTGGTTACTTTCGTAAGTAAAAGCGAATAAGCAAGAAAATAAGCGAAAAAGAAAGATTTTTTTTATTTAACTTCTCTATTCTTGGACAATATTTAGGATATTACAATTTTTTTTTATATCCTTATATCATACAACAATCATAATAATCTAGACGGATTTCAGTGGTACTTTTTTTCTTACATACTGGTATCTCAAAGAAAGGATCTTTCAAGCACTGAAGAATTTTCTAAGATTGTCACGGCAATCATTAAATAAAATATATTATATACTTCTAAAATACTTATTTATAGCATTATAATAATTCATCCCATGTTAACGTCCCACTGCTGGGCACGCACCTTCTTGCAATGCGAGAATAGTCCATTATGTTGGCCAAATGACAGATTGTGCGGGTTACAGACGATTATCAAAAACTACTTAAATTCTATTAGACTTGCAGATTTTTTTACGTTTTTTGATGGTATTAGCATGTAGTAATTATTTTGATAATTATGTGCACATGAAAATTTAGTAGATGCAAAAACCTGGCACTTGAACCACGACTTTTTTTGCTAACGAGTTGCCAATAAAAAAGTAGCTTAGCTCTTATTAGTGTGTATATTATTTTATAGCTCTCAGAATGTAAAGTAACACAGAAAATCTTGAATAGAATGAAAAATATAAAATGCTTATACAAAGACATCATATATCTGGACGATCATCATTACAATGTGGCGCCACCTGTTACAGTATATAACGACGACGTATATACTTTGAACAAAAGTGATTCAGTCAAAATTTCGTGTTTTGGACATGATAAGTATGGGTATGAATAAATGTAAATAATAATAACTATAATGTCTTCCTGAAAAATTTTGGCCACGGCGGTCAATTTCACTGAGACTAGCCAACTGCAGGAGATATTAGATACAGTGCACAAGTGTACGTTATTATTTAATTGTTTTTTTTTTGGGTTAGATCACTGTGGCTGAATGAAGTAGGTCAAGAGGGTTTTATGCGCGCAAATACAATTGCACTCTCTATTCCTTCTCTAATCTCTCATCTCCCGTAGGATTATAGTTCCATACGACCGATGAAAGGCCAGGTTTACCGATAGTTTTACGAGCTCTCCGAGAAACGAGGATATAGCATCGCCAATTTTCCGAGTCCGGGCTATTTATTACTGAGAATTTCGTGACCAAAAACCCAATACATATACTTGGCCCGATTCGGGACTCGAACCCAGGACATGCTAGCCGCTAGACGATATACCTGGTAAATGCAGAAAAAACTTATTATACTAGCGGTCCTCTAGTTTTGTTTAAGTATTGTTAAAACCTTTCAGTATCAATCGATAGGTTGAGTTAAAAAATGGACTATTTTTTTTATGTAATGATGTGTAGGATAGAGAGACCCGTAGAGTGTCTTTCGCTCGATTTTTATTGATATATAAAAAATACGTAAGTTGATAAAAATAGCCTATTAAATTGTTAGTCCAATATGAAAGCTATTATCTATCTACCATTTAGAATTCCAGTCATATCCACTGCACCATCACGTGCCCATGCTGTTTATTTTACTAATATCAGTATTATATGATCTGTTCTAATATTATTAATGTGAAAGTTTGAATGGATGTTTGGATGTTTGTTACTCAATCAAGCCAGAACGGCTTAACGGATCTGGATGAAATTTGGCATAGAGGTAAATTAAAATCTTGAATGGCACATATTACCTACTGAATAATTTAATAATAGCATAGGATATTTTTATCCCGGATAAATGTACGGTTCCCGTGGGATAGAGTTATTTTTTTCCTAGTTATAAAGATAATACCATATTAACTCATTTTATTTCCAAGTTTTGGTTTAATATCGTCTCGATGGTATGGATACAAAACCGGCATAAGACCTATTCCGCCCCGCAAAGTACCAGCGGGAAGAGAAAATTCTATAAATATCCTAATATTTGGATTCGATTCAGCATCTCATAATGGTTTTCAAAGAAAATTGCCGAAAACTCACAAATTCTTAATCGAAATGGGCGCTGTGATACTCAAAGGGTAAGTTTATGTATTAAAAGTTGTATATGCATACATACATATATCGTGAACAGATTGTAGAATAAATAATATCATGAAAAAATCGAACATATTATAAAATGATTAAATTTCATAATAATATATCACATTAACTATGGGAAAACTAAGTTAAAAAAAAACAAACTAAGTTAAATCAAGTTCAAATGCTGTGTCTCGCACCTCTGATATTTTCATGTGCGATTCATTTCCAACATGATCACCACTAGTCTTACGGTGAAGGTAAACATCGTGAGGAAACCTGCATGTCTGGGAGAATCTAGCAAGTTGTCGAAAGGCATTTGAAGTCCGCCCGCACTCAGCCAGCGTGGTGGACTATGGCCTGATCCCCCTCGTATTGATGGAAGACCCAGCGTTTATAATTTCATTGACAAAAAAAGATAAAAAAAAAATTTAGTCCCTTTAAGTTTCTTTCCACAAATCTTCTAAGGACTAAGCCTTTCTTTTCGAACTGCTGGCACACTCGTTCAGTAAAAAAAAATGCTGAATATTTTTTTAAATATGAAAAAGAAATGGAATACGCATGTAAAGCCTTACATTCAATAGTGTGAAAACAAAAATTTTTCAGCTATAACATAGTAGGCGATGGAACTCCAGATGCATTGTTTCCCATCTTATCTGGAAGAACTGAATTACAGCATCCCAAAGCAAGGCAAACATACTCTAAAAACATATATCTTGATCCGGATTTGTTTATCTTTCACACAGCCAAGTTGGATGGGTAAGTGGCTTATAATCGTAAGTCAAAATAATTTTAATATGGTGTTCTTAGTGATTGTTGGTGGTGTGACATTAAAACATACTCGTAGAACCATTTAGTTTCATGGTAAGCTACGAAGCTTGTGTTATGGATACCAGATAGTTGATACAAAACACAAATATAACTTTAAATACATACATATTATAAATATAAACACCCATGACTGGAGTAGAAACATTCGTGCTCATCACACAAATGAATGCACCCAGCGGGACTCGAACCCGCGACCGCTGACACAGCATGTAGGGTCACTACAAACTGAGCCAAATGTGTCGTCGCATTGCTTTATTAATAATTACTACACAGAGCTAACCTGATGTAAGAAAACAGTGAAATCGTTCCGTCCGACCAGCGAACCTTTGCTCACGCGCTAATGACAGGCGCAACCTGATCTTCAACAATATTTATCTGTTCTATACATTTTTGTTTGAAATTTTAAATTATAATTGCCATTTAATTATATTTTTATTTCAACAATTATAAGTAGATTCATGGTATTCTTCAAAGTGATATGAGCCTTCGAGCGATCGATATTAAAGTTAAAATTCAAAGGCCATGATAAAGACACAAGTACTAAGTATAATATACTATAGTTTACACTGTCAGTACAATTAGCAGTAACCTTAAAGCAATTAGTGTGAAACACACACATAGTACAGTCATACACATATAGCTTTATTTAATACTAGCGACTCATCCTCGCTTCGCTCGGGTTCGTCCCTAGCTTGGTTCCCAATACAAACTTTCATCCCCATTTTCACCCCCTTAAGGAATGATTTCCGGGATAAAAAGTATCCTGTATCCTTGTCAGAGTCTCAAACTATCTTATAACCAAATTTCATCTTAATCGGTTCAGTAAATCCAGAGATTACCGTCTACTACGTCACAAACTCACAATCTCACAAACTCACAAACTTTACCTCTTTATAATATTAGTATAGACTAATGACATTCACTCGCTTCGCTCGGGTATCTTCATAGTATCAATGATTTAAGTACGTATAGTTGCGCACTTAAAACAAGATATATGTACTATTTTGTATACTCTACATCTGTACCGAGGTTTGTAACCCCAACCCCCAACAGGTTAGTTGTTCCCAAAAGTACCACATTTTTAATTTTTGTGAACACAACTTTAAACATTACATTTAAGGTTCAATTTACATTGTTGTATATTTATTTCAACTAGAATAATTACCTAAGTACAATGAGTGACAGTTTTAAGAGAACCTTTGCAGGGGATTGTGTATCTATTTAGTATTTATTTGATTTTTGATCGATGTATTTTCTATATATCAGCTACCAAACGGCGTATTATGAAGATATGCCTTGGATAGGCTCGTTTCAATATCGTTACAATGGATTTAAGAAACGTCCGGCGGATCACTATTTACGGTCTCGGTTTGTTCTGGAGACACCGCGGTATTGGCAAGGGCGTAATATTCGGTACTGCTTAGGACCGATACCACACTATATGTTTATGATAGAAATAACCAAACAGGTAACTATAGGTTGAAAAAAAAACGTGTGTGTGTATGTACATATATGTAACCTATACGTACGTAAGAAGTTATACTTGTTTGGCGTAACAGAACAAAAATAGCTAAAGATTTCATCCCGTATGTCACAACCCTCTGTCTGTAAAAGGAATGCAGCTAACTTTATCAAGTCGCTTTTTGGCTGTCGGTGTGTGCGCGCATCGTAAAAATTTTACTCATACTTTTTTTTTCAAACGTGCCAAAAAAGTATAACTTCAAAAATAACATGTACCTAACATGTAACACTTTTTTTGTATTACAGTGAAAGTTTAGTAGAAAATTTAATATTTATCAATTCTTGAATGTTTTCAAAGAAGATCACGCAAAAAAAAAATTCTAACCAATTTTTTAAATTTTAAATTAATTAGTTATTTTAAGACTCAATGGGCCACCTCAAAATGTTGAGTATTTTTTTTTATTTCAATAATTTTGTTTGTTGTAGCTACAAATTCTACATAACACAATACACAACCCACAAGCTAAGAAAAAATCAAAAAAAAATTTTTCGCTCTACCCTAATATATATGTATGTGAGACATAATTATTTGAGATAAATTATAATTGATTAATTAATTATTAGACTTATGGCGAAGAAATTTATAAATTTTTGATTTATACAGTGTCTATAGATCAATTTTAATGTAATCCATCGTATTTTATAGTTTATGAATTTGAAGAAAAAGCGTTTTTGCTTCACGTTCATAGCGGATATATCTCACGACGATTTCAATCAAATATCTACGGCGGATGAAGACACGGTGGATTTTCTTGCATATTTAAAAACTAGCGGATTATTGTATGACACTTTTCTTATAGTGATGGGCGATCATGGGGATAGGTAAGTATAAATAATAATTTTATAATATGTTAGTCACTAGTTAGAATGGAATAAATAGGCTATATATTATCGACGACACGTTTGGCTCAGTTTGTAGTGATCCTACTTGCTGTGCCAGCGGTCGCGGGTTCGAGTCCCGCTGGGGGCATTCATTTGTGTGAGGAGCACGAATGTTTGTACTCCAGTCATGGGTGTTTATATTTACAATATGTATGTATGTATTTAAAGTTATATATGTATTAACTATCTGATATCCATAACACAGGCCTCGAAGCTTATCGTGGAACCAGATTGTGCTGTGTGTTAATGTCCCAATATCTTTATTTATTACTAGCGACTCACCCTCGCTTCGCTCGGGTTCTTCCCTAGTTACGTTTTAACGTTTAGTATACATTTCTCAGAGATGAGATATTTTCCAGCAGTAAAAAGTATCCTATATGTTGACCCGGATAACCAGCTATTATCATACCATATTTCATCAAAATCTGTCCAGTGGTTATTTCGTGATGCGATAACAGACAGACAGACAGACAGAAAAAATTCTAAAAACTATAGATTCGGCCTCTGTATCGATAATAATGTCTATTTCAATAAGATTTTCCTAAAAATAATTAATGTATCGATTCGGCTTAGTTACAATTTTATTATATATACCTATAGATTTATTTGTTTTTTTTTTATGTTTTTCTATATATGTATGTAAGTTGCATTTGCAGATTCTCACCAATGCGAGCTTCATATCAAGGGAAAATGGAGGAAAGAATGGCTTTTATGTCATTTTTACTGCCAGAAAAGCTCAAAAGTGAACGTCCAGACGCTCTAAGAACACTACAGGCCAACTCCCATGTTCTAACAACGCCTTTCGATATACACACGACTTTGTTAGATGCTATGGGTCTATATAATCTCTCAAACAACTTCACAATAAAACACTCTAAAATTCCAAGAGGAATGAGTCTTTTGAGGCCGGTGAGAGTTTTAATTATAATGTATTTACTAACATTTACATACGGACATACATAACATTTGACGTTGTTTTGAAGGTAATAATAAATCTCGTATCCGATGCGTCTCGCGTGTATACTAAATACACAGACGAACACATTAGTTTTATAGACCTACATACATATGTATATACATACATGTAAGTATGTATGTTTTATTAGTTTATTGTTTAGCTTTTTGTTTTTCTCATTTTCATTACGGTCTGCTTCTTAAGTGTATTGTTTAATTTGTGGAAACTTCATTGGTTTATGTGTCATCTATTATTATTAATTATTTATGTAATATCGTACTGTTTGTTTCCCTAAAATAAATAAATAAAATAAAATAAAAATATTCACTATTCAGATCTTTTTAACGTCCCACTTCACTGCTGCATTTTCGACTTTTAAAATAGGAAAATAGTAATTGATTTACAAAATTTTTTATGGGGCATAAAGTAAAATAGATATTTTATTTTTTAGTATTTAAATGATTCCAAAATTCTTAGCCGTTTAGAAACAGTACGAACGGCAAGTCAAAAAAATACCATTTCTTTGAAATATAAAAGTAATAGATATTTTCGTCCCACGATAAAAATGTTTAAATGAAAATATTGTTTAAGAGTTGATGATTCACATTTTTTTTTTCAAGCATTTCGGTGAAGTCATAAACGAGAAGTACGCTTTAGAAAGTAGCTCTTTGCTAGCCCTTGAGGGTACTAATCGCTTTCAAGTCCAACACGTTTGCCAAATATGAGTTGGCGGACTTCACATGACCTTTAAAAATTGCTAGGTTCTCTCACACACTCAAGTATTGTCACGATGTTGAATCTTCACCGTAAGACAAGTAGTAATCATGTTGGAAATTATATGCACATGAGAATATCAAAAGTGCGAGACCCGGGATTCGAACCCGCTTCACTTGGCTTTTCCAAGTGAGCGCTTTCCCACTATGGGTAGCAAAGGACGTATAGAATAGCAAAGAACTGCCATAAAGTCTGTATATTAAATTAAAAAAAAATCGATAGAAAAAGACCCTAAAAAAATTAACATAATTATCACATGCATAATAAACTACTAATAATGTTGTATTACGACAGTACTTAATCATTATATAATATATTAAATATTACAAAAATCACGCCGCCCGAACAGGGACTTGAACCCTGGACCCTTGGATTAAAAGTCCAATGCTCTACCGACTGAGCTATCCGGGCTGTATATAGTTATTTCAAATTGTACATAACTAAATTGATAAAATAAATATGATACATATTATGTATTCGCTTGCCAATATAAGTTTCAAGGTTATCGGCGTTGCTTGTTTTGTAGAATATTGTTTATATAAGCGATTATGATTGAGAACGTTAATTCGATTCTCGCTCAAGTTATACTCGTAACTGTCAAAGAAGACACATAATATATATCTAAAAACTGTTAAGGTTCCATTACTGTTATTTATTTATATTTTAAGGACCCGTTTGGTTGCCCTTTATCCGTCCCGCTGACATTCATTTGTGTGATGAGCACGAATGTTTGTACTCCAGTCGTGGGTGTTTATATTTATAATATGTATGCATGAACGAATTAACCACTGGACTAGACATATAAGCGGACGTACCTTTATCGGTCTTCTCAGTAACCAGGAGATTTTAGGCTTGGTCGTTTGTTTTTTGCGTCAGTCTCAAGCACTTATTTGTCAACAAAACATCTCCCAAAAATGACTAAATGTTCTGTTAAATGATGTAAAAACTATAACGGCGGAAGCAGCAGTATTTCTTTTCACTTGTAAATACATTATTTTATTACATTTATTGTTATTTATCATACAATTTAATTAAATGTAAAATAAAATGTCATATTATCCAACTATGTTAAATATAGTCGATATTTCTATGTATTGTTGACATCTGACAACCATCATAAAATCCCTGGATTATACCATTCAGAACAAATGACTAAACTGTCGAGTGAGTCCATTTGACATCGACTAGTGCTTGACAATGTCGAAAAATATATCGATATTTGACGAAATTACAAAACGAATTGTGTTATTTGTACAGTACAATAACATAAAATACTTTTACCACAGTATCCTACAATCTGATGACAATAAATTTATAAAAATATTTTCTAAATCAAATAAAAATATAAATGCAAAAATTATAATTAGTATGTGTACTTAATTTTTTATTTTATTTTATTCCATATTTATATACTTTGGAATATTATTCCATTGTAATAATAATAAAGATCATTTTATTTCAACACATAAATTACACAAAATCAAACAATAATGTTTTAGCACTAAACTTCTGGGTTGGCGATTTGTAATAAAACACTTTACCACTTGCACTAATTATTTTACTTTCACGATCCAACACTCACTTTAATTTGCAATGTCTTTTTCTTTTTCCTAATTTCACAAATGTTTATTAAGAACTGAGCAATATTAGGACAGTGTCACATTTTTATAACTACCCGAGACAATCAATTGCAAATTAAAATAGTTCAATAACAGAATCAACAAAATCACTTTATTTAATTAAATTAGCTTAATATTTTTTTTAATCTTTACAAAATAATATTTATTATATATTAATGGAATATATACCCGATATTCATTTGTTCATTAACATTATTATAGGCCAACAGAATGTTGCCATCAATGCCATCGTATTTATATAAATCAAATTAAAAAATAATTATTATTTGACACATTATTATTGCCTCTTTAATTCATTTATTTTAATTTATTAAAATTAAAAGAAGAAGAATAAATTAAAAGATGTAAAACATGATGACTATGCTAACCAATGTCTAAAATGTCATTCATTGGTTCATCGATATATGTATTTTATCGATTACGTTCAAACACTAGAAATATTGTATTGTGTATCAGTGTTTATAATAATGTAATAAAATCTTTGTGTGCGTTATGCGTCACTTGGTTGAACTAGTTTTCATACATTTGTATTTTATGTCAGGTCCAGTCTCTAATTCGTTCATGTATGTATGTATTTAAAGTTATATATGTGTAGTGTATCAACTATCTGGTATCCATAACACGAGCCTCGTAGCTCACCATGGAACTAGATGGTGCCGTGTGTTGATGTCCCAACACATTTATTTATTCTATTTAATTTATTTATTTAAATATTTATATTTGCCGGTTACAATTTCTAGATACCAATATCACGTACTTGTGACGAAGCAGAAGTTTTGCCACACTGGTGTGTGTGTCTTAATGCTAAATGGCATAACGTTCCGTCTTCCGACCCTCTCTACCAGAGAGTTATTCAATATCTCACTCGATATATCAACAAGGCAACCGATGAAATGCGGTTAGTTTAATTTAAGTATATCTAATTAACTTGATCTAAACTTGATTTGTAACTTAGTGAAGTGTAAAATGTTTATAGTCTATTCATATCATAAAGTTCCCCGCCGCGTCTGTCTGTCTGTCTGTCTGTCTGTTTGAACGCGATAAACTCAAAAACTACTAAACGGATTTTCATACGGTTTTCAACACAAAAGCATTCGTCGCAACAACAAACGGGAACTAAGAATCAAAATAACTGCACGAAATAATCCGAAAATATAGTTTTATTTAAAATACCAACTAGGACGTGGAAAGTAAGCCATACTAATATTTATTTTTATTTATTTTATTTATTAATGCGAAAGTTTTGATGATTGGATGTTTTGTTACTTAAACACACCAGAACGGCTGAACAGATCTGGATATTTGGCACAGAGACAGATTATAGTCTGGAATAGCACACGCACGGGTTACTTTTTATCCCGGAAAAATGTACGGTTTCCGTGGGATAGATTTGCTTTTGTCTAGTCTCTCTAGTCTCTATTTGTACAATTTTATACTCTTATGTAAATTGTCATATGACCTTAATGTAGAAAAACTACGCTTATAAAAAAGTAAATACTACGTAAAGATCAAGATAAAAAAATAAGACAGATGGTGAATACAGAAGACAAGTAATATTATAAGTAAGTATATTGAAAAATATAAGGTTTCTTTCATTTTAGTGCGCTATGTGCTGAGAGGCGGTTGGCATATGCTAAATGGGTGACTCGCCGAACCGAAAAAGATGCAACAACGCAAAATATATATTTTCAAACTTTGGTCAGATAATCATTTATTAATATTATTTAATCATTTATAATGAAAAACTTAAGTTAGACGTTTAGTTGGAATTATATTTTGTAGGTTTTTTGCGTATTTTTTTGACGATTGTACGTTTTTTTTGACGTCTTTCACGAAAAAACTTATGAATGGATATTAATGAACCTTTAAAGTAATATAATATATAACACATAAGCTATAATTTATATGAATACAGTACATAAATAAAGATTATTTGAAATATATTTAAATAAAAAAATTATTAAAACTTTGCTAAAATATTAATTTTAGGTTTAGCTTTATACGCTATACGAATTTATGTTCGAAAATAAAATAAAAAACAATTACCTAATTAATGTTATTTGCTTTCCATTTCAGATAATAATGACTCCAGGCCACGCGGTGTACGAGGCTTCACTACAATATAACGAACAGTTGGACAAATTTATTATATCTGACAAAGATGTTTCTAGAATTTCAGCGTAAGTCTTAGAAATATCATCATTTCTATCATAATAATATATATTAAAGATATATATTTTTTGGCTTTATTAAAGTAAAATGTGTATTTAATACCAAAAGAATTGATATTTAAAATTGAATAATTCTGTATTAAATAAAAACTCTTTCATTTTAAATAAATACTCTTTCGGTAAAGTGGTCGTTTGGACAAATAAGCACTGAGACGGCGAACTATAGAATTGTGTACTCAACTGCAAAATAAATAGTGCTGGCACTTCATAGATATAGCTGAAGGATGAAAAAGTCTACATCTTAATATATAAAATCCCCGTGTCACGATGTTCGTCCGGGATGAACTCCAAAACTACTTTGTATTTTTTTTCAAAATGTGTGATTTGTTACATCTTATAAGATAGGATAGTTTTTATCTTAATTATTTCCTTTTTTTATTGCAAAATTAACGATAATAAGTACGTCATCATACTCTTAAATATTATGTCTTTAAAATTTAAATAGATGATTTTAAGTGACTTTTTGGTTCAAGCCAATTATAATTGAAGAGTTATAAGCGTATGAGATCATAAACATTGTGTAAGTACACGTCTATACACAATATTTATGATATTTTAAGGTTCCGTACCTGAAGTTGCCAATGGAACCCTATTACTAAGCCTCCGCTGTCCGTCCGTCTGTCTGCAGGCTGTAGCTCATGAACCGTAAGAGAGTTGAATTTTTCACAGAGTGTGTATTTCTATTGCCGCTATAACAACAAATATTAAAAAACCAAGATGGCGTTTTCAAAATGGCCGCCATGTAAATGAAAAAAAAAACGATTAGTACATAATGATTTATCTTGTACGATGGTACGAAATTCTTCGTGTGCGAGTTCGATTCGCACTTGACTGATTTTTTAAATATATATTTTTTATTCATAGGTACCGAGAAGAGCCGGCGTGTGTGAGCGCAACACACCCACACTTAAATAAATACTGTTATTGTAAAAATTAACATAATAGAGCAATAAATATAGTGTTTTAGGGCTAAATGATTATTTATATGTCTACATTTAAAAACGTATTGTTTTTTTGCATAAGTGCAACATTTTTTGGTTTGTTTTAATAATATATCTGCATTTTTGTTTCATTCTCATTTAATTTAAAATTATTAATTTTATTTTGAACTAGCTGCTTTAACGCGGATTTTGTTCAAAATTTCATGGGTTTTAATTTCAACCCTAATTCTTTTTTCTAAAATAAGAATAGCCTAAGTTACTCCTTATAACATCAGCTGTCTGCCATTAAAAGTCCCCTCATAATCGATCCAGCCGTTTCGGAGATTAGCCAGAACAAAGAGACAAACAGACAAAAAAAAATTAAAATTGTTTTTTTTTAAAGTATCGTATGTATAAGTATATAATGTACTTTCATATTATGTATTTAGTAAAAAGCTGTTATTTTGACATTACAAATAGACACCGCAATTTTATTTATTTATATAGATAGATATGTTTTGATTTAGTAAAATGAACATAAATTAATAAAAAGACAATATAATTTACCATGTTTTATTTTATTTACTAAAATAATACAAAATATTTATACACTAATAATACTCGTTTAGGTACATCGGTATTTAAAGTACTATCAATGACTTGAAAGTAAATTTTTCAAGCATTGCCCTCAAATAGCATCAAAATCGATTCAGTGATATCCGGGCGGACCGTAGACGGCCTTGAAGTTGTTACCGTTGCCATGGAAACCGTTAAGAGATCCAGAATATTCTGGTACATTGTAGTTGTAACCTGTAAATGATATATATACTCTTTATTGCACATAAAAACCAATATACAAATATTAAAAGAAAAAGGGTGGACTTATCTCTAAAAGAGATCTCTTCCACTCAACCTAGGAGGTGAGAAAGATTGTCATTTAGCGGAGCAGAGAAGTGCAAGGTAATGTTGAAATAAAGTACATTTTTTTTGTATATGATTTCATTGTTAACAATTCTAATTCGTATTTAAATGTTTTACCCGACTGCGGCGAAGCCCAAAGGAGAGTTATGTATTTGACCTGTATGTATAAATGTCCGATCCTATGTTCCCTCGTAATTACTAAACGGCTTAACCGATTTTGATGATTCATACGTCGTTACATTCTCTTGATAACGCGACTGTCATAGGGAATATAGATATCATTAAAATCAAAGTTATGCAGTCGGAGACATGAATAACGTAGTACAAAGACTTCTTAGCGCAAAAAAAATGTATGTCTACGACTGCATAATGCCATGTTCCTTCGTCAACTGGTTTTCATCTTTTTAGCTAGGTAGCTTTTTACGGAGTTTTAAAGAAATACAAAGTCTATACTACATTTAATATAATATATATAATAAAAATATACTTAGGTGATCTAAAACAACTATATTATACCTTGATTATTAGTCTCAGGATACCTCGCTTCACCCTCGTACCTCACGTCCGCGTGGAAACCAGTCTGCCAGTCCGCGTGGTAGGTGACTGTTGAATAAATGCAAGTAATCATTATACGAGTATTATAACTGTCTTCTTGGTCTCTTATCTAAACATCTTGGTAGCATTTTCTACCCATGGGTATTCTAGTCGGAAACTTGACAGACAAACCTAAAGCACAACTTGGGAATGAACCCAGCACCTCAGGATCTGCAGACTGATCTTAACTTCTTGACTAACTAAGAACTATAGACATAACTAGCTAATGCTAATAAGTACAGTTGCAATTCAAAATTCAAAATCCAAAATATTTTATTCAGCATTAAATTATTACAATTTTTTACTGAACGTCATGAGTCTACTACCAGTTCGGAAACAAGAAGCCTCAGAGCTGAGAAGAACTGGCGAAAGAAACTCAGCGGGACTAATATTAACTTGCTATCTTTTTTAAAGTAAAATTATAATTTACAATATTTCTATCAAGTTGAAGTAGCCTGGAGGCGATCATTTCATTCCCAAGGTGTGCCATTTTCTATAAAATCATTTTAAATTGTATAATAGCCTTTAGCACACAAACGTTCTTTAACAATTTCTTTGAATCTGCAATCTCAATGTTATCTCCACAGAAAAAATCACGCCAATCCGTCACTCTGTTTTGACGTGAAAGAAGGACAAACAAACACACTTTTAAATTTATAATAATATTACGGATTGTTAACCAAGAGCAATAAAACAGTAGTGCAAAAGAAGTGCTTTGTATAGAACATAAAATTAACAACAACATCTTACCGATTTGTGTCCGTCCGTCAGGCAGTTGCACTCTATACTCCCCTCGCACGACGTTCCCATCGGAAACCTCCCTCCTATCGTAATCGTTGCCAGACTTGGCGTCTTTCACAGAATACCCAAACTCGTATGATTTTGGCTGAAAATAAATAAATTATAAATATTATTAAATAAAACTATCTTCCGAAAAGATAGTTTTATTTAATAATGTCAAACAGTCGCGTAAATCTAAGAAAGTATTAAATTATAAATACTAATATTGATAAACTGTGATCTCACAATCAGTCAGAAAAACCACTTTGGTTTTTCCATTAATGATGAATGTTATCTGGACATGATAATATGAAATTATTTTATGAAGCTGAATCCCATCAATTAATATTATTTAATTATTTAATATATAATATAAAAAATGCGAAACTTTCTGTGGATGTTTGTTACTCAATTACGCCAGAACAGTTGAACGGATCTAGATGAAATTCGGCACTGAGATAAATAATAACCTAGAATATCATAAAGGTTACTTTTTATCCCGGAAAAATGTACGGTTCCTGTGGGATAGGTGTTTTTGTTTTTCGCGAGGGGCGAACCCAAGCGAAGCGAGAGTGAGTTGTTAGTACATAAATAAACTAAACGAGTAATAAGATGGACTAAAACTATAGTATAATCTATATAAATAAAAATGAAACACCGAAATGTATGTACGCGCATAACTTCGAATCGACTGCACCAAATTGGATAATTCTTTTTTCTTGTGTTTGTTATTGTTAGGAAGTTTTGTATAGAAGAAAATTAAAAGATTTTTTTTACTAAAATAAGTTTTTTTTTAAATCTCATGATATGAAAAGTGAGTGAGTGAAACAGTTTTTATCCCGGAAATCATCCCTTAAGGGGGTGAGAATGGGGAAGAAAGTTTGTATGGGGAAGCATGCTAGATGAGCCCGAGCGAAGCGAGCGTGACGCGCCACTCGCTAGTATAAGATATATTATACAATTAGTACAGATTGTACACTATGTTATTATACTCTTATTATTATACTAATCGACTGACGAACCTAATAAATACTTTCCTTATTTTCTTGTATTTATATACTTGTGGTAGTTCCAAAAATCGAACCTGCTACCGCTTGAATATTACCGGTTGAATAGTTAATGCTATAATTTTTGTACGTGTTATAATATACTATATTAGTGTTATATGTATAGCTGTTTTCAATCATTAATAATATAACTAAACAATTTATATATTCTGATACGAGATAACCCCCGACATCAAGTTTCACTTCACGGACTTTATGGAATATAGAGATCTTAGGAGTTGCTATAAAAAATAATAATATCATAAACTAGTTACTACGTATGGCTTCACAGTTCGCAGTGATTTTTTATTAAATCTGCAATAATACTAATACAAATAAATAAAGTAAATATTATAAGTGTGAATTGCGGTAAATAAAAAGTTTTATCTAAATGCGTTCAATCAAATATGTTCATTTAAAAAAAAACTAATAATTCCTAAACACGAATTATATAAATATTATCTCTGCGGGTTTAAAAAGGCAGTGGAAAATATCCAAACAAGCGAAATTTTGTGTATGTTTGTGTTATGTGCTCTTATTTCTTAAATGGTCCTAAAACAGTGGTTTCTACGGAAATCAAAGCTGCAATCAACGCAATTACTCGTACATCATCATTAGGGGCGTTTTTTTTCTTAAAGTTATATGGGACCCTTGAAGTACATACTATGTACATAATATGTATGTATGATGATGATGTTCTCCTAGCCGATTCCGGCCACGGCGGCCAATCTTATTGAGACTAGCCAACTGCGCAGGAGATATTATAAATTTTCCTCTTCTCATTTTTAAAGTCGGTCAAAAGTAAATAAAATATTTGCTGTACATAAATACATTCTATAGCTTTCTTTAGTCTAAAAATATATTAACATATACATAGATACGCATATAAACATTTAGTTAAAAGTGATCATCACTCAAAGAACGTGTAAGTGTTACATGTGTATTAAAGCTTGTTTTAATTTAATACGAGCTTAGACTTAAGGTAAAGGTAAGCCTCTAATTCGATGGTCGCGGGTTCGATTCTAGCAAATGAAAAATACGTACTTAGTTATTTTGACAATATCGACGTATAACTGTGAATATATATATATATATATATATATATATATATATATATATATATATAAAATTTAAAAACCGCTGGACCCATATGAATAATTCTTTTTTTGTTTAAATAGGGAAACCCCAAACGAACAGCTTGAAAATCGAAAATTTTAGAACTTTCTATAGCTGGCGTAAGTGGCGGACCTGTCATCTACAACAATGCGTCAAGTTTAAGTTGGAAAAAAATAATATACCCATATATAATACTAGCGACTCACCGTACGTTTTAACGGTTAGAATCGAATAGATAGGTAGACTATATATGTGCAACATATACCTAGATATGATGAGTGGTTGTGGGTTTTATTATAACGTGTTTTCCCGTAGGAATGAGATAATCTCCCGAAGTAAAAAGTAGCCTACGTCACTCTAGCCCTCCAACTATCTCCATACAAAAAATCACGACAATCCGTCACTCTGTTTCGACGTGAAAGAAGGACAAACAAACAAACACACCTTCACATTTATAATATTAGTACGGATATAGTCTATTTGTTCCATACTAACCATTAAAACGTATCTAGGGACGAACTCGAACGGAGCGAGGGCGAGTCGCTAGTCTTTAATAAAAATGACAAAAATGGTGACACAATATATAATAAGCTAGGACTAGTGCATCTCATATAAGTCCATTTAATTTATCTTGCATTTAGATCAATTCTAATAAAACATCATTTTAATTACAGACGTGGCATAATTTAATGAAAACTAATTTACTAAATAACAATTCCTCAACGTTGTATCTTATTCTAACAATTTACGTTGGTATTGTTTTAAATTAGTAATGGAAAGATGTAATGAAATTAATTATTATATTTTTTAGCCTTGACAATGTATTATATCTTGGCTTCAGTTTACTGTTAATGTTGTTATCTAAGATGCATTTCGACAGATTTGAGTTTAAAGCCAGTTAAGTAAGATTAATAATAATATATGCATTTAAAAAATCCTGAATTTCATACTTATGTCTGACACATTAATGTATTGCGAACGTAGACATTTATTTTACACTATATTTATACTATGTATATATACGACTCTCCCTAGGTTGATTCCCCATACAAACTTTCATCCCCATTTTGTATGTGTATGTATTCAGCCCTTTTTAACGTCCCACTGCCGGGCACGGGCCTCCCTTCAATACGAGGGGGATCAGGCCATAGTCCACCACGCTGGCCAACTGCGGGTTGGCGAACTTAACATGTCTTTCGAAAACTTGCTAGGTTCTCTCAGGCATGCAGGTTTCCTCACGATGTTTTTCCTTCACCGTAAGGCAAGTGGTAATCATGTTAGAAATGATTCGCACATGAAAATATCAGAGGTGCGAGACCCGGGATTTGAACCCGCTTCACTCGGTTTCCCAAGCGAGCGCGTTACCACTGGGCTACCACTGCCTTCAATACCTTAAGGGATGATTTACGTAATAATAAAAAAATATCCTATGTCCTTCCCAGGGTCTCAAACTATCTTCTTAGCAAATTTCATCTAAATCGGTCCGGTAGTTTTTGAGTTTATTCGTTACAAACATTAAAAAATACAAATCGTTCCTCTTTATAATAGTAGTGTAATCTACACTCTTACTGAAAAAAATTAAATAATTTCCATGTAAGGTCTAAACATTAATCAAAAACCAGATTTCTCTAATTAAACAGACTAAACTCTATTGTTTATGACCTCTTTTATTGTTACAAAATTTATTCAATTTCAGGTAAAATGAAATTTCTCGTAGTTCTACTCAACATCGTCATAATTCAAGCTGGAGTTATTAAAGAGGAGAATATAATAGAAAATAAAAATGAAGAAGAACTCTGTCCTGGTGTAATAGTCAATGGCGTCTATCATGAACTGGAAGAACTAAAATCAGGTCTGACTCATCCTTATCGCCTAGCCGTAGATTATAGCACGAACACTTTATTTTTTAGCTACTACAGTTTGAATGAGAAGGACGATATCTTCAAAAGTGCATACATAAATTTGAATACAAAAGAATTTTCCGACGTGGCAGGTGTTAAAAATGGTTTTGCACAAACTGTGGATCAAAATAATCACGAAGTTTATATCAGTGGGAGTGACGATCTGTACAATAATAAAATAAATATATACAAATATAATCTTAGTACGAAATCAACTGAATTATTTGCTAAAATAGAAAGTGATATATGGAACATTTACTTTAAAGATATACTATACTATACAGGTTTTACTTCACATTTCTTATACACTTGTACGAATGGTGAATCACAAAGGTTTAAAAATCTGGACACTAAAGTAGACCAATTCGTAATTGATAACGATGATGTAATATTTTTTACTAATGCAACTGGTTTGTTCAGTCAAGAGAAAGATACAAAGGATGCTGTTCTATACCCAAAACATCATCTATATACTATTCATGGACTAACTACTGACTTAAATGGAGACGTGTATGTTTGTATGTTTGATGGAATATATAAAGTAAATAAAGCTGAAATCTCGCTTAAAAAATTACTAGACATAGACAACGTCTTCGAGCTGGCATTCGATAATGAAAATAATATCATTTACTCGGATGCCACTAAATTGATTCGACTTAAGCCTAATAAGGAAAAAGCCTGTTAACGCTAAGTACGTAAATTGTAACGTACAAAAATCTGGTACTGTTTCCTTCTTGATTGGAATCTTATGATAAAAGGTACAAATCATATTTGTAAGTGAAAAAGTATAATAAATAGCATGTGTTTTTTTTAAATTAAATTCATTTTTTACCCTATGTTGTGTAAATATTTATTAGCCAGCGTTAGCCATGTTATTCTTTTTCGTGACTTTTATTGATGTTTTAATAGTAATTCTGCTTTTCGGTTCGGAGACAAATCTAGCAAATCAAATATCATAAAAATCTTTCCAGTCGTTCCTGAGTTAAATTGGAATAACTAACCCGACTTTGTTTTTATTGATTAGTAATTAAAGTTCTCTAAATAAATTTAAATGTAAGTGGTTTTCGTATACTTAAATATTTTATTGAACTTATATCATCTGTTTAGTACGAACTTGGTCTTTAGTAGGCATAAAAATAATTGGTTGTAAAAAAATTACTTTATTCTACACTGCGTGGTTTTTCCTTATTTTTATTCAATTGGTTGGTTTGATTAAAACAAGACTTGGCTATTTTTTACTTTAAATACATAATGATTATTATCAAATCAACGTTTGATGATTGATCCGTATGTTTCTTTTACAATTTATTTGCCACATCGACCAATAATATTAGTTTTTAATAGATGATTATTTATTATTCACTAGCGACATACCCTTGCTTTGCTCGGGTACGTCCCTAGTTGCGTTTTAAATTTGTTATTGTGACTGTACTATAGGAGATAGACACATGCTGTTGCGGACTTTTCTATAGGATTTTTAAGGCCTACAATTTTCTAGTAGGTACATTGTTTTGGTTAAATGTTAGCCGTTTCGCTGCGAGCGATTAATAATTTTAAATCTGTTATATCTTCTAAGATACTCACTTTAATGATATGCTGTAAATGGCAATATTGATCTATATCAAATGCACAACATATCTAATTTAACTGGATAAGGATTAATACTGTATTATTTAAAATAGCTTCGTGAAAACCCATTTTTTAGTAGTGTGTTAAACATAAAATTAGTTGTGGGTTATCTATAAGGAGATATATACCGCGCTGCCTTTTCTGTAGACCTTTTTAAGATATACAATTCTGTTATATATTATTTTGATTTATTTCTCAAGATTTAGCAAGCTATGCAATGTAAGCGCCCAAAAGTATGTTTTCTAAGACGTCATTACAAATCTTTGAAATTTTGCTTGTATTATACATACAAAGTTTTTGGAAGAAATTTTCTAAATGATTGCGAAAACACTATCAAAATCCATTGCGTGGTTTAGAAGAAGTTAGCGGGAAAACAGACAGCGACTTTGCCGTATACTACTCGTATGTATAGATAGATTAGATACTGGATCAAATATAAAATTACAAGAATATATTAAAAATCTTAATGTAATACTATAAATATTATTAAATTAGGATCGTATTTTGAATATGCCTCTTGAATTTAAATTAAAATTTAAAACACAAGAAGAAGTGTAACGAATAAGTGTGGGCACTCCCTAACAATCATAACGATGAGTCGTTCTAAACGACCTCTATGCTTGTTTACACCAATTTTCTCGCACATCCGTGATGACAATACCACGTAGAATTGAAAAAAAGTAATAAAACCAAATCGGCACTATTTCTTATAAAATAAAGACCAAATTGCAGCAACGATTTCAACCCAACCGCAAAGGATAATTGGTTATGAAAGATTAAAACATTTATTGAAGTCAGTTTTAAACGTAAACTGTCGTATTGTACACGTTATCCAAACAAAAAGTTAGATAGCAAGTAAAAATGTATTTATTACAAGCAAATTTTCCTAATTATTAAGAGAATAGTGTAAATTATGCGAAATAAACATATATACTACAGAAGAAATAAAGGTATTTAACAACAGTTCAGTTAAAGTGTCATTAGAATTTGAATGAAAAATGCTTCCAATAATAATTTTAGCCACAATTATGATCAATGTTGAAGCAAAATTCACAATATATGTAACAGACACACCGATCCAAAAAATTGGGAGTAGATTATACAAGCAAGAACTATTAACAAACAAATTTAAAGACGTCAAAGAACTAGCATATGATTCTGAAGGTAAAAATTTATACTTTATGTACATGGATGACATCTTACAAAATTCCGGTCGAGCTACTATCAATACAATCACTAAGAAGACCAACAAAATTGAAGGAATTGAAAAGAATAAAGCAACAGCAGTAGACCCGGATACTGGTGAGGTCTACTTCGGATCAGAAGATGGTCTTTATAAATATAACCCTATAAGTCAGCGAGCCGAATACATAGGGCTGTACAATATGAATATATTTAAAATAATCATAAGAAACAACGCGATGTATGTGATAGATGCGAATGACCATATGATTTACAAGATATACGATCGAGGAACGAGAGCTGTGAAGCAAGAAATAGCAACAAGTGTCTTAGAATTCGACGTAGATTATAAGAAAAATATTCATTTCGTGACAATGTGCGGTGTTTATTGTGCTGTAAAAAATGAAGGGGTCGTTAAGAATAAGGATTTAAATGTAGTATATCAGTTTCTTTTGGATGAATATAAAACTTTTGGTGTGACAGAAAACGGTTTGTATGAAATCGACTGTTACAATGGAACGGCTAAGCACGTTGCAAGCTTAGATTTCGTACCACGAAGCATAATTTTCGGCGACTACGGCGACATATTTTACTCTACAGAAGACAATATTTATAAATTGAAACCGATTAATTCGTATTATCTATATAAGATACGTAAAAATTTTGAATAAAATTATATTATTCATGACTTTGTTTGTGCTTTAGTATTATTTTTTCATGACAATTAGAAAATAATGTTTCACAAAAAAAACTTTTATATGTCTAAATGATTGAAAATTAAAATATTATAAAAGTGATATTTATATATGAATAGTTCTTTCATTTCACTCCAAAACATAATTTTTTAGTCCTTACACTCGACATTATTGAATTAAGGGTATATTTGTTACAAGCAATAACGTTATCGATTGTTTTTTATCATCCTGCCTAAAATTCTGCGCTCAGTAACCCTTAAATGTTTGTTAGTCTTATATCTAACCCATTTATATACAAAAATAGTTTAATTCATAATAAATAGTAAAATTTATTAATTGTAATATTGTTCTCATAACGACTCATTATGTACTAGCTACTAACCCTCGCTTTGCTCGGGCTTATCCCTAGTGAAAAACAAAAACATCTATCCCACGGGAACCGTACATTTTTTCGAGATAAATAGTAATCTGTGTGCTATTGCAGACTATAATCTATCTCTGTGCCAAATTTCATCCAGATCCGTTCAACCGTTCTGGCGTGATTGAGTAACAAACATCCATTCAAACTTTCGCATTTATAATATTATTGGGATAAGTGCATGTATGTAGATATGTAGAATTTCCATTTTTAATAACTTCATATTTATCTATGCTGTTTGATTCTTTCTATTATTCTTCTCATTCATCTATAGCTTTAATTTCCCAAATTTTGACATTATTGTTCAATATCATAATCAATATACAATAATGTATCTCCGTCTCTCATCTATTGTCTCTCTCAATACGCTAACGCAATTTAAAGTCATTATGAAAAAAAAATACAAAAATAAAAAATAAAAACCGACTGCGAAGAAAGCGAACTATAAAGATGAAAAAAAGTTGACGAAGGAGAATAATATTATGCGTAAGTTGTATAGATTTTTGTGATTGCCTGTTAAAAAGCTTTATTTTGACGCCTGAATGCGCTATTTTTGTTTTTAATTATTTCTATAATATATCCTATGACATTCACGTGATCAAGACGAATTTAACGACGTATAAATCATTAAAATCAGTTAAGCGCGTTTAGTAATTACGAACATTGGCTCGGACATACATACATACATACATAAAGGACAAATAAATAACCCCTCCCAATTCCCCTCACCCCCCTTTGGGCTTTGCCGCAATTGATTAATTAACGAGAGCCTAATCTTTTATTGCATGAACCAATTATGATGGTAATCTATACTTAATATTATAAAGAGGTAAAGTTTGTTACTTTGTGACGTTGTATGAGGTAATCTCTGGATCTACTGAACCGATTTAGATGAAATTTGGTAAGAAGATAATTTGAGACCCTGGGAAGGACATAGAATACTTTTTACCTCGGAAATCATCTTTTAAGGGGATGAAAATGGGAGTGAAAGTTTGTATGGGGAACCAAGTTAGGGACGAACCCGAGCGAAGCGAGGTTGAGTCGCTAGTGTACAATAAATCCACTATAATATACTTATAGGACTTTATTTTAAGCACATATTATAGTATTTTTCAATAATATAATATTAGTCTCTGAGTGGATAGCAGTTTGGAAATTGCAACGCCTCGCTTTACCACAACTAGGTCAGAATTAACGAATATGACATAAATTATTAAATCGTACGAGAATTGAACCAATTACTACCAGCCCAGGCAATGTCAGGTTAAATAAATTCCTTTTCTTAAATTGAGGTAAAATTTTGGTATATAAATAAACTTTATCAAATAAAAAGATTCTATATAATATACATACCGGCATATTTAGCGGAACACAAAATAAAGGTTTGATATCAGTATCATATAAGGTTGCTGGCTGGTTTATACGTCATTTAATTTAAAAAGAAATATTTTCAAATTAAGAAAACAACTGAAAATCACATTTTATGCAATTGTTTTAATTTTATTCAAATACACCTTATCTGGAGCGAACTTCGAGTATTTCTTTCTTCTGAGTTTGATTTAAAATTTCATTGAAATACTGTTTTTTGTTGGTTTTTTTTTAATCGCGTATCTTTTTGGAGTTGAGGACTGAATTATGCCTGACTTAGCCCCAACGGAGATTGCCAGGGCACTCGAAATGCGAAGAAACGGTCAAACCTACAGAGTGATATCCAGAGATCTTTGTCGACCAGTTTCAACGATCCATCGCAGTATCCAACGGTTCAGGGAGACCTATTCTTATGTGAGAAGAGCAGGACAAGGCAGAAAAAGACGCATTTCGAGTAGGGATGATCGTTTCATTCGGCTTCGTGTACGTAGGAACCCCCGTTTGACAGCCTTCCAAGCCCGACATGAGTTAGAAGCAGTGCGGGGTGTAGCCGTAAGTGAGCGTACGGTACGAAGAAGGTTCGAAGAAGCTGTTTTGGGTTCATTTGTGCCCGCCAAGGCTCCAAGGTTCGAGGTAAATCATCGTAGAAACAGGTTAACTTTTGCTCAGGAACATCGACTTTGGAACGCGGACCAATGGAGTAAGGTATTGTTTAGTGATGAGTGTAGAATTCTCTTAAATTAAATTGACGGCAGGCAAAGAATATATAGACGCAAAGGAGAACGATACATTCAGACAAACTTTGAAACTACAGTTGCATACGGTGGTGGATCAATAATGGTTTTGGCGGGCATTTGTTTGGGAGCTCGCACAGACTTGGTAGTGATTGACAGAGAGAGTCTGACTGCAGACCACTATATCAGAAAAGTTTTAGAAGAAAATGTCGTACCGTTTGCCCCATATATCGGTAACGGTTTTGTTTTTATGCAGGATAATGCTCGGCCGCATACCGCTCGGGTAACTCAAGCTTATCTTAATGATATGAATATCACTGTTATGGAGTGGCCGGCGAGATCACCAGATATGAACCCAATAAAGCACGTTTGGGACTTGCTGAAAAGAAAAGTTAAGTTCAGAATTCCAGCTCCTGCCAACGTGGGTGAACTGCGAATCACCGTAGTTGAGGAATGGCGGAGACTATCCCAGGAGACCATCGATAACATCATTCTCAGTATGCCTAGATGGGTAGACACTTTAATAAGAGCACGTGGAGGAAATACGCGATATTAATCACCATTTTTCTAATTTAATTAATTGTTATTTTAATATTAATTTTCACTTTTCCCGGTTATATCAAAAGTTCAAAAATGTACCATTTTTCACAAATAGCCTTTACTCGCAAAATCTGTTTTTAATGTGATCTCATTTTAAGTAAAACAAATGAAACTTTAAATATTAAAAGAAGTGTAGTAAGTAGATTTTAAAATAAAACCATATTTTTTTAATAATGGACCTTTTTTTGTGTTCCGCTAAATATGCCGGCGAGTGTATATTACACACAATATTTATGATATTTTAGGGTTCCGTACCCGAAGTTGCCAATGGAACCCTATTACTAAGCCTCCGCTGTCCGTCCGTACGTTTGTCAGAGGACTGTACCTCATGAACCGTAATCGGTAGAGATTTGAATTTTTCACAGTGTATATTTCTATTGTCGCTATAACAACTAATAATAAAAAACCAAGATGGCGAATTTCACATTAGCCGACTGCAATTTTTTAAAAATCTACTAGTACATAATATTATATACAAGTGTACGGAACCCTTTTGTGTGCGAGTTCGACTCGCACTTGACCGATTTTTTAAATATATATTTTTTATCCATAGGTACCGAGAAGAGCCGGCGTGTGTGAGCGCAACACACCCACACTTAAATAAATACTGTTATTGTAAAAATTAATATAATAGAACAATAAATATAGTGTTTTAGGGCTAAATGATTATTTATATGCCTACATTTAAAAACGTATTGTTTTTTTGCATTAGTGCAAAATATTTTGGTTTGTTTTAATAATATATCTGCACTTTTGTTTCATTCTCATTTAATTTAAAATTATTAATTATATTTTGAACTAGCTGCTTTAACGCGGATTTTGTTCAAAATTTCATGGGTTTTAATTTCAACCCTAATTCTTTTTTCTAAAATAAGAATAGCCTAAGTTACTCCTTATAACATCAGCTATCTGCCATTAAAAGTCCCCTCATAATCGATCCAGCCGTTTCGGAGATTAGCCGGAACAAAGAGACAAACAGACAAAATAAATTTTAAAATTGTTTTTTTTAAAGTATCGTATGTATAAGTATATAATGTACTTTCATATTATGTATTTAGTAAAAAGCTGTTATTTTGACATTACAAATAGACACCGCAATTTTATTTATTTATATAGATAGATATGTTTTGATTTAGTAAAATTAACATAAATTAATAAAAAGACAATATACTTTACCATGTTTTATTTTATTTACTAAAATAATACAAAATATTTATACACTAATAATACTCGTTTAGGTACATCGGTATTTAAAGTACTATCAATGACTTGAAAGTAAATTTTTCAAGCATTGCCCTAAAATAGCATCAAAATCGATTCAGTGATATCCGGGCGGACCGTAGGCGGGCTTGAAGTTGTTGCCGTTGCCATGGAAACCGTTAAGAGATCCAGAATATTCTGGTACATTGTAGTTGTAACCTGTAAATGATATATATACTCTTTATTGCACATAAAAACCAATATACAAATATTAAAAGAAAAAGGGTGGACTTATCTCTAAAAGAGATCTCTTCCACTCAACCTAGGAGGTGAGAAAGATTGTCATTTAGCGGAGCAGAGAAGTGCAAGGTAATGTTGAAATAAAGTACATTTTTTTTTATATATATGATTTCATTGTTAACAATTCTAATTCGTATTTATATGTTTTTACTTGAATGCGGTGAAGCCCAAAGGAGAGTTATGTATTTGACCTGTATGTATAAATGTCCGATCCTATGTTGCCTCGTAATTACTAAAACGGCTTAACCGATTTTGATGATTCATACGTCGTTAGATTCTCTTGATAACGCGAGTGTCATAGGGAATATAGATATCATTAAAATCAAAGTTATGCAGTCGGAGACATGAATAACGTAGTACGAAGACTTCTAGCGCAGAAAAAATGTATGCCTACGACTGCATAATGCCATGTTCCTTCGTTAAGTGGTTTTCATCTTTTTAGTTAGGTAGCTTTTTACGCAGTTTTAAAGAAATACAAAGTCTATACTACATTTAATATAATATATATAATAAAGATATACTTAGGTGATTTAAACAACTATATTATACCTTGATTATTAGTCTCAGGATACCTCGCTTCACCCTCGTACCTCACGTCCGCGTGGAAACCAGTCTGCCAGTCCGCGTGGTAGGTGACTGTTGAATAAATGCAAGTAATCATTATACGAGTATTATAACTGTCTTCTTGGTCTCTTATGTAAACATCTTGGTAGCATTTTCTACCCATGGGTATTCTAGTCGGAAACTTGACAGACAAACCTAAAGCACAACTTGGGAATGAACCCAGCACCTCAGGATCTGCAGACTGATCTTAACTTCTTGACTAACTAAGAACTATAGACATAACTAGCTAATGCTAATAAGTACAGTTGCAATTCAAAATTCAAAATCCAAAATATTTTATTCAGCATTAAATTATTACAATTTTTTACTGAACGTCATGAGTCTACTACCAGTTCTGAAAGAAGAAGCCGATCTGAGAAAAACTGGCGAAAGAAACTCAGCGGGACCAATATTAACTTGCTATCTTTTTTAAAGTAAAATTATAATTTACAATATTTCTATCAAGTTGAAGTAGCCTGGAGGCGATAATTTCATTCCCAAGGTGTGCCATCTTCTATAAAATCATTTATTGTATAATAGCCTTTAGCACACAAACGTTCTTTAACAATTTCTTTGAATCTGCAATCTCAATGTTATCTCCACAGAAAAAAAAACGCCAATCCGTCACTCTGTTTTGACGTGAAAGAAGGACAAACAAACACACTTTTACATTTATAAGAATATTACGGATTGTTAACCAAGAGCAATAAAACAGTAAACCCAAAGAAGCGCTTTGTATGGAACATAACATTAACAACAATATCTTACCGATTTGCGTCCGTCCGTCAGGCAGTTGCACTCTATACTCCCCTCGCACGACGTTCCCATCGGAAACCTCCCTCCTATCGTAATCGTTGCCAGACTTGGCGTCTTTCACAGAGTACCCAAACTCGTATGATTTTGGCTGAAAATAAATAAATTATAAATACTAATATTTTTAAACTGTGATCTCACAATCAGTCAGAAAAACCCTTTTGGTTTTTCCATTAATGACGAATGTTATCTGGTCATGATTAATATGAAATTATTTTATGAAGCGGAATAACATCAATTAATATTATTTAATTATTTAATATATAATATAATAAATTCGAAACTTTGGGTGGATGTTTGTTACTCAATTACGCCAGAACAGTTGAACGGATCTAGATGAAATTTGGCACTGAGATAAATAATAACCTAGAATATCATAAAGGTTACTTTTTATCCCGGAAAAATGTACGGTTCCTGTGGGATAGGTGTTTTTGTTTTTCGCGAGGGGCGAACCCAAGCGAAGCGAGAGTGAGTTGTTAGTACATAAATAAACTAAACGAGTAATAAGATGGACTAAAACTATAGTATAATCTATATAAATAAAAATGAAACACCGAAATGTATGTACGCGCATAATTTCGAATCGACTGCACCAAATTGAATAATTCTTTTTTCTTGTGTTTGTTATTGTTAGGAAGTTTTGTATAGAAGAAAATTAAAAGATTTTTTTTACTAAAATAAGATTTTTTTTAAATCTCATGATAGGAAAAGTGAGTGAGTGAAACAGTTTTTATACCGGAAATCATCCCTTAAGGGGGTGAGAATGGGGAAGAAAGTTTGTATGAGGAAGCATGCTAGATGAGCCCGAGCGAAGCGAGCGTGACGCGCCACTCGCTAGTATAAGATATATTATACAATTAGCACAGATTGTACACTATGTTATTATACTCTTATTATTATACTAATCGACTGACGAACCTAATACTTTCCCTATTTTCCTGTATTTATTAACTTTGTGGTAGTTCCAAAAATTGAACCTGCTACCGCTTGAATAGTACCGGTTGAATAGTTAATGCTATAATTTTTGTACGTGTTATAATATACTATATTAGTGTTATATGTATAGCTGTTTTCAATCATTAATAATATAGCTAAACAATTTATGTATTCTGATACGAGATAACCCCCGACATCAAGTTTCACTTCACGGACTTTATGGAATATAGAGATCTTTGGAGTTGTTATAAGAAATAAAAATATCATGATGATGTTCTCCTGACCGATTCCGGCCACGGCGGCCAATTTCATTGAGACTAGCCAACTGCGCAGGAGATATTATAGTGCACAAGTGTACGCGCAAAAATAATATACTAGTTACTGCGTATGGCTTCGCAGTTCGCAGTGATTTTTTGTTAATTCTGCAATAATAATAATACAAATAAATAAAGTAAATATTATGAGTGTGAATTGCGGTAAATAAAAAGTTTTATCTATATGCGTTCAATCAAATATGTTCATTTAAAAAAAACTAATAATTCCTAAACACGAATTATATAAATATTATCTTTGCGGGCTTAAAAAGGCAGTGGAAAATATCCAAACAAGCGAAATTTTGTGTATGTTTGTGTTATGTGCGCTTATTTCTTAAATGGTCCCAAAACAGTGGTTTCTACGGAAATCAAAGCTGCAATCACCGCAATTACATCATCATTAGGGGCGATTTTTTTCTTAAAGTTATATGGGACCCTTGAAGTACATACTATGTACATAATATGTATGTATGATGATGATGTTCTCCTACCCGATTCCGGCCTCAGCGGCCAATCTTATTGAGACTAGCCAACTGCGCAGGAGATATTATAAATTTTCCTCTTCTCATTTTTAAAGTCGGTCAAAAGTAAATAAAATATTTGCTGTACATAAATACATTCTATAGCTTTCTTTAGTCTAAAAATATATTAACATATACATAGATACGCAAATAAACATTTAGTTAAAAGTGATCATCACTCAAAGAACGTGTAAGTGTTACATGTGAATTAAAGCTTGTTTTAATTTAATACGAGCTTAGACTTAAGGTAAAGGTAAGCCTCTAATTCGATGGTCGCGGGTTCGATTCTAGCATATGAAAAATACGTACTTAGTTATTTTCACAATATCGTCACTACTGTAATTATAACTGCGAATATATATATATATATATATATATATATATATATATATATATATATATGTGTGTGTGTATTCGCAGTACGAATACATATATTTATATATAATACATATATATAAAACTTAAAAACGGCTGGACCGATATGAATAATTCTTTATTTGTTTAAATAGGGAAACCCCAAACGAACAGCTTGAAAATAGAAAATTTCAGAACTTTCAATAGCTGGCGTTAGTGGCGGACCTGTCATCTACAACAATGCGTCAACTTTAAGTTGGAAAAAAAATTATATACCTTTATATAATACTAGTGACTCACCGTATGTTTTAACGGTTAGAATGATATACATGATGAGTTGGTGTGGGTTTTATTATAACGTGTTTTCCCGTAGGAATGAGATAAACTCCCCAGGTAAAAAGTAGCCTACGTCACTCTAGCCCTCCAACTATCTCCATACAAAAAATCACGACAAACCGTCACTCTGTTTCGACGTGATAGAAGGACAAACAAACAAACACACCTTCACATTTATAATATTAGTACGGATATAGTCTATTTGTTCCATACTAACCATTAAAACGTATCTAGGGACGAACTCGAACGGAGCGAGGGCGAGTCGCTAGTTTTTAATAAAAATGACAAAAATGGTGACACAATATATAATAAGCTTGGACTAGTACATGTCATATAAGTCCATTTAATGTATCTTGCATTTAGATCAATTCTAATAAAACATTATTTTAATTACAGACGTGGCATAATTTAATGAAAACTAATTAACTAAATAAAAATTCCTCAACGTTGTATCTTATTCTAACTATTTACGTTGGTATTGTTTTAAATTAGTAATGGAAAGATGTAATGAAATTAATTATTATATTTTTTAGCCTTGACAATGTATTATATCTTGGCTTGAGTTTACTATTTATTTTGTTATCTAGGAGGCATTTTGACAGATTTGAGTTTAAAGCCAGTTAAGTAAGATTAATAATAATATATGCATTTAAAAAATCCTGAATTTCATACTTATGTCTGACACATTAATGTATTGCGAACGTAGTCATTTATTTTACACTATATATATACTATGTATATATACGACTCTCCCTAGGTTGATTCCCCATACAAACTTTCATCCCCATTTTCACCTCCTTAAGGGATGATTTACGTAATAATAAAAAAATATCCTATATCCTTCCCAGGGTCTCAAACTATCTTCTTAGCAAATTTCATCTAAATCGGTCCGGTAGTTTTTGAGTTTATTCGTTACAAACATAAAAAAATACAAATTGTTCCTCTTTATAATAGTAGTGTAATCTACACTCTTACTGAAAAAAATTAAATAATTTCCATGTAAGGTCTAAACATTAATCAAAAACCAGATTTCTCTAATTAAACAGACTAAACTCTATTGTTTATGACCTCTTTTATTGTTACAAAATTTATTCAATTTCAGGTAAAATGAAATTTCTCGTAGTTCTACTCAACATCGTCATAATTCAAGCTGGAGTTATTAAAGAGGAAAATATAATAGAAAATAAAAATGAAGAAGAACTCTGTCCTGGTGTAATAGTCAATGGCGTCTATCATGAACTGGAAGAATTAAAATCAGATCTGGATCGACCTTATCAACTAGCCGTAGATTATGGCACGAACACTTTATTTTTTAGCTACAGTTTGAATGAGAAGGACGATATCTTCAAAAGTGCATACATAAATTTGAATACAAAAGAATTTTCCGACGTGGCAGGTGTTGAAAATGGTTTTGCACAAACTGTGGATCAAAATAATCACGAAGTTTATATCGGTGGGAGTGACGGTCTGTACAGATATAATCTTAGTATGAAATCAACTGAATTATTTGGTGCTAAAGACACTAATATATGGAGCATTTACTTTAAAGATATACTGTACTATACAGGTTTTCCTTCACAATTCTTATACACTTATACGAATGGTGAATCACAAAGGTTTAAAAATCTGGAAGACACTAAAGTAGACCAATTCGTAATTGATAACGATGATGTAATATTTTTTACTAATGCAACTGGTTTGTTCAGTCAAGAGAAAGATACAAAGGATGCTGTTCTATACCAAGAATATCCTATTGATGGACCACGAGCACTGACTACTGACTTAAATGGAGACGTGTATGTTTGTGTGTTTGATGGAATATATAAAGTAAATAAAGCTGAAATCTCGCTTAAAAAATTACTAGACATAGACGACGCCTTCGGGCTGACATTCGATAATGAAAATAATATCATTTACTCGGATGCCACTAAATTGATTCGACTTAAGCCTAATAAGGAAAACGCCTGTTAACGCTAAGTACGTAAATTGTAACGTACAAAAATCTGGTACTGTTTCCTTTTTGATTAGAATCTTATGATAAAAGGTACAAATCATATTTGTAAGTGAAAAAGTATAATAAATAGCAGGTGTTTTTTTTTTAAATTAAATTCATTTTTTACCCTATGTTATATAAATATTTATTAGCCAGCGTTAGGGTCAGAGACAAATCTAACAAATCAAATATTATAAAAATCTTTCCAGTCGTTCCTGAGTTAAATTGTAGTAACTAACCCGACTTTGTTTTTATTCATTAGTAATTAAAGTTCTCTAAATAAATTTAAATGTAAGTGGTTTTCGTATACTTCAATATTTTATTGAACTTCTATTATCTGTTTAGTACGAACTTGGTCTTTAGTAGGCATAAAAATAATTGGTTGTAAAAAAATTACTTTATTCTACACTGCGTGGTTTTTCCTTATTTTTATTCAATTGGTTGGTTTGATTAAAACAAGACTTGGCTATTTTTTACTTTAAATACATAATGATTATTATCGAATCAACGTTTGATGATTGATCCGTATGTTTATTTTGCAATTTATTTGCCACATCGACCAATAATATTAGTTTTTAATAGATGATTATTTATTATTCACTAGCGACATACCCTTGCTTTGCTCGGGTACGTCCCTAGTTGCGTTTTAAATTTGTTATTGTGACTGTACTATAGGAGATAGACACATGCTGTTGCGGACTTTTCTATAGGATTTTTAAGGCCTACAATTTTCTAGTAGGTACATTGTTTTGGTTAAATGTTAGCCATTTCGCTGCGAGCGAATAATAATTTTAAATCTGTTATATCTTCTAAGATACTCACTTTAATGATATGCTGTAAATGGCAATATTGATCTATATCAAATGCACAACATATCTCATTTAACTGGATAAGGATTAATACTGTATTATTTAAAATAGCTTCGTGAAACCCCATTATTTTTTAGTAGTGTGTTAAACATAAAAAATAGTTGTGGGTTATCTATAAGGAGATATATACCGCGCGGACTTTTCTGAAGACCTTTTTAAGATATACAATTCCGTTATATATTATTTTGATTTATTTCTCAAGAAGCAAGCTATGCAATGTAAGCGCCTAAAAGTATGTTTTCTAAGACATCATTACAAATCTTTGAAATTTTGCTTGTACTATACATATTGGAAGAAATTTTCTAAATGATTGCGAAAACACTATCAAAATCCATTGCGTGGTTTAGAAGAAGTTAGCGGGAAAACAGACAGCGACTTTGCCGTATACTACTCGTATGTATAGATAGATTATACTGGACCAATTACAAGATTACGAGAATATATTAAAAATCTTAATGTAATACTTACTATAAATATTATTAAATTAGGATCGCATTTTGAATATGCCTCTTGAATTTAAATTAAAATTTAAAACACAAGAAGAAGTGTAACGAATAAGTGTGGGCACTCCCTAACAATCATAACGATGAGTCGTTCTAAACGACCTCTATGCTTGTTTACACCAATTTTCTCGCACATCCGTGATGACAAATACCACGTAGAATTGAAAAAAAAGTAATAAAACCAAATCGGCACTATTTCTTATAAAATAAAGACCAAATTGCAGCAACGATTTCAACCCAACCGCAAAGGATAATTGGTTATGAAAGATTAAAACATTTATTGAAGTCAGTTTTAAACGTAAACTGTCGTATTGTACACGTTATCCAAACAAAAAGTTAGATAGCAAGTAAAAATGTATTTATTACAAACAAATTTTCCTAATTATTAAGAGAATAGTGTAAATTATGCGAAATAAACATATATACTACAGAAGAAATAAAGGTATTTAACAACAGTTCAGTTAAAGTGTCATTAGAATTTGAATGAAAAATGCTTCCAATAATAATTTTAGCCACAATTATGATCAATGTTGAAGCAAAATTCACAATATATGTAACAGACACACCGATCCAAAAAATTGGGAGTAGATTATACAAGCAAGAACTATTAACAAACAAATTTAAAGACGTCAAAGAACTAGCATATGATTCTGAAGGTAAAAATTTATACTTTATGTACATGGATGACATCTTACAAAATTCCGGTCGAGCTACTATCAATACAATCACTAAGAAGACCAACAAAATTGAAGGAATTGAAAAGAATAAAGCAACAGCAGTAGACCCGGATACTGGTGAGGTCTACTTCGGATCAGAAGATGGTCTTTATAAATATAACCCTATAAGTCAGCGAGCCGAATACATAGGGCTGTACAATATGAATATATTTAAAATAATCATAAGAAACAACGCGATGTATGTGATAGATGCGAATGACCATATGATTTACAAGATATACGATCGAGGAACGAGAGCTGTGAAGCAAGAAATAGCAACAAGTGTCTTAGAATTCGACGTAGATTATAAGAAAAATATTCATTTCGTGACAATGTGCGGTGTTTATTGTGCTATAAAAAATGAAGGGGTCGTTAAGAATAAGGATTTAAATGTAGTATATCAGTTTCTTTTGGATGAATATAAAACTTTTGGTGTGACAGAAAACGGTTTGTATGAAATCGACTGTTACAATGGAACGGCTAAGCACGTTGCAAGCTTAGATTTCGTACCACGAAGCATAATTTTCGGCGACTACGGCGACATATTTTACTCTACAGAAGACAATATTTATAAATTGAAACCGATTAATTCGTATTATCTATATAAGATACGTAAAAATTTTGAATAAAATTATATTATTCATGACTTTGTTTGTGCTTTAGTATTAATTTTTCATGACAATTAGAAAATAAAGTTTCACAAAAAAAAACTTTTATATGTTTAAATTATTGAAAATTAAAATATTATAAAAGTGATATTTATATATGAATAGTTCTTTCATTTCACTCCAAAACATAATTTTTTAAACTTACACTCGACATTATTGAATTAAGGGTATATTTGTTACAAGCAATAACGTTATCGATTGTTTTTTATCATCTTGCCTAAAATTCTGCGCTCAGTAACCCTTAAATGTTTGTTAGTCTTATTAGATATAAGACTAACAAATATTTAAGGGTTTTTTATATAAAAAAACCCATTTATATAAAAAAAAATAATTAATTATAATATTGTTCTCATAACGATTCACATATTATGTACTAGCTACTAACCCTCGCTTTGCTCGGGCTCATCCCTAGTGAAAAACAAAAACATCTATCCCACGGGAACCGTACATTTTTTCGGGATAAATAGTAATCTATGTGCTATTGCAGACTATAATCTATCTCTGTGCCAAATTTCATCCAGATCCGTTCAGCCGTTCTGGCGTGATTGAGTAACAAACATCCATTCAAACTTTCGCATTTATAATATTAATGGGATAAGTGCATGTATGTAGATATGTAGAATTTCCATTTTTAATAACTTCATATTTATCTATGCTGTTTGATTCTTTCTATTATTCTTCTCATTCATCTATAGCTTTAATTTTCCAAATTTTGACATTATTGCTCAATATCATGTATCTCCGTCTCTCATCTATTGTCTCTCTCAATACGCTAACGCAATTCGAAGTCATTATAGGAAAAACATTTACAAAAATAAAAAAGAACCGACTGCGAAGAAAGCGAACTATAAAGATGAAAAAAAGTTGACGAAGGAGAATAATATTATGCGTAAGTTGTATAGATTTTTGTGATCGCCTTTTAAAAAGCTTTATTTTGATGCCTGAATCCGCTATTTTTGTTTTTAATTATTTCTATAATAATATATCCTATGACATTCACGTGATCAAGACGAATTTAACGACATATAAATCATTAAAATCAGTTGAGCGCGTTTAGTAGTTATGAGGGAACATTGGCTCGGACATACATACATAAAGGACAAATAAATAACCCCCTCCATTCCCCCTCACCCCCCTTTGGGCTTTACCGCAATTGATTAATTTACGAGAGCCTAATCTTTTATTGCATGAACCAATTATGATGGTAATCTATACTTAATATTATAAAGAGGTAAACTTTGTTACTTTGTGACGTTGTATGAGGTATTCTCTGGATCTACTGAACCGATTTAGATGAAATTTGGTAAGAAGATAATTTGAGACCCTGGGAAGGACATAGAATACTTCTTACCTCGGAAATCATCTCTTAAGGGGATGAAAATGGGAGTGAAAGTTTGTATGGGGAACCAAGTTTAGGGACGAACCCGAGCGAAGCGAGGGGGAGTCGCTAGTGTACAATAAATCCACTATAATGTACTTATAGGGCTTTATTTTAAGCACATATTATAGTATTTTTCAGTAATATAGAATTAGTCACTGTAGTGGGGAGCAGTTTGGAAATTGCAACGCCTCGCTTTACCACAACTAGGTCAGAATTAACGAATATGACATAAATTATTACATCGTACGAGAATTGAACCAATTACTACCAGCCCAGGCAATGTCAGGTTAAATAAATTCCTTTTTTTACATTGAGGTAAAATTTTGGTATAATAAATAAACTTTATCAAATATAAAGATTCTATATAATATATTATTATAAATAAATATATTTCTTTGCTAATCGTTGCCTTATGCTTATTTGTTCAAACTACCAATATTTGTGAGACTTTACAGTAGATAGTTTTTTTCTCTATTTTAAAAACAACTTTATTTCTAAGATTTAAACATAATACATATACAGATAAAAACATTGTTTTTAACTTTTTTTAAAGTACAATGTATTTTATATTTATAGAATGAACAAGTCAATAATCCTGTACTAAAAACCCTTACGCAAATTGGTCGTTTGGACAAATAGGCACTGAGACGATACGACGTAATGGTAAGCAATAATGGCAACAATGTGCTATAAACATCAAGGATATCACTCGCGCTACCATCTGAGATGATGATGAAGAAGAAGAGATGAAGTGGAAGAAGATAGAGAATCTCCCACTCTATTTTAGTAGTTAGTCTTTCACTCAAAAAACTAAAAGCAATAAAGAGAGCTTAAACAAGATGTCATTTTACAATCTTTGGTGAATAGAAGTACAAAAAATATATATGGGAATGACATTGTATGATTCTATAACATAACGGGTGAGTCTAGCCCGTGACCATGATTGCTGTAAAGCATTCGAACGTCGGGAACCCAAAAACCATAATAAATCCGCAAAAAATTCCGAAAACATGGTTTTATTTAAAGTGACAAATATTCGCATAAATCTAAGAAAGTAATACAATTAAATTGATCATGATCAATTGATCAATGATAATCATCGTTTTAATATAATTTTTAAGATTTCTATTCCTCATTCCTGACATCTTGTCTAAGTCCTCAGGACCACTCTTATTGGTACATTAAATAGATAATCTATAAGTAGGTATAATAAAATTCTAGTCGAATCCGTGCTTTAAATATTTTTTGGAAAATCTTATTGAAGTAGTCATTATTATCGATACCGAGGCTGAATCTATAGTTTTTAGAATTTTTGTCTGTCTGACTGGGAACTCATCACGAGAAAACCACTGGGCAGATTTTGATAGCTGGTTACCCGGATTAAGATAAAGGATACTTTTTACTGCGGGAAAATATCTCGTCTCTCAGAAATCTATACTAATCGTTAAAACTTATCTAGGAACGAACCCGAGCAGAGCGAGGGTGAGTCGCTAGTTAAAAGGATAAAAGTGAGAGTAATATTTCACCGAATGTTCTTCTATCCATCCACGAGTATACCACCATAGTAAAACTACATAAATCTTTACTTACCACTTCACTTTCGTGGTCATATCTATGCCCGGCTTGACCGTGATTGTGACCGCGGTCAACATTACCAGAGGTGAACGAGTTTGGAGGTAAATAACTGTTGGGAAGACTTAGACCTGAAATTATATAAGAAATAGTTGAGAATAAAAGAAATTACAAATATATTTAATTATATATATACGAGTATGTATACAAAACATGTACATTTAATTATTACTGTACAATAGGGTGGAGCGAAAAAAAAATTTTTATTTTTTTTTCTTAGCTTGGGGGTAGAATTTGTAACTTATAAAAAAACAAAATTATTTAAATAAAAAACCCAACATTTTAAGGTGGCCCACTGAATTTTAAAATAACTATTTAAATTATTAAATTTTTTGGTTTGAATGATTTTTTTTCGCGTGATCATCTTTGAAAACATTCAAGAGTTGACGAATATAGTGATTTTTTACTCAACTTTGTAATACAAAAAAAGTAACGTGTTATTTTTTCAACTTTTTTAAAATTGCAATAATGCAATATTACAATGAAAGTTGGATGGAAAATGACTGTATTCGTCAATTCTTAAATATTTTCAAAGATGATCAGTCGAAAAAAATATTTTCATTCAAACAAAAAAAAATAATTAAATATTTTAAAAATCAGTGGGCTACCTGAAAATGTTGAGTAAAAAAATTCTTTTTATTTCAAAAATTTTGTTTTTTTTAAGCTACAAATTCTACCCCCAAGCTAAGAAAAAGAACAAAAAATTTTTTTAAGCTCTACCCTTCTGTACAAGTCATGTCGGCGTGGAATAGTGGCAAGGAAGCTAGCCGCATTCCCCCGCTAAATGGCAATGCTTATTTTTTGAGCGAAAAATGCACCAGCTCTCCTTTCACCACTGTAGAGGCGATAAGACGAGGTGTTATGTCCTTTATAGTTGAGTAAAAATAATACTGTTATTGTTTATCATACACTAAGAAAATATTACACGAAAGAAAACATGTACAGCAGGTGGTCTTATCGCTAAAAGCTCTTCTAGGCAACCTTGAGGTAGAGGAAAAAGTTAAGTTTTAAAAGTAAAAAATATTTTTAACACAAAAAGAAAAGATGTTACTAATAATACTACAAGTAAAATAATAATCGTCTAAAAAATAAACCAAAATATAAAAGTCTTTCAGGTGAAATGAAATTGCAAATTTAAAAAAAAATATATTTATGATTGCTGTTTTGTAAATATTTATATTTACTTCGGAAACTTATTATATTTTATATTTTGTAGTAATTCAATAATCTTACCAGTTTTTGGAGGTAGATAAGTATTGCTTGGTGCATTGTATGAATTTAAGTTATAGTTATTGGGCTCGTAGTGGTAGCCCTGGACTGGAGGCTCAGATTTCACGATGGCGAATAGGCTCACACTGAGGAAAACCTGAAAAAAACAAAATTGTATTAAAATGTATTTATTCATTCTAGTATTCGTCCAGTGGACGGAATTCGGCTATAATCATTTTTTTATTGGTAACATTAAATTATTAGCTCGTCAATTGCTACTAACTAAAAAAAAAAGAAAGTCGGTTGACTCGGCACTAATCTGTTTTTTCTTTGCCTATTTATTATTGATATATAAAAAATAGATTATTTCCTAACAAATACACCTCTTCAAAAGTGGCGTCGACAATTGTAACGTTAAAACCAAAGACTAACATTCAAAAACGGAAAGTTCTAAATGTCTATACACAAATTCGAACTTACGCACACAAAAAGTACTTTTTTATGCGAAACAGCGTTTTAATTTTGTCATCCGAAAATCAATGAATAAAAAATTATAAAAAAACGCATAATTTCGAACTGTGCGCTTCTTTTGAGGACACTTTTGAAACACCAATTGTTTTTCTTGAGTTTTGTATGTATCAATGCTATCTATATTCGATTTAGGAATTATTAGATGACTCAAACAAAATCTTTCGTGGTCCACTCCATTTTTAATGTTATTTTTAGATTAAAATTTATACATTTTTTTATGTTTATGTATATATATATATATATTACTTTTACGTTATAAACATAAAGAAATAAACAGATAGACAAATTTATATATTATAAGATAAAACTTTTGATTTTAGAGCTAATTTAATTACTCCATCCATGTCGTGATACCTACCATCTTCATCATTAAAATTTCTAACTCAAAATATGTTATTCAACATCAATTTATTACAATTTTTTACTGAACGTCATGAGTCTATCACCAGTGCGGAAAGAAGAAGCCTCAGACCTGAGAAGAACTGGCAAAAGAAACTCAGCGGGACTAAAATTTTAAATTACATCTAAAACCTTACATTTCCCATTGAGCTACTTATGGGTTCTTTAGTAAATGCCGTAACTGTTAAGTCTATCCGATGGCGTCAGATAGCATGATGGGAGCATCGCTTGGGAACCGCTTCCGTACACATTGCAAGAACACAATAACAATGAAAGTGAAGCTATTATTAGATTTGCTCTCATACGAAATGACCTAACCTAATATTTATTATGGGAATTTTATATTTACTGACTTATGTTTATGTCTTATCCCACGTAAGTAAATCTATACTAATAAATGAAGAGCCCATTTTTTTGTTCGGTTATACTGCGATAACTACTGAACCGATCGGAATAATACTCATACCATAAGATGCAGAAGGTTTTAGTATATGATATATAAAACGCTAGTAACTAATGTATGGTACCTTTTGTAAAGTACAATACTATTTTGTATGAGAGGGCGTTTAAATAGCAGTATTTTAAGCCTGAAACACTACTTACTTTCTTAGGAGTTTTGTGTTTTACTACAGATATGTAGTAATTATTTTGCTAACACGATTTAATAAAAACATCATTAAAAAAATCGCCCGAACAGGGACTTGAACCCTGGACCCTTGGATTAAAAGTCCAATGCTCTACCGACTGAGCTATCCGGGCTCTATATAATAGAGTAATAATTTAGCAAACACATGTGTAATGGAGTCCATTCTAAACTAAATTTTAAATATTTATATGCTACAAATATCGACGTTATGTATAAAGTATTCTGTGCTATATAATTAAAAAAACACAGAGACTAACTATAGGGGAAATCATTTTAAATGATATTTCGAATGTTGCAAGGTTGCAGATTAAGTAACATTTTTATTTAGTTTGGTTACTGCTATAATTTATTTATGTTTATTTTCCAAAATAGATTAAAATTAGAAAGATAATGAAAGAAAAAATAAACACCTATAGAAATTCCCATCTTTTTTAACACGCTTTTATTAGCTTCACCGATATCTATCTATCTATGTAACAGAATCTTTGAACGCAATTTTCACCCACTTCAAAACTTCAGATTGAACTGAAATTTTGCACATTTAACAAGGACCGATGACAATACAATAATTTATTTGAAAAAATAATTAATAAACCAAAAAACCACGCGTTTATAGATATAGTAGATAAAACTAAAAAATGGAAAATAAATTATAGTTTCAAAAATTAATTAACACGCTTTAATGATGAACCGAACTACAAAATAAAAAAATATTTTTTAGTATCTATAAGAATAAAATGATTAACGAGAAAATTAATGTTATTGTGAAAAAGCGTGGGGAGCTCGATATCAGCTGCAATAAAATATTACATTGGTACGATTTCTAAAGGTAGAGTTAGTATAAAAGTAATGTACAAAGCACACGTTTTTTCCACAATAACATCAATTTTCTATTTAATCACTTTATTCTTATTTGTATTTTTTTTTTATTTAATTGTATTATAATTTCTGATGATACTGTATATATATATATATAAGGAACAAAAACGTCTGTTTGTACGTTTAGTTTGTTTAAACGTTTCAAATTATCATGCAATTTTTTCCATCACTATGAACGCAATGAGTAAATGTAGTATATTTACATGTGGCCTAATTCTAAAACGCTCGATATTAAGTTATAAAACGTAATTAAAAAATATTATTTCCACGATATCATACAAATACCATACATTGTTAATTGTTTAGAAATATTGACAGACGTGAGATTTTCATACAAATTGTATGTAAATTGCTAGCTTCCATGAGAACTATTGTAAACAATCTTGGATCCCTTCCTCCCTGAATAAACGTTTAGTATAATCAAGTAATTTTAATTGTTTTTTTTTATTTAGATTTTGACGCAGATATATAAATAAATGGAGCATACATATGTTAAATGGTTTTAAAAATTAATTTATAAATTTGTATTTCTTTTCTAAAAATTTGTAAATTCTTCTAAACGGTTTTAAGGAAAAAAAATTGAAATATATCCCCGAATTCTAAAAAATTGAGAAAAAACTTGATTTTTAATGAATTCAATGATCAAGAACAACAGGATAACTTCCAATTAAGTGACATTGTAGGGAAAAGCTAGTTTTAGTCATATGTGACAATATTTGTTGAATAACCCATGCCGTTCCAGTACATTAACAAGTATCAGTTATAGCCGTAATTTGTAACGCATATTTGACTGATATCACCTTAATTATGCTCTCGTTTCGAATTACGACATAAATATGAATGAATGAATGTTGTAATGTGATGGATATTGACAAATTCACAAGCAAATTTGAACTCGACTCTTCTCTTCTCCCTGCCCATTTCCCAATCACTTGGGGTCGGCGCAGTACATCTTCTGTACTGCTGATAGGATTTGGCAAAAGTTTTACGACCGACCGCCTGCCTGACGTCAACCCTCCTTGGGAATGCTATTGTTTATCGACTATATGAACTCGGTTAATAAGGGTTCATAGAAGATGTCAGTTTATAATCGTTGGAGAAAAGGGCGCTGGTGGCCGCTCAAGGCCGCGGAATATTAGCACCCAACTGTAAAAAAGTGCCAAATTAGAACAAACCTTGACCTTTTGTAAGTCAGAACATACCCAGTAACTGGACTATAAGTGCGTTACTTAAGAACGTCTGGAACGATGTGGCTTTTTTTACTAGTCGTAATATTCCAAATAAGGTTTTTAGGGGAAAAAATGATAAAGTTGCACAAATAATTAAAAACTTAAGGAGAACCAGAAATTCCTTTTCCTATACAATTTTGGCATGAACTCGGATATCATAAATTTTATTAAAGTTAAGACTTCTTGAGACAACGTCTCTCTGGTCTGCTACCACAATCCAACCTAATTGCTAATTTTTCAATTATCAATACAAATTTAATTCACGGGGCGCAATATGTAATTTTCGTTTACTTAGAGAATTTTAAATCCAAAACATACCTATCCCAACTTATTGGGATTATATTTTGTTAATTTTCCACAAACTTCAATAACGACTCGATACACACCATGCCCTCTTTTAACATTTATTTGAACTATTTTTTGTGTTCCTGATAAAACCCCATGATGTAAGAGATAATCTCTGAAACTACTAATCCGATAGTGTCTTTCACTAATAGGAAGCTGCGTTACTGCCGAGTGCCATAAGCTATTTTTTATTCCGAAAAAATATCCCGTGTTTACTGTTAGAAATCATATTCTTATAGGTATCTTTAAACTAGTAATTCTTGTATATATATTTCGGGGGCAATAAATCGATCTAGATTAGTCTTATGTCTGAGAAAACGCGTGTTTTCATCGCCGCATTCATTCACGCAATGGTCGGTAATTTGCACGCTCGGGTATAAGCATCGTGGTCAAGCGGCCAAGGTGCAAGATCAACAATCACAGGTGTCCAGGTTTGAATCTCGGTCGCATATAAAGTTTTTACTTTTGTTTTTTTTTATATTTATTCAAGTTTTTAGTTTTTTTTTTTAAAATAAAGAAAATTGTGCTTTAAACCAAAAACTCCGAGCGAAGCTCGGTAGCCCAGGTACTTAACATTAATTGAAGTCAGAAAAAATCTAACCGTTAAGTTTTAGCGCATAAAGTAACTTAACGTAACGGTATAGAATTAAGCAATAAAATGTAAAGTGAGTGAAGCGGGGGTAAGTAGCATAGTAACATAGTAGAAAAATATTGTTTGGTACTACAGTGGAGGTAGCGAGTTTGATTACTGTATTCTACTTTAGAGAAAAATTTCTTACCTTCATGTCAAACATTGTGATAATTGATGAATATCTGTAACAATGTAAGGTTTATTTAATGTTTTTTTTATATATAACATATCTAATATATTCAGTATACATATCACAATGTACATGTATGTATATAATATATCTAATATACTTAATTCTAATAGTTAATTGGTAAAATTCATTTTGTCCACATATTACTTTCTTAGATTTACGCGAATATTTGTCATTTTAAATAAAACTATCTTTTCGAATACCAAAAATAAAAATAAATCGGAGAAAATATCCGAAAAGATAGTTTTGTTTAAAATTAATCTAAAAATAAATCTTCGGCAAGACAAAGAAGTTGCTGAAATTCCTGGAGGAGCTGGGATGGCAAGAGTAACGAGAATTTAAATTCCCACACACGCAAAATAGGCGCATAGTCGTCGAGTTGCGGAAACCAGCCCGAACATACCATACCATACCATAGGATACTTTTTACTGCGGCAAAATATCTCACTTTTGAGAAAAAATACAAAAACTGCAATGTAAGAGTATACTACGAGTAATATGTAAAATAAGATTTTCCAAAAAATATTTTATGTACAGATTCGACTCAGTTACAATTTTATTATATGTATAGATATTGGCAAATACCTTATTGACTTAGTTTTTCATAAACAAAAAAAATGTTTTACACACCTTAACCGTATCTAGGACGAGTGTTGGTACTTCACGGCTCACGCCAAAAGTTATTTGAGAGGTTTAATTATATTTTGCACAATAACGTTTATAAAATGCGACAGACAGTCATGAATACAAACTAAAACAAAAAGCTAGATTATGTACTACCTATTATACTATACAAACTTTTTATCTAAGGGCTAATATCTCAATTAACATCTGTACATATAATAAAATTCTCAGTCGAATCTGTACATTAAATATTTTTGGAAAATCTTTTTGAAATAGTCATTATTATTGTTACAGAGGCCGAATCTATAGTTTTGAGAATTTTTGTCTGTCTGGGGAGAGAGAACGCATCACGAGAAAACCACTGGACAGATTTTGATGAAACTTGCTATGATGATAGCCGGTTTACCGAGTCAACATA